AATTTTGCATAGTTTAGTCAAAATATATTTTAAAATTAAAAGATAACTCCATTCTACTTTGTTCATATTGTAATCCCTTGAATTTCTTTCCTCAGCTGCCGAGAAATTCCAAGGCCGTAAGTAGGGCATCAATATATTTTATATCATTTCTATTTTATACCGTGCATGTTTTTGAAACATTTTTTCCACCATTGAAAAAGGGGTGATGTACTTTCTTTTGTAGATAAGTCGCAAATCTGCTAGGGCCTGATATTACATCTTGCAAACAGGACTATTATCCTGCCCCATTAGCGAAAAGCAATCATCCTTCTGCAAGATATTTCTCTAACATTGTGAGCAACTAGAATAGTATATAAATATAATCAATAATCAGTAAATCAAAAGATAAGTTATGTGCTTTAATCAATTTGAATGAATAGTTGTAGCCTTATATACAATTTTATAATCGAGTGCAGAGCAAATATAGAATTAACACTTGAAAAAATAAAACATTTTTATTAACATTATAATATAAAATAAAACCTTTAAAAGGTACATGCTAAATAAAAACTTCTATACAGTTATAATGACTTGCATTTCATTCAATTGTTAGTTCGTATGTCAAAACCATTAGGTAGTTTTGCTCCATATTTTTAGACAAGAATTTAAAGAGGCTCAAACACACAGAAGTGTGCTCTTTATTTTTAAATTTTATTTTATTTTAGTAAAAATAAATACAAAACACCACAATTTTTTGAAGAAACAAGGAAAAAAAACACCAAATAGTATTAGTTTTCCATCCCTTGCGAAACAGGCCCAAAGAATTTTAAATGACTAAACTACTAGTTCTATTTGCAAGTTTTTAACCTGTCATCTATATACTGTATTAATGACAAAATAGTTAATAATAATAATAATAATAATAATAATAATAATAATAATAATAATGACAAGTAAAATTTCAAAACCTCTATTAACAAATTGTTGTAATCAACCCATAGAAAATTTACCATGGTTTCTTAACTGCACCATATTTCCCAAGAATTAACACTGATTCATCCTGGATCAAATATCTGTGATTTTTTTTTCTTAATACCGTCAATTGTTTTCTGGTTAAATATAATAAATCCAATCTCCAAAGCCAGTCTATCTTCCCAAAAAAAGTCAAGATGAATTTTTTTCCCAGTTAATTGTGATAAATCCATTCTCCAATCCCTTCAATATAATTAAAGAAGACCAATTTATCACTTAGATAGTTTTCTACTATTTTTATAAGAAAGGCTTGAATTTCAGGGAGGCATATGGAGTGGACTCAGTTAATTCTAAGTCTGGGTCCATATTTCTTCCCAGTGAATTTACTGCTTTCAAATCACATTCCTTTTGCAGGTTTAATTTATTTACAATTGCCTGACTTTGAATGTTTTCCAGGGCCTTTATAACTTCATCAAACTTTTTAAAAAAGCTTTCAGCTAGGATGTTATCAGAGAGTCTTTTCACAAGTGTCAGCCTCATTCCCTTTTCTGTAATCTGATATGTTGTTCCTCTATAAAATAGATGAGAGGGTTGTTCAAAGCAGAATAAGACAATGAACTAAGGAGCAGGGAAGATATTTTCTGGATATTTTAATACAAAATTAAAAGAAAGAATAAGAAAAATAAGCTCCAAACTTTTTACAAATTGATAAAATAAAAAAATCCCTGTAGTGAATATCCAATAATAATGTAAATCAAGTAAAAGCACTTTCACTAGCCAGAAATACTCTGTGGTTTTCCAGCAGCCATCTTGGGGAGGAAGTGTGCTCTTTACTTGTAATCCTGCTAATTAAAAAAATACTTCTGATTATTTTATACTTCAATGTAATTATTTAGTAAATTATACAATTAAAACATGCCAATCCGATTATTATGTATTTATTAAAAGCAATGAATGTACAGTAAATGGAGCTTTTTAATAGTCTTTGTGGAAATGTTTAGCCCATGAGAACTATGCTGGGATTAATGACTTTTTGTTATAAACCAGCATACAATATGGGTTTTTTGAATATATATATTACATATAAATCATATACTGTACTGTAAAACTAACATTATAACATGTTCATTTTCTTTCTACCAGGGAGCCTGAAACCCCTGACAAGTAAGTTGAAAAATTACCTCTTGTTGAAATGACATTAAACAAAATCAATTGACATTAAACAATTAATCGATTGTTACTCATTTAAGGACCATCACATTTAAAGTCAAACCTCTACATAATTACTTTTTTGCTTCCTAAAAAAAGCATGAAACAGATGTGATTTAATATGTAACAGTTAACAATTTAAAGGAAACAATGATACATCAAAACAGAAGGAGACAAAAAAATATCTAGGTGTATTCTTAAATGAGAACCCTGAAAATTTAAAATGGCCTTCCTGATTTTCAAGTACTTTAGTTACTTTAGTAATGAGTCTGGCTAATGATTTAGTCTTTACAGTACATAAGGGATGGATTAACATTTGTAAGAGACGATCAGGCTGAGACTGAGAGACGGGTGAAACGTAACATCAATCTTAAATCCGTTCATGCTCATAAGAGAACTAAGTCCAGCCCATCTTGAATTCCATTGATTCTTATCTATTGTTAATATGCTTTGACTGTTAGTAGTTCAGATTCTTGTAGAAAGCTTAAGCTTGCAATAAACCTATATATACATTTGAACCGTCTGGACTCCTGATTTCCCACACTTGCCAACATTGCTAGTAAAATGGTTTTGCTGGTACAAACATGAATATACCATCCAGAAAGTGATTTGTGTAATCACTGTTAAAAACTACTGGTGGTGAGATCCAACAAAAACAGAGACTGTGTAGAGCCTTAGAAAAGATAAGAACGGTATCAATAGAAAGCTATGATTTGCAGAGAGACCCATTCTTACCAGAGGGAAAGACAAGACATAGTCAGATAACTTGACATTTGGATGATAAAACACTTGAGAACAGTGGAAAGAAAATATCCTGAAAGAGGGGGTCCCTAAGTGACTGGAATCTTGAACAGACCAGTATAACTATGTTGTAATACCCACTTGTATATTTTTTACAATAAAAGTAGTTCAGAAAATTAATATATTTACTAAATATTACATTTCTGTCCTACAGAAGCCCAGAATCCTGAAGCTGGTAAGTCTAATGATGATAACAAGACAACTCATCATATAATAAAACATAATGTTGCAATTCTCATTTGGATATTTTAAATAAGAACAAGTACATTCTATTGTTTTATTCTAAAACTGTATTCAACAATTTATGCATTTTTTCTTCTTCCAGGAACTGAGAATGTTGACATCAGTAAGTATATTCATATTTGTATTTATAATTAAATCAGCATATTAAAATGACATTTGGGCTGTCACTGCTGAGTAAAGGAAGTCACTGCTGAGTAAAGGAAAGAGCATTAGCTGAGTTGCATGAGACACATGAGTAAAAAAGAAATTCTTCATTTAAATCTTTTTTAGTGATCAAAATTATATAACATTGATATCTATTTTTGAGGGTTTTTTAAAAAAAATACAGGTAAGTTATTATTCAACACACAAAAACAATAGCAATCTGCTAAAATGGAATGCATTCTTTTTGTTTCCTTTTGTGACTTGCACAAAAGGTAAAGAGACTCAAAATTAGCATATATAAATAGTAAGCCCTTAATGAAAATCTACCTACCACTGTCCCATTAAAGTGTCAGGGTAATAATCATGGAATTTACTCAGTTAAAACCTGTAGCCTAGTATAAATGTCTTCTTTACTGAAGATAACCATAAATGTTTGTTTCTGTTTGTAGAACCAGAATTTCCTGCCGGACAAATATTGATGTACAATTACACCGTCCTAATTGAAAATGGAGTTGAAGATAAAGGTTATGGAAAGGGTCTTCTATCGATACAAACTGATGTAATGATCACAACAGGTCAACCAGAGCATGTGCTTCAGGTAAGCTTTCTCCCTTCTTCCTTTCGGTAACTCTCAAGCCCATTCAATTGAAGGGAAATTATACTGTACATTCATTCAAGAAATATTCACATATATGGACCACAGATTGATTTAAAAAAAAACCTAAGCTTTTTGTCACCCGATGCAAAGAGATTGCCAGCTTTGCTTTGGCTTCTTAGAGGGTAAAGTAGGCTTTATGTTGGAGAGGTGAAGAAAACTCCATAGCAAGTAGATAAAACAGTAACCAGAGAGAGAGGATTGTTTTACTCTATGCTGTACAGTAATGTACATTCATTGTCAGACCTAACATTTTCTGTACAATAGGACAAGGGAAAAACAATCATCTTAAGCTTCAATACTTTATTTGTCTGCAGTTAAAAAAAGTTAAGCAATCCTAAACTATTCATTCATAAGTGCATTATACTCCTGACAAGAACAACTGTGATTTTAAAACTGAGGCATAATGGAATTTTAAATTAGCATTCCACAAACTAAAATGTAATTAGTGAAGGTGTTTCAAATAGTTGCTGAACTGGGGTGGACCAGCCGTTACCTCTCTGGGTGTTGGTCCCAGAGAGATTGGACAGATTGCAAATAACTTTGCAATACTAAAGCTGAATCTAGGGAGCAAGCCATTTCCTATTGGCCGGAATTTTTGTATGTCCTGCTCTTCTTCCCATTGGGATAGAGATGACATGAGGACATGACACCACTTCACTAGCCTTTGGAAAATAGATCTAGGTGACGGTGCAGCTCTTCCACCCAATGAATGATAATTTTCTTTTCCACACTGCAAAAACAAATGCCATGTGAAATCACGACAAGGGTGGGATGCTGATTGATGGACAATTATACTCCCTTATTGCTCAACTGGAGGAAGTACTGGTCAGCACATGGCATTGTGAGAACAGTAGGGATGAGGTCAATTGTAGATTGGGTAAGAGTCTCATGTTTACATCACTATGCCAATTAATCATTAATGGGAGCAGACTTTTTATTGTTGAATGTTGCTATGATCGGCTAGTGCAGAAATTGTCTTTTTTTTTTAAGTGGGGGGAATAGCAGCTCAGTAAAATAATATTAGTACATTTTTTTTACTTGTTTCCTATTTCAATTTAAAACACATTCTGCAATGGGGAATAAGCACGATCCCTTCCAAATTAACAATTTTTAATTTCTCCTATTGGTATCCACAAGATTTAACAATTGCTTCCTTTCTTGCTTTCCACCCTCCATTTTGTTCTTAGATAAGGAACATGAGAGTACAACATGCTGCTGGATTCCACCCGAGAAGCACCTTGTCAGAACCACGAAGGGAATATAAACAGATCCTTGAATGCCAGAAGTCTAAAGTCCTTTTCAACTACAGTGGAAAATATACCTCCATCCGTTTACCAAAGAATGAAGCTACACTTTGCAGAAATTTTTTCAAAGGCCTTCTGAACCTGTTAATTGTCACACCACCACGGAACCATAGAGAATATGAAGTACTGGAGGTTAGGCTTTTTTTTCATCTTTTTTCATCTTTTCAAGCTTTATTTTACTGCAGTACAATACCTCCTTTCTTCACAATTTACATTAAGCTAAAAAAAATCCTGGAGCCTTCCAGATGTTGCAGAACAACATCTGTGGCCATATTGACTAAAGCTGGTAGCATTTGGAATCCATTAACATATGAAGAATCAAGTGTCTCCTACCTCCTTGAGCAATGTGATTTCAAAGCATATCGGTTTGCTCTTTGTAATTTTCCACTTTGCTTACCTTTTTTTTTCCTGAATAAGGAAATAGTGACTTCGAGATAGCCAGATTTGAACCAATCTGTTTAGGTATCAATTGTTATTCTCCCTCAAATATGTGGATATGCATGCCCAAGGGATTCTTCAGATATTCTTGAACAACTGAGAAGTCTATTTCCTGCTAGCTTTGGAAAAATGTCAGTAAATGAACAAAATGTAAAGGAGCAGATAAAGGAGAGAAAAAAAGTGATGTCCCTGAGCTGTAGACATTTTAAATGCACCTGATTTTATTTAAACCTGCTGCAAATCTCTTCCTCTGACTCTCATTGAGAATCAGAGTTTCCGTGTTCTTGTACAAACTGAGTTTCTCAATATTGGCAGGATGGACTTGAAGGCGAGTGCAACACCAGGTATGTTCTCTACGAGGAGAAGAAGAACAGCAACATCTATTTGTTTAACAAATTCAGGGACTTGAACAACTGCAAACAAAAAATTATGCTGACTGTTGGAATCCCCTACCTCCAGCTCTTCCAGCAACCCAATTGCTTCCAAGTAAGAATGCTGTACATCTATTTTCTCACATGTTGGTGTGGGTCTCTTAGCTTTAATGGAGGGCTTTCTTTCTGCAAACTACAAATATGAGATCCTAAACTGGGACACGAGGGCAGCGGAGTCCCCCATTTCTTAGGTTATAGTTCTGATCTGGACCAGGGATTTTGTATTTATATATTAAAAAATGGGGTGGGTGGGGAGGAAGAGCTGCTAGCCACAGTTTTAAAATAGCATACTATTTCGATGCAAAATTACATTGTATTTCTCCTTGTGAAATATATCTTTTTTTGTTATTTAGAGAGAGAAATTTGTTCAAGGTGCATCTGCCTTACTCATCAAAGTGAAGCGTGACAGTAAAGGTGACCTGATCACTGAAGTCAAGTCTGAACAAGTATTGGACTTCCCTCTAGGCGGAGTGGATGCTACTGGATATATGAAAGCTGAGTAAGTAGCAATATCAAAAAATATTTTGCACTAAGCTTAGTCTCCTTTGCTTTTCAGTCCACCTTCTCTATGCGTTGAAAGGCATTTCTAAACTATGGCAACATTAGAATGTAACTTCAATAGATCTATGCTTCTCTGTTCTGTACTAAACTACTGTAATCTACCAGGAGATCCAGGCTGCATGGAAACAGAAACCAATCCAGCAAATATATCTTTGCCAACACCACTTTTCATTTTCAGAACAAAAGAAGAGGAACTGCATTTTTGTGGCCTTAAATTTGTGGAAGGATAACATTGACTCTCAAGGATTTTGCCCACTACTGTATTTGTTTAATTGACAATGGGAAAAATATCTTAGGTGTGATAATAGCACTTAGACTTATATACCGCTTCACAGTGCTTAACAGCCCTCTCTAAGCCATTTACAGAATCAGCATTTTGCCCCAACAATCTGGATCCTCATTTTACCGAGCTTGGAAGGATGAAAGGCTGAGTCAACCTTGAGCCTGGTGAGACTCGAACTGCCAAACTGCTGGCAATCAGCAGTCAGCAGAAGTAGCCTGAAGTACTACATTCTAACCATTTTGCCACCATGGTTCATAATAATATAATATAATACTTATCATAACCTGGCAATTGATCATATTTGCAGAAAAACCTCATAAAAACCATAATTTCCTATGGAATCGAATGCACTAGTCTTACATTTAGGGATGAATGATACACTGTGGGGAATTCAAATTAAAAACTTTTAGAAAATAAGCAAATAGCTCAAATATATTTCTTTTATCCAATGTGAGGACAAGTCCAAGTCTTTGAATAGCAGTGCATTTCCGTTGGCTTTGGTTGCATTATCTCTTATCTCTAGTTACCTTCTTCTGACTTTCTGGAATCAATCCTACAGTGTTGCAAATGGATGAGTCCTCATTTCTGATGATTTAGTTATATACATGTGCGTGTGTGTTTGTTTTCTTCCAGGCAATTGTTGATTTTGAGAGAAGTGAGACCTGAACAAGGTCAGCAGCAGCAGCAGCAACAACAGCAGCAGCAGCAACAACAACAACAACAACAAGAAGGAGAGTTTGAAGTAACCACTATCCGTTTTGAACTTCCCAAAACTCTGTTTTTGCCTGGGCTGGAAAATCTCAACAGAGATCTTGTACAGCAGGTAGTAAAATGAAATAGTGAACAATTTAACCTTTTCAAAACCAAACAGAAAACACCATGATCTTGGCAGTTGGAATGAGTATGTACTGTTCTTGATTTTTCTTTGGACAGGCTGAGCAACTCTTGCAAGAATCAGTGCACTGGCAGATGCAGGATAAAATGTTTTACACCAAGGTTATAGCATTAGTCCGAATCATACAACGCATGTCATCCAACGATCTGAACACTCTCTACAATAGGTTTTCAAGAAGCCCTGTTGCTAGGTAAGTTAGCTAACTTGTATATTGCATACTAGCTTTACCTTAATCTCCTGAAATCCCAATTATTGTTCTTCCAGAGGAATGATCAAGATTCATGGAAAAATCAGCCAGAAAACATATCTTTACTGGAGGATTCATGATATTTTTAAGAATGTGTCCTTCTATTCATTACAGAAAAGTCCTATTGATTTCATGTGCCCATGCGGGTAATTTGATCACAGTAAAATTCATCAAGGACAAAGCAGTCAGTGGAGAACTGTCATATGATGACCTGATTTGGCTTATTCCCACAACCTTACATTTTGCCAACCTGGATATTACGAGAGTGGAGGAAACTGCTAAAGTGACAGTAGTGAGTATATATTACGTTGTTGTTGAATGGCACTATAACATGTTTTCTAAAATCTACATAGTATGCTTTGTGACCCTAGATTGAGAATGTTCTCCTAAATTCTAAGAACAATTTTGTTTTCTTCCCAACAGGAATTACTTTCCAAAATCCCTGACAAAACATCTATCCTTGGAAAAATAGTTTATCTGGCATATGGGACTATGGTGAACAGGCAATGTTCCACTTCTCGAACTTGTCATCCTAAATTGCTTGAGGTATATGGCTAATTTTATCTACAGATCTAGATAGAAATCAAAATCTAAATCTTGATTACGTATAGATAATATTGCAACAAAAGAACATGAGTTTTCTTTGCAGAAAGCAATACAGACTATTTGGATAAAGAAATGAAAATATATGCATACGAATGCACAGACCCACATCCTGTTTGTTTATTATTTATTCTTTATAGCCTCTCCACAACCTCCTAACTGAGGCAGTTCGGGAAAAAGAAGAAAGCAAAATTGCATTAGCTCTGAAAGCTATTGCCAATGCCGGTCAGATCAGCAGCCTGAAACAAGTGAAACTCATGTGTGAGAATGTTAAATATCCTGAATACATCCAGGTCATTGCAATTCAGACCCTGGCAGAAATCGGCAAGCAGGATCCTACAAAGGTAAGTGGCAGAAGACATGTCTTTTTTGGAGTAGGTAAAAACCATATATATCTAATGGTCTTGCTTTCAGGTAACTGCAAAACTTCGTAACCCAGCTGAATGTTTGAGCTTCTATTAAGTGATCTGTGAAATCACATTGCCGAATAATCTTTACAGCAATTTCTGGAACTGACGGAGACCTAAATGGGATCCCTACCTAGAAAAAAAGAAAGAGAAAGTAGCTAGTCGTTGCATGCTAAAGAAAATGCTCTACTCAAACGCCTAGCTACAATACAATCTTAAGAGCCCATATTTGGGATTATCTGGCCATCCTATAAGTCACAGAAAGCAAATCCTGACAAAAACCATTACCAATATTCCCCCTGATTGTTTTCATGTTTATTAGCTGAGCTCCACATTCATTTGTTTCTTCCTTCCTCTAGGTTCAAGGTTTTCTCCTTCAGACCTTTATGGATGTTTCACGTTGTGAGGCCGTCCGAATAATGGCTTGCATTGTCCTCCTAGACAGTGCCCCTCCTCTACCTATAGTAACAGCCATGGCCAATGCAATGTTGTATGAGGAGAATCTCCATATTGCCAGCTTTGTGTACTCTCACATGTTGGCTATAACAAAGAACAGGGACCCTGCATACTATACCCTGTAAGTAGAGAGACATTCGAACTATGTGTTATATTAGGTATAGAAATGTTATATCTGTCAAGGTTCCAAGTAATACATCCCCAACAATGAGAACTCCCATCATATACAGATTAGGAAGTTTGTTAAATCTGGAGAAGGCTGCAAGATTGTTAAATTGTAACCCTATACACAACTTCTCAAGAAGATACAGAATGTGAGCTGAATTCCATAGAGTCTAGTGCTGCCTGTTCTTGAGTCAGTCTGTAGACATTGCCCCAGTTAATAGTAATAGAACCTAATATTAACAATGTCCTCTTTTTTCATTTAGGTCTTCTTATTGCCTCTTGGCCCTCAAAATTCTGGAATCCAGGCTTAATGAACTGACCTCCCCTTTCAACAAGGCTCTGTATTTTCCCCTTTTCAACAGTGAGTAGCTATTACTTATTTATTTCTCCATCCCTCTTTATGGGATGAGTCACAATATTTTGAGTTGGTTCATCTGCTCCATTATGTTCCAAGTGAAAAGGAATCACCTTATTGTGTTTACTTAGTACAGTACAGATTTTCAAATTCTGAACTGTGTCCTATGTCTTGGATTTTATAAATGCAAAAGGATAAGAGGGGTTATTCATGTATAAGTTGTTCCATTAATGTAGAATCAGACCACATCGTTGACTTGGACTGTTACAATGATTTAATTGTAACAATTAGTAAAACTGAGAATGTTTCCCTAGTTCACAATGCCTCAGGATGGTTTTAAAAATGCATCCTTTTCTTGCTTTCTGGTTTTTCCAAGCACTAACTTTGCAAGGTCCAGGGTTCCATGCTTCAGGCATTGCCTTTAATTGAACCTTGCCCTTATTTCATACAAACATTAAGTGTGAAATTACAGGTTGTGCAAAAGTGACACAAAATGAACAATTGATTCTATTGCACTGAGCCACTTAAAAATGGCTCAGAACTTTGCAAGCTCTCTTTAGGTAGAACTAGGACTGCAAAACTGGATTATAAAGATTAGGACTGTGGGACAGCAATAGGGAGATATAAAGATCACTCTTTGCTACCGTATCATAGCATCATCTGAATCTTTGTAGTCCAGATCTGAGAGTAGTACTTAAACTTTATTTTGCAATGCAGTTCACATAACAAGCCCAATCAGATGCTTTGCTTGTTAACCAAGCAAATTACTATAAATCTAAATAAATATGTAGTTTGTGGTACAGACATAAAGCTTGCATCAACATAATTTCTCAGAATCCTAGGGCATAAGGCAGGTATTTTAGCTTAGGCTCCTCAATGGCAATAGCATTCTTGGTTTGGTAGTTAAATGAGGACTAAGCCTATTGTATGACCCAAACAAGTAAATTTTCAAACTTTTCCATTTCAAAAAGCTAATAATCTCATGATGTGTGTTGTGTTGTTCTTTTTTTATGATAGCTTTTCTAAACAATGGATTTACTGCCAAATTCTTCATGTCTGGTGACAATAGATATCCTTCAACTATGACCTGGCGAGCAGATGTTACATTTCCCCATACCAAGGTTGACCTGGTAGAGGTATATATTACATTTTTAAAAGTTAATTATTAAAAAGCATTTGAGATGTTAGTATGCCCTTACCATGCCACTTCACACATAATACATCTTTCTTTCTTTCTTTCTTTCTTTCTTTCTTTCTTTCTTTCTTTCTTTCTTTCTTTCTTTCTTTCTCCCCCCCCTCTCTCTCACTCTCTCTCTCACTTTCTTTCTTTCTTTCAGATTGCACTGCAAGTTCAAGGTCTAGATAAATTGTTTGAGGAACCAGTTAGCCAGTCTGACCAATACGCTACCAAGCAGAAGATCAAAGATACCCAAGACAAGGTATATTTCTATATTTATTCCTTTGAATATAAATGTTAGAGGGAATATTAGATAAGATTATTCCAGGAGGTTTAGTAGGAGGGCTGCCCTACTAAAATCTTGCATCTGGTAGCAAAATTTTTCCCAGGTTAATATTGTAATTTAAGATAAAGTAAATCATCTGATCACCTTATTTGTGGGGTAGAATCTAAATACAGGTTGTTGTCGACTTACAACCACAATGGAGACCAGAATTCCTGTTGTTAAAGAAGACAGTTGTTAAGTGAGTCATGTCCAATTTTATGACCTTTTTGCTTGGGTTGTTAAATGAGTCACTGTAGTTGTTGAGTGAACCAAGTAGTCAATTAGCAACTCCAGTTTCCCCTGTTGACTTTCTTGTCAAAAGCCAGCAGGGAAGGCCACAAACTGTGATCACATTACTCTGGGGTATCATAAATACAGGCTTGTTGCTAAGTGCTCAGATCTTGATCATGTGACTGTGAGGATGTTACTATGGCTATAAGTATGAAAACTGGCTGTATCTCCTTTTTTAAAGCGATGTTGTAACTTTGAATGGCCATTAAATGAATGGTTGTAATTCGAGCACTATCTATAAATTAAACAGGCCTTGTGGTATTGTAGAATCCTAGTATGTCAGAACTGGAAATATCTTTCTATAAAGTATAATATTCGAAGGGGAGATGCAAATAACCCAGAGCATTACATTGTCTTTTTATTTATTTGAACTTTATTTACTTGAACTGATCCAATACTAAATTGCTCTCATTGGTTTGACTTTAGTTTCCAGCATACCAAGAACTAACTGCCAAACAGCTCTCCGTTGGTATGTCAGTCAAATTTCTAGGAAACCACATTATGTATTTACATTCTTCAGAAATGGATCAACATTTGAAGGTAAAGGTATCTAATACATTTTCACCATAAAATCCATATTGTTATCTCAGTCAGTTTAAAGCCCCTTGTCTGTTCACCCTATTTTAGGCAGAAGAGTTTAGATCAGCTATGATTAAGGCCTTGATGAAAATTGCTGAAATGTGCGTCAAATCGATCAACGCTCAGTTGAGCCATTACGTCATTCTAGATATGGGGCAGATTCTTCCTACAGCTCCTGGTTTACCATTCAAAATAAATCTTAATGCTGTCTTGGGAGCAGATGTAACCTGGAAAGGTAAGGATGGAAATAACTGCAATTCAAAATAGCATGGGTAAATCATATATAGTGGGGGAAATGGCTGAGTATAACACAATTGAAAAATATTAGCAATGCAGTTTACCCAACCAGTCTTAAGCAAGTGAGATTTCTGTAAGATTCTGATAAACACGTCATTCATAACCTGATATCATCTTACTTAAAATATAGTTGTATTACTATATTTTATAAAGACAACAATTCAGATTTCTTTCTCTATGACACACCCATTTATTAGCTTAAAAATTTCCAAAGTATGATATTATCATGCAGTCTTGCTTTATTCTTGTTTTCTTGTTCACAAAACAATCTTCTTATGGCTATGACTTTGTTGCTTATCACTATTGTTGTATGTACATTGAAAGCTTATGCACTGGAAACAAATTTATTGTGTGTCTAATCACACTTGGCCAATAAAGAATTCTATTCTGTTCTGTTCTGTTCTGTTCTGTTCTATTCCAGGCAATGCCATCTTTCACCTGTAACCTTTTTATCTTTTCCCACTTCTTCTTTTGGCTCATCCCTCTGCCCCATTGTCAATTATATTAACAATGAAAACATAGAAATGTGTGAAAAAATATTAGTACTAGGAGCCTCTGATCTTTAAAGTTGGTCTACTTTTGAACCATTTTAAAATAATGTTTGTTTCTTTTAGCAAAATCAGAAATATTTCAGGATGATCTCACAGCAGGCAAAATACAAGCACAACTTGACAACAAATTTCTGTAAGCAAAATAACAGTATTTTCTACCTTCCTTCTCCATAAAGTAAGCAGAATTCTGCAGCAGAATGACCTCTATCCATCCCAGAGAGGGGTTTCAGCAGGTTCTGACCAGTTCTGGAGAATTGGTAGCAGAAATTTTGAGTAGTTTGGAGAACTGGTAAATACCACACTGGCCCTACCCCCATCTATTCTCTGCCTCCCTAGTCCCAGTTGATCAGGAGGAAATGGGGATTTTGCAGTAATCTTCCCCTGGAGTGGGTTAGGAATGGAAATTTTACAGTATCCTTCCCTGCCATGCCCACCAATCCATGCCCACCAAGCCACACCACGTCCACCAAGCCACGCCCACAGAACCGGTAGTAAAAAAATTTGAATCCCACCACTGATCCACCCCCTCCCACCCCAACCTCCTCTATCACTGACATATAGACATACAAAATCAATGTCAGAAGTCAAGACTGGCCCAGCTGCTTTGGCATCTGGAACTGAAAATCTCAAAAGCCTTAAATAAGGAAACCTTTACCACTCTTTTGGGTTGCTCAAATCCATTTAGTCTGAGGTGGTGTCCTTCTTGACATTAGAATTTCTTCTGTTATTGTAATCTGAAACCATATTTTAAAATTTCTCTTCTACTATTAGTGTCCATGGTCAGGGAAGTTTGACCTGGGGAATTATGGAAGACTCTTTCCAGAATGGAATAGAAATATCCGCCAACATCCATTCAGATACTGCGCTCAAAATGAATGTTTCACTGGACATGCCACAAAACAGATTTAAAGTAGAAATTGATAATCTTCAGGAGAAGCATAATGCACTGATTGTAAGGTAGAAGAAGCTCTTTTATAATTCATTTAATATCATTTTGTCATGCTATCTGCTGCATTATGTAGAGCTTTCATCTTCTGTATACTGTAAACATTACTCAATCATATCTTACCAATTGGTGTAAGCTTAGAATTATGGCTGGGTAGTGTGCTCTTTCGCTGAGTTTCTCAAACATTTTACTTTGTAACAATGTTCTTTCTGGTAGGTTTGATGAGAAATTATAAATATATATAATAATATTTAGAAACATTTGACTCAGGATATTAACTGTCTGACTTAGTACCATAAAATGTACCACATTTTTCCTCTATCCTTCCCTCCCTCTACTCCTGGACCTCAACAAGGAAAATTTCACCTTACTTCTTCATTCTTAGGGTGCTTTGATATTGAGTTTGTGTTCATGTTAACTTAAGAGTATGTTAATTTACTGTGGAGTATAATAGAACACTTTCTATTTCTCCTCACCAAATTTCAACCTAGCCATAAAGCACAGGCTGTAGCAAGGTGCCAAAGTACTGAGGAAACGGCTCCAATTATTCCCGACCCAGTTGACGTTGAAGAATGGGATGAAGAAACTGGCAAAGGCAACATCAAAGTAAATATTGTGTTTGGTTATGTCTGTCAAGACTGATATTTGGTGGTCTACTGTGCAGTTGAGCTGTCTGATATAACTTCTTAAAGAATGGCTACTTTAATTTTTGTAACATTATATAGTTTTGTTTGTATTTAGGATTTTGTTATAGTTTTGACTTGTTCAAATACATGCTTTATTTAAATATAATGCTAAACAATACATTTAGCACTGAGGATGTGAACATTTGTCAAGCTACTGATAGAATGATATAATATGAAAAAGAAAACCAATTAAAATGCTAAATTCATCTTATTACAGAACTGTTTCCTATAGAAGTAAAATTTGCATACTTTTTCTATCTTAAGCATCTGTTAGCTTGGTAACTACAGTGACACAGAGCTGCCATTCTTTTTTGTTTCTCTCATACTGCCCATAAAGATCCCTCAACTATTTATTATCTATGAGATTTAGGATTTTCTTTAACACCCAAGTTTAATCTCCATTTTTTCATATACCTGTACTAGAAAGGTTATTATTGCCAAATTCTGACATGTCTATCTTCATTTCAGCAACAATCTGAAAGTAGCCAAAAACCTCAAGACCTTTGGGACAGTTGCATGAATTTAAGTTTCTTGCCAATAAACGCGTGCGGGAAAACTACCAATACAGGAGGATATGTGCCTTACCAGAGAACAGCGCTGCATTTGTTATGCGCAAGACATGAAATGAAGTTTTGGCTTGAACCAGGTATTACTGCGTGGTGAAATGTTCAGTTTGTATACTTGGAATTGTTCATGCTGATCACTTTTTAAAATATGTACCTGCATTATAATCCATGCAGAAAGTGGTTTGACTAAGATCGTAATGGATGCCAACTTAGACTCTGCAAAAATTAGGATGAGAAGAGAACTGGTACCTGAAGAAGAAGAAGAAGTGAAAGGAGAAAAACAGGAGGTACGTTTAATCCATGGAGAAAGGCACATTTTATAAGGTCTAAGTTAGCTAGGTATGAAACGAGATGTCATACTTATTATTTATTTGCTCAATTTCTATAGCTGCCCATCTCAGTCACATGTGAAAGCTTCGTTTTCTGATGGGGTAAATGGATATTTTTATTTTGCCCAATTCCACCTTCCCTCTACTAATAACACAGCAATTACATGGCAGAATATTATAAGGAAGAAACTGTGAATTCCAAAGAAACTCTGAATTCTTAAGAATGACTTAAAAGAAGCAATATTTTAACCTTCAACTGTGTCACAGGCTAATATCAAAGATCAGAAGAGGCCAGTCCAGGAAGGTCAGAAGAGGCCAGTCCAGGAAGGTCAGAAGAGACCAGTCCAGGAAGGTCAGAAGAAGCCAGTCCAGGAAGGTCAGAAGAAGCCAGATCAGGACACCACCTCTTCCTCTGACTCTGCTTCTGGGGTGAAAAAGGGACGAGACCAAAAGAAAGGTGGTGCCAGCAGCAGCAGCTCCACCTCCAGCAAGGACAGCAAGGATACCATTGAAAGCAGCAGCAGCAGCAAGGACAGCAGCAGCAGCCAGTCCCAACAGAGTGAAACAAAGGGTTCTTCCCAGAGCCAATCTAGTGAGAGTTCTTCCAGCAGCAGTGACAGCAGCGACAGAAGCAGCAGCAGCGACAGCAGCAGTGACGGTAGTAGCAGCAGCAGTGACAGCAGCAGCAGCAGCAGCAGCAGTGATAGCAGTGAAAGCAGCAGCAGCAGTGACAGCAGCAGTAGCAGCAGCAGTGACAGAAGCAGTAGCAGCAGCAGTGACAGAAGCAGCAGCAGCAGTGACAGTAGCAGCAGCAGTGACAGAAGCAGTAGTAGCAGCAGTGACAGCAGCAGCAGTGACAGCAGCAGTGACAGCAGCAGCGACAGCAGCAGCAGCAGTGACAGCAGCAGCAGTAGCAGTGACAGCAGCAGCAGCAGTGACAGCAGCAGCAGGAGCAGTGACAGCAGCAGCAGCAGTGACAGCAGCAGGAGCAGTGACAGCAGTAGCAGCAGCAGCAGTGACAGCAGTAGCAGCAGCAGTGACAGTAGTAGTGACAGCAGCAGCAGTAGCAGCAGCAGTGACAGCAGCAGTAGCAGCAGTGAAAGCAGCAGCAGCAGTGATAGCAGCAGTAGCAGGAGCAGTGACAGCAGCAGCAGCAGCAGTGACAGAAGCAGTGACAGCAGCAGCAGCAGTGACAGCAGCAGCAGCAGTGACAGCAGCAGTGATAGCAGCAGCAGCAGCAGCAGCAGCAGCAGTAGTAGTAGTGACAGCAGCAGCAAGAGCAGCAGCAGTGAGGATAGCACCACCGAGAGCAAAAGCAGTGAGAGCAGCAGTGAGAGCAGCAGTGAGAGTAGTGAGTGCGATGACGATTCCAAGCAGGTAATTATGATGTCATTTCTTTGAATATAGTTAACAGGAGCAAGAAGGCAGAACCTGCTTCATTGAAGCAAACGTGCATAGCTTTATCTTTTCTGGCTAATGTGAATTACAAGTTGGCCAAGAGCTATGAGAGTCCATTTGACTTACGAAGGAACTCCCCAGCCACCTTGTTTGTTAGTCCTAGGTTCTGATCCTTGGAATTTGAAAGCTAAGCATTAGTTTACGCTTGCTTCAAGTAGAGCTCACCCACAGAGATTTCAACAAAATGTTATAAGGCCTGGCACTTTAAAAGAAATCTTGACATAAAATAGGGAGAGTGGCATCCATCATATTAGTTGGTTATTATGAAACTTTTGGTTGCCTATTGGGCTTACAATGGAGCATTGGAGTAAGCAATTTTACCAAAGAATGTACATGCATCAGTGGTGGGTTGCTCCCGGTTCTGTCCGGTTCTTGCGAACCGGTAGTAACAGTGGCAGGAGGCTCCGCTCACTTAGGTGGATGTCGTCATAGATATGTGCATGCGCAGAAGCTTCTGCGCATTTGCATAAACGTACATGCTCCCGTTGCGAACTGGTAGCGGAGGTAAGTAGAACTCACCCATGACCTGCATCTAAGTGCACTATATTCCACAAATGCAGAATGATAGAGAACAACTATGCACACTTAAAAGGTAACAAGTTATGCTGAAGTAACAACAAATGATGTGGTTGTGATTTCTGTTCAATTCTCATCATGCTGATCTGTCATCTGCTTTCGGGGGAATGATAAATCAACATTGGGTTGATTTGTGATGTTGTGACCTGCAGTATTGGATGTTTTGAATTAGCCCACAATGCAATTTCAGGAAGAGATAATAATGCTTATAAATCAGTTATTTGGGAAAATTTATAGTGATGGCACTGTTGTTATTTCACCAAAGATTCATTTTAAAAATAGCATTTTTATCAAATATGGAAACTTTGAAAGCATCCCTTATCATTTTAGCCCTAAAAAGCAGCATTAATGAGGCTAGCCACTTTGTTTTAATCAAATCATTCAATAAAGTAGACACGGATTTTGATCTTCAAAGTGGATCTTCGGGGACATGACTTTCAGAAATAGCAAAAGCATTTCCATTCATATTGTTTTAAAATTAATAGTTTATGTACCACAGTGTGAAAATTTCTCTGAGTGTTCTTTTTTATTTTTTTCTAAGGGATTTCCAAAAGAGATTCATCAATATTCTTTCCGATCTGTGAAGAAACAGAAGGTAAGATATGAGAGAACAGAAAATTTAAACAAAGCTAGAAAACTATTGATGGGATGTTAGTGGCAATGCAGTATTTCTTTTTTTGGGGGGGGGAGGGTTAGGGTTAGGGGAGAGGGAGTTAGTGGAAATATAATGTATTGAGATGAAGATATCTGATTCTTGAAATGTTTTCATTTTCTCCATCTATCAGTATAATATCTTTTGCTATTATTATCGAAAAAATAGTTAATTTCATCATACAGTTTGCTCCCCACTTGTTTAAAGTATTGATTTATTATGATTTTCCTTTGTCAAAAAAAGAAAACAAAACATAAACCTTATATAAATAAATCACCATACCACTTTTTTAGCAGTGAAGTTTCTTTTCTAATCTGAGGGAGAAGAATGGTTTTGCAGCCTGGTACCTTTTGGAGTTATTGAGAATACAAATTCCATAATTCCCTGACAGCATGACAAATTAGCTAGTTCTTCATAAATGTGTATTCGGCACATCATTGGATGGGATAAGGATAGGGAAGGCTGTTCTAACTGCAAAACTTTCTTCCACTGCTCTAAAGCTGTTCTAGGAAAGCTGCCCTGTTTATGACACTGTGTAATCCGAGATTTGCTTTAATGTTTTTTTTTATTTTTGCAGCCAGGAAAACAATCTGATGATCCTTCTGATTCTGACTCTCAGCTGGAATACAAAAGAAAAGGAGACATCATTGGTGAACAAAACATAAAAGACTCTGCGGTCAGTATTCAAAATACCTTTCCATTGGGAAACATCAATCCTGAAAAAAAATTAACTATCTGGCTTAAGCATGAGAAACAGAAAAGGCAATAGTGAGATTTAAGTAGTTTATATTTTATTTTTACCAGTGTATATTATACATTATTTTAGACTTAGTATGCTACTTGGTTTTAATAGAGCCTTGGTGGCGCAGTAGTTAGAATGAAGTACTGCAGGCTAACTCACTGCTAACTCCAGGAGTTTGATCTTGAACGGCTCAAGGTTGACTCAGCCTTCCGTCCTTCTGAGGTTGGTAAAATGAGGACACAGACTGTTGGGGGTAATAGGCTGACTCTGTAGACCACTTAGGGAAGACTGTAAAGCACTGTGAAGCGGTATATAAATCTAAGTGCTATTGCTATTGCTAATCCAACTGAAATTTCATGTATACAGTGAAAATAGTTAAGATCCTAGCATTGTGCAGAAATGATAATATATACAGGCAATAAATCAATAGAAAAGCAAGTAGCATATGATCAACTTTAAAGAGATAGACCCTCCCAAAGCCTAACAAACAAACCTCATTATTCTTTGAAAGCAAGGATGACAACCTATAATCCTACAATTGTTGGACTACAGCTTGTTGGTCAGGCTGATCTAGTTTTATAGGGTCTGGAGTTTAAGAACATCTGGCTATATTAAGCAGCTCAGTAGTTGAGAAACTTTCAGGTGGGCTAGTTAGCTCTCAGAAGTTACCTAGATGCCAGAATGGCCTATGTAAGCTAAGCATCAACCAATGATCCTCTTTAATAACACATTTGAGTGTTAGTGGTAATTATATTCGCGTTAAGACAATGTACTTGTTAAACCCAGATTAGCAATTAAACAATTTTTTTTCTTTGGATTTTTCTTTCTGCTCTAAAGATGAAGCCAGTGGCTACCATAAATTTACGCTACAGATATCGTAATAAGCAAGAAGGTGGACATGATATTGTAGTGCGCAAAGGTTTCTCTGCAGTTAAAGTGACAGTGCAAGACATCAGACGTCCAGCCAGTCCAGTGGTATGCTTCACCCACGTGGAGGACGGTCCTTATAGAACAATGGTGAGCCTTTTCAAAATGTACTTGGTTCTATATGAGCATTAAATCCATATATCAGTGACATAGGTTAAGCAAAATTATATCTGATATATTTCTTTCCTCCTTAGACAACTCTGAGAGCTGGTGAGAACTGCAGAGACTACAATGTTTCATTCGAAGTACAGACCGGTTTCTTTGCTAATAGACCAGCTCTTCAGGCAAAATTTAAGTACCCTAAGGTTTCTGAGGGATTTCTTATGATTATGAATCAGTAAGTAAAGGTTTCTGATGATCTAATGCTGTGTGCCACAGCAGCTGAGGTGTGTGTGTGTTTAAATGAGCCTGATCATTTGAAAACAAAGAGGTGGCTTTGTTTTAATCTAAACTGTGTTTCAAGCTAGTTCTAGTATCAAAGTCTGGGCAATATTAGAAATTGATCTATGAATAAATTTGCATTGACCTCATTTTTCAAGAATAGCCTTCAAAAAATGGCTAGTAATTTTTTTTTTCCTGATAAGGTCAACAATTGTGTTCGATGGACGCAGAGCAGAATTATGTGGTATACTTCTCTATGAGCATTACTCATGTATTTATTTCTATTAACTAAAAGAGCTAACTTTATTACACCCGATCATCATGAATGAATGAATTGGTTCCTAAACCAAGTACGCCTTCTCAAAGGCAGCTATCTTTAAATAACTTGACTGGTTAAGGAAGGAGAGAGTATTGGCCATTTTATTTGCTGTTTTCCAACTATCTATATAAGCTCTTGCTGGATGAATCTAGATTTTCTTGGAAGATTCCCTATAAATGCATTTCCACTGCCACTCCATCTCCCATGCAGGCAATAGAATAATAAATGTCAAAGCTAAAAGCAAATAAGGCTCATATCTGCTCTTGGCTAAATCAATCTTTAAATATTATCCACCTGCTTTACAGGCTAAATATGATATATTGTGGATTATGAAGTTTGTTCTAACGGTTTGTTTTCTTAGATACAGAACGTCCTTCCTATATCCCTTAAATAAGAGGTTTTCAAACTTGGCAGCTTTAAGACTTGTGGACTTCAACTCCCAGAATTCTCCAGCCAGCATAGTATAGCTGGCTGGAGAATTCTGGGAGTTGAAGTCCACAAGTCTTAAAGCTGCCAGGTTTGGGGACCCCTGCTTTAAATTATGTTCTGTTAATCCAAGCTTTTCTGTCTTTGTCAAGATTTCTTAAATTGGGCCCTGGGTTCGCCTACCTAGCAGACTTCTCTCACAAACTCCAAAAGAATCCTCCTCAAGAAATTACAGTGATTATGGCTCTAAAACGTCCAAACGAATGTATCATGGTCATGAAATTGCCAGAAGTGAGTTACACATTATTGTAGACAGCTATTTTTTGTTTAAATGCCAATCAGTTGTACAGTTACTTGTTCATTCTGATCAGCTTTGGTGGGGTTCTCAAAACAGCTGCTTGATAGCCATGTAAAAATAGGGAGAGTCACAGGCGAATGTTATTGCCATTTTGAGGGTTTGTTCTTGGCTTGCCACATATGTTCTTCCTATGTATACAGCAAGGGCAGTTAAGATCTGATTGTCCAATCAGTCAAGGCAAAGCAGTAATCCAATGTGAAAAGGACATTGATTAGGACTAGTGTATTGTCAAATGGTTATTGATAAACTAAATAAAACAGAATCTTTGTGTCGCTTTGAAAATGCATTGGGAAAAATAACTAAGGCATCAGCTCTACTTATTTTTTTCTTTTCATATTTCTTTCCAGGATGTCCTCTACAATGACAACTGCAGACTTCCTTATTCAGTTCCAATGGATCCCAAAGCCAAAACTTCAAAAATTGCTGATATTCCAAAATTGCTTCTTGCTACTCGGAATGGTCAGCAGTTTTACTATGTATTTATAATTTCTGGACAAACTTGTGGTCCTTTCAATAATGTTGAATATCAGTTCCCATAATTCCCTGCCAAATGATCAGTAATCAGAGCTGATGAGATTCGATACCATCTGAAGGTTCACAGGTTTCCTTCCCTTCCCCTACCTCAGCTATTTAAAAATATATGGTATTATAAAATTAATTTGATTTATTTAAATTCATTTGAATATGCAGAGAAAGACATAGCAATTTAAGATTTAATTTTTATTCTTAGCCCAAATAAAATGTATATGTATAATACGCATATACGTATAATACTATTCCTCAAAGTATTTCATAACCAATGTGGAACAATCATTTTAAATCTTATTTCACAGACAATTTAAAACCTAGTCAGTCTAAAAATTAATCACTTACTCCAATGTGACCCGTGAGAATGCAAAAAAATATAATAAAAAAATAAAATAAAAATAAAATGAACTGAAAACAAATCTCCCTTTAAAATATCTACAGATTCCTGCATTAGATTTCTGTGATCACAAATATAAAGTTCTTTTCTCAAAGTTCTAAAATACAATTTATTAGCTGCTTCTCTAAATAGTCAAAATATCAGAAGTTTCTTTCTTCTCTCACTGCATTCTTACTTGCTGTTATCAGGTGTTTGTACAGTAAAAGACAAGACAATTACAAGTTTCAACAATGAAATCATTACAAAAGGATTGCCTGACGACTGTTTCATAAATGTATTGGGAGATTGTACTTGTAACAAGAAGCTGATAGTGTTGATGAAATATGAGACCAAATACAATAATAGTCTTCTAATTGAAATCCATACACATAACATGTAAGTATTTTCCAATGCATTTTTAATAATCTAGACTGAACTCAGGATGAGAGAAAGAATAATTTCTAAAATTATCAGGAAAGAACCATTCTATTATTAAGGGTTTTTTTTTAAAACTTAAAATTTTATTCAATATCTGAGCAAATGACATATAATGATAATAATCAAAGCAATCATCCAAACTGTAACAACTGCAATAAAAATGAAATCATTTTTATTTGACATTAGACAAATAAACATTAGACAGCAGAAAAAATCATGTATAGTAAGGATGAGGATAATAATAAGAGTATCAGCTGCACAACAATAGTAACAACAGCAGCTATATATTAGAAAGCACTTGTATTGCTGGAAGACAAGAATAACCAGAAGTGATGTCTTGTGTTAAAAAAAATGTCAGATTTTTCTCTTGATTTCTGAATATCAAGAGCATCTTTGAGAGAGATGGATGGTTCAGAAATGTGAAAAATAAATAAATGAATGTTTCAAGTTTGGGTTTGGCAGGAACTATGAAGGAGGATATTCTGTGCTTTGCTTATACAGTAGATGAAAATTCTGTTACCTCCAAACAACCAGCATTTTTCAGCTAGTAATTAGGCTTTTAGATATTGAGAAACCTATTATAACTGGCTATTTTAAATGGTATTTAAATGGTCTTTATGCCTGATAAAATCAACTTGCATAATAAGATAATGCTCAATGTTAATTAACTCACTTACTATTGTAAACATATTGACCAAAAACTCATGAATTTTGAATTCAGCAGACTAACTCTTTTACGTTTTCTGTTTCTATAAGTATATGTACCATGAAGATGCGTGATGGTGAGCTCATTCTAGATGTAAATAGCACTAGGATACGGGATGGAGTTCTCCCTCGTGCCCTGAAACGTATGTAAAGAAAATAATCTTAATCATGAGTTAATGTAACTACTGAAGAGTTTGCAAAAAAAAAAAAAAATCAAAGAAACTAAATTCATTGCCAAGAAATAGAAAGTAATGATACAGCATAAATAGAGGAGAAAAACTGAATTTAAAAACAAGCATTGATTTATTCGGGATTTAGAAGTAGTCCTTCAATTATGCATTCTCCATATAGAAATGTTTATATTTCCTGACTCTGAAATATATTAGAATAAACCAACAGGGGTAGTTTGATGATCAGGAATGTTCAGATGGGAATGGGAGAAGAAATAAAGAACAGTACTCCCCGGACAAATTTTATTTGTAGGGAATTCCATCTACTATCCCTCATGATGGAATCATCAATTGAACTTTCATTTCACTTTTAAAACTTACAGATTTGCCTCTTCGGTTCAGAGAAACAGCAACTGAGCTGGAGTTTCACATGTCCGAAGTTGGATTAGAAAGAGTGAAATACACAGGACATTCTGCCATGGTATTGTTATTATTATATATTACTGTCATTATTACAGAATATTTAAAGTTGTAAAATGTTAAATGAAAAGGAAATACAGGAATGATTCTTGCTCCTTTATAGAGATTAATTAAGTTCTTGATGTGTTTAGGAAAACAGCACTTGAATCACATAAGCGTTTGCGATAAATTGGTCTGAGGAATCCTGTTGAAAATTCGGGAGGGGGGGAGGGGGATGAGCAAAAAAAATTGAAATACACCCTGTTTTGTTGTTTCAGAATGTATTTATGATGTTTCATTTCTTTTCATGTTCATAAAAAAATATATATTTTTTTATCTTTTTGTGAAGTTTGAAGTCAATACCTTGATAGAAAATTCATGTGGTCTCTGTGGATGGTATGGTTCAGAAGCAAAGAAGTTCCGGAGACCAAGTGGCCACATAGCCACAGATGAAGTGAGCTTTGTTCAGTCCTGGGTGGTCCCTGATAAATGTGGTGGAGGTAAGCAGAATCTGATGGCTTGCTTTAATAGTCACCAACAATCTGCTCCAGATTTTTCCTTGCTCTGCTCAGTGCTTTGATATCACTGTAAACAACTGGATTGAACCATCAGTTTAATTTCCTATAATGGCTCAGGAAAGAGTAGCCTATGGCTGCTAGGAATTAGTATTGTCCCAAAGTTGATTATTGTATACCTGTAGAATATATTGCTTGGAATAAATTAATTCAAATCACATACCTTCAAAACTAGTAAGCATGAACATGATGCTTTCATAAATGCTACTTTGGGAAATGAAGCTGTAGAGCTCCTGGTTTCCTTTTGAAGAAATCCATTTTGTTCTCTTATAGACTGTAAACTGCGACACACAACAGTGAGACATGAGAATCCAAAGTTAATGGGACAAGAAAATCCAGAATGTGCTACCAATCTTCCTGTCGCACGCTGTGCTGAAGGCTGCTCAGCCACCAGTACTACCAAAACCTTAGCTAGCTTCCATTGTGTGCCAACTGGTAAGTTCATGTAATGTTTACTTATTTTGGATATTCTTATAACATATAATGTAAATCTTAAATATAGGGCAGGCACATTAGATAAATTCACTTAAGAAGTATTTTCTGGGATTTCTCTGTAATCGCTTGGTTTTCAAATATCTTGTTTTTAGAGGGGAGCACCACAGAGCTTGATTTTATTGGGTCATTCAGAATACTGTAAACAGTTTGTTTGCTCAATAGTGGATTTTCCTCTTCCCATTGTTGCTTCTATGTGGAGAAGAAAGAGCCCTTTTTATTAAAAAAAAGTGTCCTGAACTGTACAAAAGCAGTAAAACTTAAAAAGAATTTTAATGTTTTTAATATTTTGTCTTAATAATTAGCTTAAAGCGGGCTTGACTGTTACCTATTTTCTATTATCATTAAATGATACACTGAAAAATTATCTGCAGCCTAGTCTTAACATATAAGTATTTAGAAATATCTCATATTTACTATGAACAGGATTGAAGACTTAAAAGGGGAAATATATTACTCTGGTGTTCTAACTGAGCTCATTATCTTGACATAAAAGACTGGGTCAAATTAGATTTGATTAATTTGTTTGCATAAATTCAGTGAATGTGTTTATCTGAGGAAGCCGAGTTATCCCCTGGATTATGGAAAGTGAGATTGGGGGGAAAAAAATCCCCTTTCCCTGCTGCAGTTCCAACTGCAAGTCCCTTTCTTAACTTTTCCAACACAATAGTAGCTTGAGAAAAGTCATTCTGGGCAAGGCTGGGGTAGGCCTTAATGGTGATGAGGGAGTTTTCTTTGGCCTTGCAGAAAAAAGTTCTTTGCCTTGCACCATGTTGCTTCTTTTAATGATTTTACTCTTTTTCCTCTTCCTGCAGGATCAACCTTGCCTACTGACCTGACCATACTGATGGAAAAGCCTGGAGATTTTGAAGACTCGATTGAATCTCACACATCCTGTTCTTGTAAACAGGAACAATGTGCTGCATAAGCCTTCAACTGAGTAGACTCAGTGTATCTTCTCTTGTATGCTGTGGGGGCTGATATGTCAATTCTAGGCTACTACACAGTTGTTAATTAAATTATTTTAAGAACCCTACTGTACCCTCTTAAATAATCCAATTTTTCCTAAAGTAAATCTCAGCCTTATTCCAATATAACAAAGTCAACTCTAAATGAAACAGATAATTTTCTAATAAACATTTGCATTCCAAAAGAAAAAAAATGAAGTGGTGGCTTTATTTCATTAGTGAAGTGTAATGAAAGGTTGCATTTGGTAGAGCAAAAATGATTGGGCATTTGGATAATAGGAACTGCTTTTTTAAATTATATGTTACTGTTAGAATTTTTCATTAGAATTTCTGTTTTAAATAAATACTTTCCTACTCAGTGAAAAATGTAGATTTCTCACATCATTGAGAAATACTAAATGGTAAACTTCACACAAGCTATATATGTAACATAGAAAGAATAATATTCAAATTTATGGAGTTAAATTATTTGAAGTAAGATCAGCAGGCTGAACTACCTTCAGTTATACAAAGTTATACAAAGTTATACAAAGTTATACAAAGTTATATAAAGATCTGCTAATCCCCATAAATGCTATATAATGGAAGTTAATAGAATTAGTTATCTCATCCATATACCCTTGCTATTCCAAAATAAAATATTTATGTTGATTTAAAACCCTCTTCCCAATTACCAGAATTTCTTTATCTTGTTTTAAAATCACAGATTGAAAAATCAAGTCCTCAATAGCATAAAGTAATATAGTAATATATGCATCCTATGCAGAATCAGTAAAAGGGGGAAAAACTAAGTTCTTGTGTGTGTGTGTGTGTGTGTGTGTGTGATTATGTTTTCATATACAAATCTGACCATTCAATGGTCCATATTCGAGCAGAGATGACAATGGCAGTTTTAAAGTAGGGTGAATGGTGGAGATACCATTTTAATGGAGTAGAAACTGAGCCAGTGACTATTTACCTTTCTTGAAATTAATGCACTGTAATGAGGTTCATAGTTTCCACTGTAGCCCTGGTTCCATAATGGGGGGGGGGAGGGAGTTGTTACTCCAATCCAGAGGTATTCTTCTATATTTTGTAGTCAATGGTATGTGGAATGGAAGGAAAATAGCCATTTTTAGGTAGAATATTTCTCAGTAGTGCTTATCAGTACCCATAATAAAATGGTTGTCATCTAGAGGGACAAATACTCTAATAGTTCAGCAAGATGGAGTGAGTTTGCAGATAACAGAATAACAGAGTTAACAGTAATAGTAACAGAGTTGGAAGGACCTTGTAGGTCATCTAGTCCAACCCCCTGCCCAAGCAGGAGACCCTACACCATTTCTGACAGACAGCAATCCAGTCTCTTCTTGAAAGCTCCATGCCTCTCCTGGTATTTCACAATACAACCAAAGATAAAAGCACAATACAAAAGAGATAACCAGATAGAGAACCCACTCAAACTAGCCTGAAAGACACATTCCAAACACCTCTAGCATCTCTAGCAAGGGGCTCCATCCACCCTAAATAACAGAAGATGTATTGACAGAGGTGCCTGTTGGTTCATCATCATCCTACCTAAAAGACCAATACTTCTACAGATTGGTCCATTGTTGGAAATGAGGAATCCACATAATAATTAAATCAGTGTGGTAAAAATTGAATAGATGCCTGTGCATGAGCAAACTGTCTGGTCTTATAACCCAAACCAAATTGGTCATAGGATGCAGAGCTATATGATCAAAAGAAAAGAAATATGTCCACAGGAGCTTAAAGTGGACATTGGGATCCAAGTAGAAGATCATAGATCTAACCATGTTCTTTCCAATCACCTCACCCATCATCATCATAGTGAAGAGAAGGCCCAGGGGACACATGATAGCAGTGTTCCAATATTTGAGGGGCTGCCACAGAGAGGAAGGGGTCAAGCTATTTTCCAAGGCACGTGAAGGCCAGACAAGGAATAATGGATGGAAACTGATCAAGGAGAGATTCAACCTAGAAATAAGGAGGAACTTTCTGACAGTGAGAACAATCAACCAATGGAACAGAAGTTGCCTTCAGAAGTTGTGGGAGCTTCATCACTTGAGGCTTTCAAGAAGAGATTGGACTACCATTTGTCAGAGATAGTGTAGGGTCTCCTGCTTGAGTGGGGGATTGGACTAGATGGTCTACAAGGTCCCTTCCAACTCTGTTAATCTGTAATCTTTTAACAACCCCATAATCCCTTGCAGGGTGGCGTCTGAGCAACTGAATGGAGCTAGCAGAGTGTTTAGTGGCCAGATGCCCTTCCTGTCACCAATGCAGAGTTTTGTTCAGCAGATGTATTTTCATTGTGCCCAGAGAGAGAAATATCTGCCTCTACTTAGGATCAAACTCACTGCCTCCTGATTGTGAGGCAAGAGCTCCACATCTAGGCTACTGCATCACTCTTTTGCCAACCACCTCACTGAAGTGACATAAATAGATAGTATGACAACATTTGTATTGGGACAAGACAATTCCTTTTTAACAGCAGACCATGTACTATGTCAGGCTGCAAATGACTTAGAGGTGATGAGATTTCTCTTTAAAAAGTCAACAAGTTATCTTCACGTCCTGGTTAGAAGGACATAAAGATTAACCCAATGCCTTAAAGTAGAATGAGCAGGTTTGCATTTGTCTGATTGTGTGAAAAACAAGAAGAACCCTGAGGAATTGCAATGAAGGAGGATTTACGAAACTATCCGGTTACTTATTTTTCTTTAAGCATTTATGAAGTGAAGGCAACATCAGCCAAAGCCCAAGAACTGGGATAAGAGCATGGGTGAGAAGAACAGGGAGGATTAGGCAAGAATTTCTGACAATAGGAAAACAGACCTTTACTGCTGCCAATAGGAAGGGTGTTTCTGTGTAATTTACAATGCTCCGCATCTAAATCAGTTATAAATAATTTCAAATATCAAACCCAGATGGTAGCATGTGAACATAAAATCTAGAGTTGATGGTAGAGAGGTGCAAGGAGACGGTAGGCAAGTATCCTCAGCGACAATGAGAATCAAGACAGCTGGTGATGAACTTTTCAATCACTGCTGCTGTTACCAACTGAGCTGGAGTGCTGCCTCTTGGCTTTGCAGAGGCCATCATTTCTTGAGAGGAAGAACAATGGAAAGATCTACATTTGTCAGGCAGATCTAGATTCAATGAACCTGACTTACATGTGCTCAAGCTCACTACTTTATTATATTCTGCCTATTATACAGCTCTGAACCTTTTGCTACTGTGCAAGGACTCAAGGCCACCTCCTGCAATGGTTCAACTCCTAAAGCTACATCTGAGGCTTATGTCTGGTCAATAAAGCTCTTTGATGGGCCTGGGTCCTGGAGAAGGGGCTGTTTAGTAAAGAACTGTTTTGGCAAAGAACTGTTGGTGGTGCAGTGATTAGAATGCAGTATTGCAGGTAAACTCTGCCTATAGCCTGGAGTTGGATCCTGATGGGGCCCAAGGTTGACTTGAGGTCTTCCATCCTTCCAAGGTCAGTAAAATGAGAACCCATTGTTGGGGCCAATATGCTGACATTGTAAACTGCCCAGAGAGTGCTGTAAAGTATTGTGAAGTAGTAATGACTACTTCAGCTTCAACTGCAATAATACACGAGCACACAATAGATACAAACTTAAGGTAAACCGCTCCACTCTTGATTGCAGAAAATACGATTTCAGCAACAGAGTGGTCAAGGCCTGGAATGCACTAGCTGACTCTGTGGTTACATCCCCAAATCCCCATAACTTTAACCTTAGACTGTCTACTGTTGACCTCACCCCATTCCTAAGAGGTCTCTAAGGGGTGTGCATAAGAGCACTAACGTGCCTACCGTCCCTGTCCTACTGTCCCCAGGGCCGGATTTTCCTATAGGCTAACTAGGCTTCAGCCTAGGGTCTCAAGATCAAGAGGGGCCTACACAGTGGTGGGATTCGGGGGGCGGGGGAGCCAGCAATTTAACAAAGGGTTCGGTGTTTTTTTTTGTAATTTTATTGGCCCACGGAGCTTCAGCATAGGCTAATTGGCCTCCCGGCTCTCAGCTGATTTGTCTCCGCTGTTTTGCTCAGGGCTCTTCTGCTTCCTTGCAAAGAAACGAAACTGAAACTGCTTTGCTGTTGCTGCAAGGTTGGAAAATTAGGCAGGCAGAATTCTTTTCTTTTTCCTCACCAAAAAAGGTACGTGCAAACAATGGGAAATTTAGGGAAAAAGAGGAGAGTTCAGGATTTTAAAACACAAAAGAAAAAAAGCTCTATTTAACTAGGGAATTGTAATAATTGAGATACTATTAATTGTATATTGTGTTGAAAGCAGAAATGGTTAAGTTGTGGTTTGGAGGAATATATGGGGGAAATTATTTGGTTTATTATTATTGGTAAATATAATTAATTGATTTGTAAGAAATTGGATTGCATGGAAACAATTGGAATATTCATGTTCATATTGATTAATATACAAAAAAGGTAGTTATATAACTAATTGATTTATATTAAAATGTTGAATTTATATTAAACAACTAATATTACATAATTAACCAATGTGAGGATGGATATAAAAATAGATGACAATGGGAAGGGGTATAATATAGAATAGAAGGGAAAAATTGAATTTGATTAAGATTAGAGATGAGGATGAAGGGTAATATTGGTTTTTTACAAAAATAGATGAGGAATAAATATGGCAAAAAGGAAATATAGAAATTGTAAATTTAATTGAAATGACTAAACACTGTTTAAATTTGTGAACCGGCCAAATACTCTGTTCAAAGAAAATACATTGTATGTTTGTATGTGTGTTTCTAATTATTGTTATTTATTCATATTTGTTCTCTTTTATTCTTTAAAGTTTAACAATTCATTCTTTATCTTAATATCTTTATATTTGTTTGGGGTTGGCTTTCTTCCCTTTCATCTTTTTTATTGTACAGCAATCTTTCTCCTCAAACCTACCACCTCTCTCTTTTCTTTCCTTCTTACTTTCTCTTCCTCCCCCTCTTCTTCTCCCTACTTCCTCTTCCTTTCTCCTTGTCCTCCTCTCTTCCTCCCTCTCTTACCCTCACTCCTACTCTAATTTCCCTTCCCTTCCTTCATCCCTCTCTATTGCTGTATCCTTTTATGCATATGGACTACTCAGAGGGCTGAAAAAGTTATTTCTGACTGGTCCTCGCACTTTTGACCAGTCCTCGAACTTACGACTGTCCTCACATTTTACGTTTTTGCCCTATCTTGTCACCATGGTGAAGAGAAGCAGTTGTGAAATGAGTGACATGGTTGTTAAGAAAGCTGCACGGGCATAAATGTGAGGATGGTCATAAGTGTGAGGACCGGTCAAAAGTGCGAGGCCCAGTCAGAAATGACTTTTTTCAGCCCTCTGAGTAGTCCCTATGCACATAGCCACGCCCACCCGGTCACATGACGAGCTACCCATGCCTACACAGTCATGTGACCAGCTAGCCACGCCCACCCAGTCACATGATTGCCAAGCCACACCCCCAACCAAGCCACGCCCACAGAACCTGTTGTTAAAAAAATTGAATCCCACCACTGGTGAAAGGGCCTCATAAGTGGAATAGCCTAGGGCCTCTTTTCATCTAAATCCGGCCCTGACTGTCCCCATTTATTTGTATTCATAATCATTTTTATACTTATATCTGTTATCTTATACATGTTTGACAAACTAACTAACTAAATAAAATATATACATTGAAGTGCTATTGCTATTTAACTTTTCAAATGAAGATTGTTCTCTTTCTGTCCAAGCAAATTTCTCTTTCTGTTTCAGCAATTGAGTTGAGAAGCTTAACTTTGTGTGCAAAGTTAGGAATGAACTACCTATAAAAGTTAGCAAAGCCTAGTAAACACTGAACCTCCTTTGCATTATAGGGGATTGCCAGGAGAGTACTGCATGCACCTTCTGGGGATTCATCTGGATCTCATCCGTGGAAATGTGAAGTAACCCCAAAAGCCCAAGTGCTTCAAGTCAAATGCACGTTTCTCCACAAGAAATGTCTCCACGAGAGCACGGCTAGCTTGAAACAAGCAAAATGTACGACTTCCTCAAGAGGATTCTTCTTTTTTAAAAAAAATATATATGGGGAAGTATTTATTTCCTTCTTGACTCATCCTCCCTCCCCCCCCCATATACTGGATGAAAGACAGAATCAACACTAACCACGACGACTGACGCCTCGATCGACGCTAGGGGGCGCTCACAGCCCCTACGCTCGAACAACCCAGATCCCCTCCCTCTCTGAGGAGCGCCAGATCCCCAACCTTCCCAGCCAGCCGGCAGCCAAGCAGGTTCTTCCCCAGCCTGAGGCAGGGCGACCGAGGCGCAGGGCAGGGGAACGCGCGTGGAGAAGCCGACCTGCACCGGCGCGCCCTGGCCATGAAGAGCTCGGGAGGGGGCGGAGGCGCGCGTCTCTTGACCGCGATCCTCTTCGCCCTGCACTTGCGGTTGGCTGTCGGCGCGTGCCCGTGTCAGGATCCCGCGCTTTGCAAGCCTATCTCGAGCCCCAGAGACTTCGAGGTGAGATCCCCGGCCCCGCCGGCTCTCGCCTGGAGGGGAAAAAAAGAATTCCGCGAAGTGCACGGATCCGGGTGGATTATCTCGTCCCCAATGAAAGTGGAAGCTTACGGGGCTTTGAGGCGTGCAGCGATGGGCATTTGGCTGGGGAAAGTTAAGCAGGCGTGGCCCGCGCGCGACCGTGGGAGCCAGAAAAGGTGTTCACTTCTTTAAAAATGTGAAGGACAGGGACCCAGTGAGATCCCCCTCAGTCAGATCCCAATTATCTGTGTTTGCTATGCATACAAATACTTCCTGAGTCAGTCTGTTCTGTCTCTTAACATTGAGCCTACTCCACCTTAATGGATCTTAGACTTCCCGAGCTGCAGGCGGCTGGAAAATTCCCCGTGATTGGTTGTCCATTCCAGGAAATGGAATGATCGATGCCCTGCATTTTGGTGTTTCTTCACGTGGGAAGAAAAACAAAGAAAGGGAGGCATCTTCTAGCCTGAGTCTTGATATGTCACTTGTCTTTCTCTTCTTCAATTTCCTGGTGCTGGGGTGAAACTCTGGGACGGTGGTTGCAAAATGAAAGCAAAGGGTGACTAATCTGAAAATATTAGCAAATATTCATAATTGCCAGAAATAACTGGAGAGGGGAGAGATCCAGCCCTCAGCCTCTGCTTTGCAGGGTGCCACGGGGCTCAAACCTCTTCCTTTTCCTATTTACTACCTAGAGAAAGGACTGGGTGATGTCATCTATCCGCACAGGTTGAAATCCCGTCATTAGGCTGATGACACTCCATTGTACATCTATGCCCTGAGCCAACCAGGTAAAGCATACTTGATGTGCTTTCCTGGAGCCTGTGAAGATCTGGATAGCTAGGGACTGCTAGGGTTTGACCCTCGGAAGAATAAATGGCTGTGGGTTTTAATGTCCCCCATAGCCAGTGAATTTTCATCAATGACTCTGAATGGATGTAATATTCCCCAAGGCAGAGTTTGTGCATAACCTGGAGGGGGGGGGGTTTCTCCTCAAAGAACAGGTGGCAGCTATGGCTAAGAAAGTTTTTTTTGTGTGCATAATTACATTTTGTGTAGCAGTTGTACCCATTCATAGATTGAGAAGCATTGCTCATGGTCATTTGTACTTTAGTCACTAGACTATTGCAACATGTTTTACATGAGGCTGTTCTTGAAGAGTGTTTGGAAGCTTCAGCTGATCCTGAATGCAGTGGCTCAGGGAATACTGGGCCCTCATACTACACCCACATAAGGTTGCTGCTTTGTGAGGTGTACTGGCTCCTGGTGGGCTTCCAGAGGTAGCTTGTGGTTCTGGTTGTCAGTTTTCCAAGTCCTGCATGGCATGGAGCTAGGTTACTTGTGGGACTGTCTCTCTCTGATGATCCCATCAGAAAGGATAAAGTGGGCATCCTCCAGGTCCCATCAATGAAGCTGTGTCACTTAATAGATCCTTGGAAAGTATATTTTCTATCACGGTTATTGTCCTGTGGAACAACTTCCCCTAGAGATATGGATAACCCCAACCCTAATGGCCTGGGTATTCTTCCAAAGGGGTCAGGGTCTTAATGGAGCACACACACACACCTATATAATTATTGCTATTATAGGTTCTGTTTGTTGTTTTTATTAGTTTACTGTTCAGAGTGCTTTGGAAGAGAGGCAGGCTTGACATATAAATATGGAAACAAACAAACAAATCCCAGTTTGAAGAAAATAAAGAGAGATTACATATTTTGGTTGAACTGGAAAAGCCAAGCAGGATCATGTCTGATTAATACTTGGATGGGAGCTCACGAGGAAGTAGCAGAGCTGCAGGATAATCTGGGAAATAGGAAAAAAGAAAGCACGCCAGAATGTGGCAGTGGCAAGCTATTTTGTGGTTAAGGAAACTATACAGACATTAAGAGATGTGTTGGACTCATGAAGGAGGCTTTATTTTTTTAACATAAACAATGTGCAGTTGACAATAGCGTCCGTGGTTTTTTTTTTCTAGTCAGTTAGCATATCATGGTTCTTTTGGCATTTTGTAGGAATTTGACTTTAAACCATCACCAGGATGCTTGAACCAATGTGATGGGCCTTCCTAAAAGAAAATACCACAGAGCTAAGATACACAGTCTGCCTAACATTTTCTAAAGTCTTTACTGTACAAGCTTAAATTGCAATGGCCACCTACATAAACTGAAAGACAGGACAGTGTACAAATATATAGGTAGTTCTTGATTTATGACCACAAATAGAATAGAACAGAACAGAATAGAATTCTTTATTGGACATGTGTGATTGGACACATAAGGAATTTATCTTTGGTGCACATGCTCTCAATTGACCATGACAATTGGAAACCCTGGAAAGTGGCAAGAAATGTTGCAAACATGATTACTGACAGTTGGATGCTGCAACAGGTAGTAAATGCAAGCCAGTTGCCAAGGGCCTGAAATCATATAATTATGGGAATGGCATAGCAGTCATAATTTTAAAGACATTGTAAGTAACATTTTTTGAGTCTGTTGTAACTTTGAATGGTGGTTAAGTAAGAGGTTGTAAGTAGAGGATTATCTGCAATGTTTGTTTGTTTATTTATTTATTGGATTTGTATGCTGCCCCCTTTCCCGAAGGACTCAGGATGGCTTACAACAATAAGAAACAGAAAATACAAAAGTTAAAAAACAAATTAAAGCAGCATATCCAATAAATAAGGTTAAACGTGGGAATACAAATTCAAATTTAAGATTTAAGAATTTAAAAAACTACAAAATTAGTTTAGAGTCAACCCAGGCCCACCCGTTAGAAGAGCCAGGTCTTCAAGGCCCGGTGGAAAGTTCAGAGGTCGAGGATTATCCGGAGCTCCAGGGGTAACTATTCCAGAGGGTAGGGACTCCCACAGAAAAGGCTCTCCACCTAGGGGTCACCAGTCGACATTGTCTAGCCGAAGGTACCATGAGAAGGCCAAATCTGTGGGAGCGAACCGGGCGATGGAAGGCTAACGGGGGCCGGAGGTGGTCTCGCAAGTAGTCTGGTCCTAGGCCACATAGGGCTTTAAATGTGATCACCAGCACCTTGAATTGCACTTGGAAAACAACCGGGAGCCAATGCAGACCATGAAGGAGTGGTTTGACATGGGAGTACTGAGATACCCCATGACAACCCGCATGGCCACATTCTGCACCAGTTGAAGTCTCTGAGTGCTCCTCAAGGGCAGCCCCATGTAAAGTGCATTGCAGTAGTCCAAATGAGAGATGATGAGGGCATGATCAACTGTGAGTAAGGCATCTCGGTCCAGAAAGGGGCGCAATTGGCGAACCAGGTGCACCTGGACAAAGGTTCCCCTGGCTACGGCAGTCAAATGATCTTCCAAACTAAGCCGTGGGTCTAGGACAGCGGTTCTCAACCTGGGGGTCACGACCCCTTTGGGGGTCGCACGGCCATTTCAAAGGGGTCACCAAAGCCCTCTCGCCCCCCTCCCACGCCTTCACTCACCCTCACCCTTTGCCTCTGTTGGATCGTCGGTCGCGGTCGCTTACCCTGCCCACTCCCAATCTATTGCTGCTCCTGAGTCCCAGCTGATGGCTAGAGGGAAACAAACCGTTTAAATTCTTGCCGCAGGGCTTCAAAGGGCCGCCCTATAGCTGATCAGTGTTAAAAGAAAACAAATGAGAAGACCGGTGCCTGCAAAAATAGAAAAAACAGCCCCTTTCAGCTTCAGCATAGGTTAATTACCATAAATTGATTTGATCAGCCTCCGAACTCTCAGCTGATTTGCTCTCAGCTGTTTTGCGGAGGGCTCTGTTGCTAGCTGCAAAGAGAGAAGCAGATTTTTTTCCTCCCTAGCTATGCTGAAAAAACAAAACTGAAAGTAAAGCAGGGTCTTTGCTGCAACGTGACAAAATGAGGCAGAGAGAGTTTTCTTTTTCTTTTTCCTCTCCAAAAAAGGTAAGTGCAAAACTGCAAACAATGGGAAATTTAGGGCAAAAGAGGAGGTTCAAGATTTTAAAACACAAAAGAAAAAAAGCTCTATTTAACTAGGGAATTGTAATAATTGAGATACTATTAATTGTATATTGTGTTGAAAGCAGAAATGGTTAAGTTGTGGTTTGGAGGAATATATGGGGGAAATTATTTGATTTATTATTATTGGTAAATATAATTAATTGATTTGTAAGAAATTGGATTGCATTGAACTAATTGGAATATTCATGTTCATATTGATTGATATACAAAAAAGATAGTTATATAACTAATTGATTTATATTAAAATGTTGAATTTGTATTAAACAACTGTATTACATAATTACATAATTAACCAATGTGAGGATGGATATAAAAATAGATGACAATGGGAAGGGGTATAATATAGAATAGAAGGGAAAAATTGAATTTGATTAAGATTAGAGATGAGGATGAAGGGTAATATTGGTTTTTTTAAAAAATAGATGAGGAATAAATATGGCAAAAAGAAAATATAGAAATTGTAAATTTAATTGAAATGACTAAACACTGGTTAAATTTGTGAACCGGCCAAATACTCTGTTCAAAGAAAATACATTGTATGTTTGTATGTGTGTTTCTAATTATTGCTATTTATTCATATTTGTTCTCTTTTATTCTTTAAAGTTTAACAATTCATTCTTTATCTTAATATCTTTATATTTGTTTGGGGTTGGTTTTCTTCCCTTTCATCTTTTTTATTGTACAGCAATCTTTCTCCTCAAACCTACCACCTCTCTCTTTTCTTTCCTTCTTACTTTCTCTTTCCCCCTTCTTCTACTTCCTACTTCCTCTTCCTTTCTCCTTCTCCTCTCTTCCTCCCTCTCTTACCCTCACTCCTACTCTAATTTCCCTTCCCTTCCTTCATCCCTCTCTATTGCTGTATCCTTTTATGCATATGGACTACTCAGAGGGCTGAAAAAGTTATTTTTGACTGGTCCGCGCACTTTTGACCAGTCCTCGAACTTACGACTGTCCTCACATTTTACGTTTTTGCCCTATCTTGTCACCATGGTGAAGAGAAGCAGTTGTGAAATGAGTGACACGGTTGTTAAGAATGCTACAATGGGCATGATGACCAGTCATAAGTGCGAAGACCGGTCAAAAGTGCGAGGACCTGTCAGAAATGACTTTTTTCAGCCCTCTGAGTAGTCCCTATACACATGACCAGCTAGCCACGCCCATCCAGTCACATGACCTCCAAGCCACACCCACAGAACTGATAGTAAAAAAATTTAGAACCCACCCCTGGTTTGGGGTCACCACAACATGAAGAACTGTATTAATGGGTTGCGGCATTAGGAAGGTTGAGAACCACTGGTCTAGGAGGACTCCCAAATTGCGTACCTTCTCTGAGGGGGTCAACACCTCCCCCCCTAGGGATAGCAATGGAACATAGTGGACAAAACGGGGTGCTGGTAACCACAGCCACTCGGTCTTGTCGGGGTTGAGTCTAAGTCTGTTCGTCCCCATCCAGACCCGTACAGCCTCCAAGCACTGGGACATCATGTCAAGGGCATTGTTGGGGTGATGCGGGGTGGAGATGAAAAGTTGGGTATCATCAGCATATTGATGATACCGCACCCCGAATCCCCGGATGATCTCACCCAGCGGCTTCATGTATATGTTGAACAGGAGAGGTGAGAGAACTGACCCCTGCGGCACCCCACAAGGTAGGGGCCTAGGGGTCAACCTCTGCCCCCCTGCCAGCACAAACTGCGTACGACCTGAGAGGTAGGAGGAGAACCATTGAAAAACAGTTCCTCCCACTCCCAACCCCCTTAGCCGTCGCAGTAAGATACCATGGTCGATGGTATCAAAAGCCGCTGAGAGGTCAAGTAAGACCAGGACAGAGGAGTAACCCCTATCTCGGGCACACCAGAGATCATCTATCAACATGACCAATGCCGTTTCTGTGCTGTGACTGGGCCTGAAGCCGGACTGAAATTGGTCCAGGTAATCCGTTTCATCCACAAATCGTGAGAGCTGATACACCACCGTGCTTTCAACTGCCTTCGCCATAAGGCGAAGGTTAGAAACTGGACGATAGTTCTTAAAGAGAGCCGAGTCCAAGGCAGGTTTCTTGAGGAGGGGTTTCACCACCACGTCCTTCAAGGCAGAGGGGAAGATTCCCTCTCTCAACGAAGCATTAATTACTGCCTGGAGCCAGCCTTATGTAACCTCTCGGGAGGTCGAGACCAACCAGGAGGGACACGGGTCCAGCAGACATGTGGCGGTGCTCAATCTACCCACAATCCGGTCCACATCGTCAGGAGTCACAGGCTCAAACTCATCCCAGATAACATACTCAGGACCAGTCCCCATCACCTCAACGGACCCTGCCCAGTCAGAGTCCAGGCCCACCTGAATCTGAGCGATTTTATCCTGTAAATATTGGACAAATTCCTCAGCCTTACCCTGCAAAGGATACCCAGGCTCAGGCAACGGAGCCACAACAGGATCATCCCTCACTCCCACATTAAGAAGGGAGAGAGTCACCCTAAACAGGGTGGCCTGTTAATGATTTTAGAAATCTTATGGCTGCTATTAAAAGATGGCATATGAATGTCCCCATTTTTATGGTTAAGAAAACTTTGAATTTTAATTAATCTTTTTAATATATCTGAATCAGTAAATACAAGCAGACAAAATTTAGTTATGAAACCACTTATTATACAAGAGGCTTGTAGAGACTTAAAGTCACATTCTTTATTAATTGGGGAAGGAATCTTTATGCATATGTGAGTTGCTTGTGGGGGGGGGCTTATTGAACTGAGCATTTCTATGTCATTCCAAATTATCAGAATTTATACCAAGCAAATAGCTTTTAGGCCCCTTTCCCAAATTGATGGCCTTTGAATGTGTTGAACTTTGGACAGAGGATTATGGGAATTGATTCAACATACAGAAAATTAAATAAAATCAGGCTGTAGAAAGTCCACCCCCCAGTCCTAATTAAGATGGTTTTCTTTACCAGCTAAATCAATTAAAGGACAGTGATGAGAGTGATACTTTTTTTTTTGTACTGCTCCTCTATAGGTCTTTGTATTTGATGTTGGTGGGAAGACGTGGAAAAATTATAACTGGTCACTAATTACAACAGTGGCCACATTTGGAAAATATGATCCTGAACTTATGTGTTATGCTCATTCAAAAGGATCCAGAGTAGTTTTGAAAGGTAAGTTCTAATCAGGATAAGGAAAATGTTTTCTGGGAAGAGGACTTATCTGCACAAAAATGGACAGGGTTGCCATACGCTAAGTAAATAAATACATGGTCAGGGGTAAAGCTATGCATCTAATTGCTATCAATATTGACTCAGACCTCTCTGTCCATTATTGGTCAATAGCTTCAGTGTTGCAAAAATCACAGAGCAAAACTGAAATTCTCAGGACAGAATATACTTCAAAGGAATTGTGATAAGGAAAATGTTGATCTCAAAATACTTTTTAATGCCTTAATACTGCAGCAATTTGGCAAATCATCACCATTTTTATTTCAGGAGACATATCTGTGAAGAAAATTATTGATCCTGCAATTAGGGCAGCCTGGATAAGCCAGCAGGTAGACCTGGCCAAAACACAGTACATGGACGGAATCAATATTGACATTGAGCAACATATTAACCCATTTTCAGCTGAATATTATGCATTAACAGCTTTGGTTAAAGAAACCACAGATGCTTTTCACAAAGAAATTCCAGGATCCCAGGTAAAAATAGAACAATGACTCTTCTCATGCATGCACTAGTTCAATTTCATGCTTCTCAGCTATGTACCAGAATGCAGCAAGACTTCTGGATATGATTCACACATGCTTGTTATCACTCCTAAATCCTTATATGGCACAAGACCAGGCTATTATTTGATCTCTGACTATTTCTCCTCACCTCACTAGAATTAACAGGAATGCCATGTAGACATGCAACTAGACATGTCTTGTCTAGTATATAATGTCATTTTCCTGGACATGGGAATCTTACCTTCTCTGTTGCAGCCATACACTGTGCAGCAGCATTCCCTTCAGGTTCCAGCTGAACCCAGCTCTACTCGCCTTTCAGAAAAAAATAAAGTTTTCTTGCAGATCCCTTAGGAATTTTGTCCAGAAGATTAAGCTCTGCTGGTTGATTGATTTTGTTATTTTTCTCCATTGTAAACCAGGAATGATCAGATATTGTTACCTTAATGGTTGGTTTAATTTTATTACTGTTTTAATTTTAACTTATTTTATGTTGCCCATGAATGAGTCATTATTATAAGAGGTTGGCCATATAAAATGTTGAAATAAATAAATAAATAAATAAATAAATAAATAAATAAATGCATACATACATACATACATACATACATACATACATACATACATACATACAGTTAGTTTAAAATAATATATTATGGTCTCCCAAATATATGAATGTGATTTGAAGTCCAGGCAGATATAAATCAAGATCAGTTTGGGGTGCTCCCAGACAGTGCCATTTAAGCTGGTAGCCTGCATTTGATTGAGTGCATAAAATGTTGTGCATCTTTGCCATTAGATCAGAGATGGGATTCAAATCCCAGCGCTACCGGTTCACTATCGGTAGTGCGCGGGCTCACTTTGTGAGCGTGCTGCACTTCTGCACATGCACAGAGCTTTTTTGATGATGTCTGGGTGGGTGAGCGGAGCCTCCCGCTGCTGCTACTGTTTCGCCCTAACCGGGGTGAACCGGTAGAAACCCACCCCTAAATTAGATACATTTTAGTTTTGATTTCTAAGGGAAAAATTGTCCATTTTTTAATATTATAGTATATTGCATGTTGCCTTGGTTCCATTATAGTGTTTGAGCCTGTTCCACTGCACTTTAATATTCTTGTTAGTAATTTTATGGTTCCTGTGCAGTCCTATGATTTGTATTGCTAGTGCAGGATCAACAGTTGGTGTATCCATAAAAAGTGGTTGAATGAAAAATGATGGGTGTGTTTCTTTCATACACAGGTAACTTTTGATGTACCTTGGTCTCCTGGATGTATAGATTGGAGATGTTACAACTATACTGGGATTGCTGACTCCTGTGATTTCCTGTTTGTGATGTCTTACGATGAACAGAGTCAAGTGTGGTCACACTGCATAGCAAGAGCCAATGCTCCCTTTAACCAAACCTTAGCAGGTATGCTATAAAGCAAGGGAAAATGTTGGAAATCTTTTTTAAAAACCTACAATATATGCAGTATTTCAGATTTGAAGAATGTAAAGTATGTTTGTTTAAAGCATTTTATTCTGCCCTATGGTAAAAATAATCCCTAGGTAGTTTACAAAATCCAGAAATTAATCAGTCTGGGCTGTGTATACAATTAATAAATAATGACAGCTAATTTTTTAAAAAATAACAATTATATCCATAGTCTTTAGAGATTTAAGTGTCATTACTGTACCTGAAGGGATCTAAACATACTATTTAAAAAAAAAGCTTTTGAGAGTAAATAAGGTAAAAGATAAGTATCATAATAAATTGTAATATTTGTAGCTAGAGTTACAAATATTCTCCTTTATTGGAATCTTCAAAATATTTGCTGAAAATTACATTGAGGGCAATTTAACATAGGAGATAGCTGATATAGATTGGATGGAAGAGCTTACTTGGCTTCCCTTGCAAAAGACAATATCTCAGTTAATTAGTAATAATTTTGGCCATGTACTCCGGCTCTAAGGCTATGTACTATTAGTTCTCTACATTTTCATAAAAGCAAAATAAATAGTAAGAAAAACTAAAGATGTTCATCTAGAAAGAGAGGACCATATCTGAGAGATCTGAAGGTTTACTTGTATCTTGAATGTTCACCTCAGTAGCCTTTAATTGCTTGATGATGCAAATATAAGTATGGAAGTATACGGTATATACAGTAAGAGCAAAAAAGGCATGTGAATAAATTCTGAATTTTATATTAAATTAGGGTATGACGATTACATTTTCATGGGCATTAACCAAAAGAAGTTGGTGATGGGAGTTCCATGGTATGGCTATGATTATACTTGTCAAAATTTATCAGAGGTAAGAATAAAACAGATGACATCAACTCTGGGGTTTACTTTACATGAGCAGTAATCCTTCTTAAAGTGTTAATACAGATCCATAACAAAAGTTGTACTTTTTCAGACTCATGAGTGCACCATTCAGAAAATCCCTTTCCGGGGAGCTCCATGTAGCGATGCAGCAGGACGTCAGGTTCCATATAAAATAATAATGTCTCAAGTCAATAGTTCTCTTTCTGGGATTCTGTGGGATGAGGAGCAGAAAGCGCCATATTTGGAATATAAGGTAAGTCGCTTATTTATTTATTTGGAACATTATTTTAATTAGTTTACTGCATTGAACCGATAACATAGCTATGTTGATTCATTGGGGGGGGGGGAAATCACCAAATAAAAGTACTTTTACTTAAGTAAAAGCATTACTTTTACTAGGACCAATATAACAAAGTCACAAGGAAGCTTCAAATCAAGAGTCCTGGTGGCGCAGCATACTAAAGCACTGTTAATTAACAGTGTTATTAACACCAGCTGCCTGCAAGTACTGCAAGTTCAAATCTCACCAGGCTCAAGGTTGACTCAGCCTTCCATCCTTTCTAAGGTAGGTAAAATGAGGACCCAGATTGTGGGGGCAATAAGCTGACTTTGTATAAATATACAAAAGTATAAAGGCTATTGCTTAACACATTGTAAGCCACCCTGAGTCTCCGGAGAAGGGCGGCATATAAATCAAATTTTAAAAAAAATCCAGCGGCAATATGTGTAGAAATTAAAGCGCTTACAATAAAAGAAAGAAAGGGTAAGGGGAGGGGAGGGGAGGGGAGGGAAGGGAAGGGAAAACATGAAGGAGATGATGTGAGTAATCTTTCCTGGAGTTGGGGACTGAATCCAAATTATTCAGCTTCATTAAACTCACTGGGTGACCTCATCAAATAATTTGATGCAACTATTTTAGTGACTATTGATTTTCATATCTCATTTGCAGAAATTTGCTAGTGAGTTGAAGGGCTGAGGTGAAAAGAACATAATATATTTGTTAATATTTTTGCTGTTACATTCTCCTATTTTACAGGATTCACGTGATGTTTTTCATCAAGTATGGTTTGATGATCCCAGGAGTATTTCTCAGAAAGCTGCCTATGTGAAAAAACATGGCCTGAGGGGCATCGGAATGTGGAATGCAGATTGTCTTGAATATTCTGGAAGTTTTGAAATGCAACAACAGACAGAAGCAATGTGGGACGCCTTGATGCCAAAATAATGTGTGTGTGTACACTGCCATTTTAAATTTAATGCTGTTTTAATTATGCACCATTGAGTTTTAATTACACTATATTACACTTAATCTATTCTTGTCAACAAATAAAAGTTACAGTGCATTTAGAATGTATTCAAACCCCCTTCACTTTTGTCAATTTTGTTATGCTGCAGTCTGATTCTACAGTTGTTGAAATTCATATTTTTTCTCATTAATCTACACTTAGTACCCCATAATGACCGTGAAAACAGAATTTTATAAATGTCTGTAAATTTATTAAAAAGAAAAAAACTGAAATATCACATTGGCATAAGTATTCAGACCTTTCACTCAGTACTTTGTTGAAGCACCTTTGGCAACAATACAGCCTGGTGTCTTTTTGTGTATGACACAATAAGCTTTACACACTGGATTGGGGGATTTTCTGCCATTCTTCCTTGCAAATCTTCTCAAATTCAGTCAGGTTGGATGGCAACCATCGGTGGACAACCATTTACAGGTCTCCCAAGAGATGTTCAATATGGTTCAAATCAGGGCTCTGACTGGGTCACTTTAGGACAGTCACAGAGTTGTCCCTTAGCTATTCCTGTGTTGTACTGGCTGTGTGCTTAGGATCATTGTCATGTTGGAAAGTGAACCTTTGGCTCAGTCTGAGGTCCTGAGCACTGTGGAACAGGTTTTCATTGAGGATATCCCTGTACTTAGCTCCATTCAGCTTTCCCTCAACCCAGACCAGTCTCCCAGTCTCTGCTGCTGAAAAACACCCCCACACATGATGCTGTCACCTCCATGCTTCACTGTTGGGATGGTATTAGGCAGAGAATGAGCGGTGCCCAGTTTCCTCAGACATAACGTTTAGAATTTAAGCCAAACAGTTCACTCTTGGTTTTCATCAGACCAGAGAATCTTGTTCCTCACAGTCAGAGTCCTTCAGGTTCTTTCTTGTGAACTCCAAGTGGTTTTTCATGTTTTGCACTGAGGAGAGGCTTCCATCTAGTCACTCTGCCATAAAGCCCCGATTGGTGGTGGGCTGCAGTGATGGTTGTCCTTCCGGAACTCTGTCCCATCTCCACACAGGATCTCTGGAGCTCAGTCAGAGTGACCATTGGGTTCTTGGTCACCTCCCTTACTAAGGCCCTTTTCCCCAGATTGCTCAGTTTGACAGGGTAACCAGCTTTTGGAAGAGTCCTGGTTGTGCCAAACGTTTTCCATTTCAGAATTATGGACGCCACTGTGCTCTTAGGAACCTTCAGTGCAGCAGAAATTTTATTGTAGCCTTTCCCAAATCTGTGTCTTGCAATAATCCTGTCTCTGATCTCTGTAGACAGTTCCTTTGACCTCATGTTATGCTACAGTATGCATTGTCAGCTGTGAGGCCTATTATAGAGAGGTGTGTGCATTTTGAAATCATGTCCAATCAATTTAATTTTCCAAAGGTGGACTCCAATTAAGGTGGAAAAATGTGTCAGCAACTATCAAAAGAAATGGGAGGCACTGGAACTAAATTTCAACTGTTGCTGCAAAGGGTCTGAATACTTATGCCAATTTGATATTTCACTTTTTTGTTTTTAATAAATTTACAGACATTTCTAAAATTCCTTTTTTCACTTTGTCATTATGGGGTATTGAGTGTAGATTAATGAGGAAAAAATGAATTTCAACAATTGTAGAATCAGACTGCAGCATAACAAAATTGACAAAAGTGAAGGGGGGTTGAATACTTTCTGAATGCAGTGCAAATTTAACTTTCTTACAATTGTATGGTTTCTTCTCTCCAACTAGTCTGGCTTATTATAGCCAATCTATATTCTGCTCAATTAATATAACCCAAGAATTATGAAAGCTCTAGAAATAATTGAATACGTTTGAATAATTGATTTCTTATTTCTAATAAAAGACAAGGGTTCTTTTATAATCATCTTCCATCTCCATCCTAAAGTTATAGCAGAACTGAAACTAATCTTTCCTAATTTAATCTGATTTCTAATCCAAACTAGCCAAGATGTGAAGCGAGGGAGAAGACTGAATAACAAGCACCAGAAGTGTGATGGGAAACATGAACAATAAGACAAAAACTCTTCCATTGATCTTAATTTAGCCATCACTATTGTATTCTCAAAGGCCTGAATTCTACTATGTTGAAGAAAACTCAACTCTCCCAATCCAGAAGGATTTCCCAGCTAGACAAGCCCCAACCAGATCAAAAGGAATAGCAATCTAATTTCTGTAGATTTTTTATGGAGTGACTTAAACAGCTCTCTGATGCTATTTCTTTTAGTACTATTGCCTATCATATCAGTAGTCAAAAATAGTAAGCAGAGGACATCACTTTGAGGCTGTTTAGAGTCTATCATCTCCCCCCCTCTTTTTTAAAAAAAAAACTCAGATGGTAATCTGAAAGATTGGAGTGGCAAAAGATAAAAGCTTTTCTTTGAACAGATGTCCAAAATGCAAGGGAGAGAAGAATATTAATGGTTATTGTACTTCTTTATGCCTTAAAGTCAGCCTTGCTTCTGACAACTAAATGCTGGAGAAGGGTTTGAATCTCCTGATTGAGTAGGAGGTTGGACTGGAAGACATCCAAGGTCCCTTCCAACCTATTCTATTCTATTCTATTCTATTCTATTCTATTCTATTCTATTCTATTCTATTCTATTCTATTCTATTCTATTCTCCCATCCCATCCCATCCCATCCCATCCCTATCCCTATCCCTATCCCTATCCCTATCCCTATCCTCTATGTGGTGGAGAAGTCCGTGCAGGGTTTTTTGGGGGGACATTTGCCATAAATTGCTTGTCCTTTGTGCTCAAGTCCGGATTAGAACTCAGTCTCCCATTTTCTAGCCTTGTGTCTTAATCATTACACCAAATCAACTTTCATTTTTTATAATTAAAAAATAATTAAATGAACAAAAATGTTATGTTGTACTTCCTCTCAATGCCTTCTTTTACATAAGTTTACACTGAATTATAATGCAGTATAATAATATTGTATTATAGTATATATTGTATTATAAAATAATATAAAATCCTTGCAGATTAACTGAAGTACCTGATTGTATTTTCTGCAGTCTGAAGTAGAGGCTTTCTCTAAGTTTAAAGTTATATATCCCTAGAAAGCAAAAGATAGAAAGGTGTTACTTGAGGCAAATGAAGTTCACATAATAAAAAACTATATACAATTTTCTGCAAACCAAAGGAATTGCAAGATTTCTTATTTTATACAAGAATGGAAAATAGAATGGCTGGTTAATAATACTTTCCATGAAAATGATAGTTAAGATAATAATTATTTTTTTATCACATGGAGGTGATTGAATTCTAACTATAGATACCTAAACCTTTAATCTCTGTGAAGTATTAACAAACTTTGCTTCTTATGCAATTCTTGTGTTTTTTATAAATTCAGGGCCAGAGCAAATATTTGTTTAAAAAAATAGAAGCTAATGAGTTAAAGTGGTTTCACAATGTAGCAAGCAAACCATTCATGTGACAAAAGCAAAACATTAATCACATTTTAAGTCTGCTTCTTTAAAAACAAGCTTATTAGAGATTGGAGTTCATTGAGACTTGTTTGCTTTTAAATGGATCCTTTTTTCCCTGCTACTTTTCAATGGAGCTGTTGATTGTGCTATATTGATAGCTTACAAATCAGGGGTGGGTTCTAAAATTTTTTACTACCGGTTTTGTGGGTGTGGTTTATTTTGTGGGCGTGGCTTGATGGTCATGTGACAATTATTTAGGATTTAGCAGAGATAATGGTCTAGCAGCTTTTTAACTGCTTGCAGAGCTGTACCGATCTACCCATTTATTTTTGCAGGCACTGGTCTACCCATTTATTTTTGCAGGCACTGATTTACTCATGTATTTTTGCAGGCACTGATCTACTCATGTATTTTTGCAGGCACTGATCTACTCATGTATTTTTGCAGGCACCGGTCTACTCATTTGTTTTCTTTTAACACTGATCAGCTGTAGGGCGGCCCTTTGAAGCCCCACGGCAAGAGTTTAAACAGTTTTTTTCCCTCGAGCCATCAGCTGGGACTCAGGAGGCATTAATAGATTGGGGGTGGGGCCAAATAAAAGGTAAGAATAACACGGGGGGGTGGGGGGCGGGGGGGCAGAACTGGTTTTGTGATGTCAAATTGTCACCGCTACCGGCTCGGCGGAACTGGGAGGAACCCACCACTGTTATAAATAAAGTTGGACTAGATCAGTGATAGTGAACCTGACACCCTGGTCAAAAGTAACACGTCACAATGTTTTGGGGGATAAACCAGTATTCACCAACACCAACATCTATTTTCGAAATCATACCTGTTCTCACAAATTATTTGCGGCGACTGTGCAGGCCATGCAAGACAGAGATGTCCTTCACATCGTCTCTGGAAGTTGTGTGAGAAAGCTATGCTCTTGCACAGTTTCTGCAGCCACCAAAAGATACAAGAAGGGGGCATATTTTCACACAGTTTTCAGAAGCTGCGAAAGAACATTATTTGAAGCTGCTTCAAGAATACAGGCCTTGTGGGACCTGAAGCAGCCTCGGGTAGCCTGCAGGGGCCTATCAACAGAAAGAGAGCACCTCCTGAAGATAAGTGGCACATGGTAGACCCCTTGGGGAACAGCACAAGGTGGTCTTTTTGAGTGGCAGTGGTGGAGTTAGGGTGAAGCTGATACCTATAGGAAATTATTTCTCTTTTGTTCCTGGGTAGTTTTGTGTGTGTATGAGACATGCCAAAAAAGTCAAGTTAGGCATTTTCTGAATTTTTGACATGCTGAGCCCAAAAAAGTTCCCTACCACTGGACAGATTGATAAAGTTCTTTCTGTTAGCAAAGAGGCTCTGTTGTTTTCTAATAAATTTCCTCTTATTAAAAAAAAAAAATCTGTGTGATCAAAATCTACCACTACTGTACAGCACTAGAGGGAGCCCATAGACATAAGATGAACCCCTGGGTTGCAGATTAATTTCAGAATACAGTGAAGGTTCTGAAATTAATCTGGATTAGAATGACAGCAACGACATCAAGCAAGAAGTGTGGCTTTCTACACAAACTGATCAAGTGGGGATTTCCTGGTTCAGGATTGCATTGTACTGCCCAGAAATTGACATGAGATTTTATTGGAAATCCAAAACTGCCACCTGAAACCTGTAATGAGTATAATTCTATACAAAAGAATTCAGATAGAGTAGCTTTTCTCAATTGGGATTCCATGAGAGACATGATTGAAGAAAAATGAACATTTTTTGGACTTGATCTTAATGTTGAAGGTATAACCTGGAAACCAGGAGACTGTTCTACACCTCTCTTATGTATGAAAGCTGGCTGTTGACTTTGGACCAGTCACTTTGGACCTCACAGGGGGTTGTTTTTGCGAAAAAGGCAGCAGCTTTATGTATATTTGCTGCCTTGAGTTATATATAAAAGGGCAGGATACAAATAGAATAATAATTCCATGGAATTCTGACACACCACAATATAATTCCAATTTATTCCTCCATTTACATGACATAAGTAAAGCAATGGGTAATCAGGACTGTGGCAAACATATAACATCTCTTTCCTATCTTGGACTAACTTTGCACAAAATGCGATATCATACACCATAGATTACAAACCACAGTAGTTTAACCACTCAAACATAAATCTCATATTAATAGAGTAGAATGAGCTGAAACGGATCTTAGAGGTCTTCTAGTCCAGCTCCCTGCTCAGGCTGTTAACACTGGTTAATTGTCCTCACTAGTACAAAGTTTCTCCTTAATTCCAGGTTGCTTCTCTCTTTGATTAGTTTCCAACCATTAGTTCTTGTCCTGCCCTCCTGTGCTTTGGAGAATAATTTGACCCCTTCTTCTTTGTGGCAGCCCCTCAAATACTGGAATACTGCTATCATGTCACCCAATTCTTCTTTTCTTAAGACAAGCCAAACCCAAATCCTGCCACCGTTCTTCATGTGTTTTAGTCTCCAAGCCTTTGATCACCTTAGTTGCTCTTCTCTGAACTTTTTCCAAAGGCTCAACGTCTTTTTTGTAGTATGGTGACCAAAATTGGTTGCAGTATTCCAGGTGTGGTCTTACTAGGGTTTTATGAAGTGGTACTAGTACTTCATGTGAACTTGATTCTATGTCTGCTTATTAAGCTTTAGTTGTGAATTTGACTATTGCATGCAACCATAAATTGGTTTGTTTCTTTTGGGTTAGCAAGGCCTACTACATCAGGGTTCCAATATTCTAACCAGTAGCACAAAGTTTTCTGAATCAATTTGTTGCCAGCTAGCAGTGGCTCAAAATATTGGTAAAGATGCTGGTCAAGTAGCCCAGATGCTTTTTATATTCACCAGAACCTAGGTCCAGTAAACTTCGTGAACCAAATGGGATGGTGCTGGCGGTATTTGGTTCAGAGACTATGTGAACCCCAAGATTATTTGGTTAACAATACATCAAAGCCCAGGCGCCTTTGTTACTTGTGAGCATTTATCACTTTTACTTTTTTCAAGCGGTGTGGAGGGGAGGGGGGGAGTGAAAAAAAATTCCATGCAGGGTTCTCAAACGCTCGAAGCGAATAGAATTGGCCCATCCCACTTTCCATAGCTGATTTCAGAGGCGGGGGTGGGGGTGAGGAGCACAAGAATGACCACCGTAACTAAAGACGCCGATTCCAAGCGAGGGTAAATCTGGATGAAGCGGTTGCTAGGCGGCGGAGGCGCGCGCCTCTGCCTCGCGCTCCTCCTCCGCCATTGGCTCTTGGGCTCCAGCGCGTGCCCGTGCGAGCAACCTTCGCTTTGCAAACCTGTCTCGAGTCAGCGCGACTTCGAGGTGTGCAGACGGCGTGGTCTTCTCAAACGGGGCAATGGGGAATTTCAAGGGCAGGGACGGAGAGACACGTGTTACTGCGATTGCTCCCTGTCCGCTCTTCCTTCTTAAGCTCGCTAAATAGAGCGGTCCCTTAAAAATGCCGAAGTGGATCAGCGGAGACCCCCGCGACTGCTGTGTCTCTCCCCCCCCGCCTCCGCCTTTTGGAGTCGGAGCACAGTACCTCGGGGTGTTCTTAACAACGTGGGTAAAGTTAGTTAAGGATCTAGCATAGCAACCTGCTGAGCTTTGTCGGCATTAAACCTGGTCAGGTATTTTGTGTTGTGGTTTAGTGAATCATGGGAGCCTGATTTCTTTGGTGGCTTCGTGGTTCCTGGCATTCTTTGAAGCTAGATAATGGTTTATGTAGCGTTTGGGTTATTTATTTCAGTGCTAAATCTCTAGATTTTGGGTAGGTGGAAAAAACTCCATACTTGAAAACTGGCAAAGGACTGAACCTGAAACCTTCTGTATTCAAAATTAGGATTAGCAGCTCTCCGACTTCATTTAGGATTGATAGATTATGAAAGGTGTAAGGGTTTTGGCTGAGGAGGAATGGAGGACAAGAGGCAATCTCAATAATGCATTATATACAACTCATATATTCCACTTGTTAAATAGATAAAGCCTCTTATAACAAAATGCTAGTGTGGTGGCAAAATTGTGGCAAAAGAAGTCATACTAAACACATTTTACAATCTTTGTTATTAAATAGCAACTTAAATCCATTTTAAAAATTGCCACTCTACATTTTATGAAAAACCCAGTTTTATATTTGATCATGATTGTTTATTATGGAATGCATTAATTAAGGGATATGCCTACCATACTAGATCTAATTCTAATGCCAAAAGATTAACATGTCAAGATTAGGGAAAGGGAGATTATTTTTTTGCTGTGCCTTTCTAGGTCTTTGCATTTGATGTTGGTGGGAAGACCTGGAAGTTTTATGACTGGACACAAATTACAACTGTGGCAACTTTTGGAGACTATGATCCTGAGCTTATATGTTATGCTCATTCAAAAGGATCCAGAGTTGTTTTAAAAGGTTTGTTTTATCCAGAATAATATAAATTGTTAACAATTACATTTTATGCAGTTTGCTGGTATGGGTCCTTTGTACTGTAGTCTTCTGACTAAAGTCAATTAACTATATTCCTTGGAAATGTGCATAATTATAACCCATAGTAATTAGTCAAGAATGATGTTACGTTTATCACAAGTTTTTAGTGACTGCCATCAGTTTCCGGATAGCTCATGTCCTCTATTATGTGAAACTCTCCCCTCCCCCCCCTCAATAAATGGATTGAAATGCGTTAGGAATATATTTTAAATAGGAAAACATCCCACTAGTTTTTGAATATGTTTTGTCAAACGTGTCAATTTGGGTTGGCTATCACCAAGCCAGTCTGTTCATAAATAATATTAAACTGCTCAGCTCAGCATGATAGTTCGAAACACAGCTAAAGTGAGACCACATTTGGAATACTGTGCCCAGTTCTGTCATCGTGATACAAAAAAGATACTGAGATACAGAAAAGCGCTCAAAGAAGAGCAACAAAGGTGATAAAGAGTATGGAGGTTATGTTGTATGATGAATGGTTGAAACATAGGTATGTCTTGCCTATTGAAGAGAAGGATCATGGGGGATATAACTGTGTCCGAGTACTTGATGAGCTGTCACAAAGAAGAGGAGATTGACTTATTCTCTAGGACAGTGGTCTCCAAACTTGGCAAAGCTGGCTGAGGAATTCTGGGAGTTGAAGTCCACAAGTCTTAAAGTTACCAAGGTTGGAGACCCCTGCTCTAGGATGCCACAAGGCAGGACAAGAAGTAACGGGTGGAAGCTTGTCAAAGAGGTACAACCTAGAAGTAAGGAGAAATTCTGACAGTAAGAACAATCAGTGCTAATTTAAATGAATTAAATATATATGGGTATTGGTGATATGCATATGGTAATGAGTGTTACTATTTGGAACTTCATTGTTGAATTATAACTGTAGTAGAAACACTGTATTTATTTTATTTTGAATCATTTTTTCCCTGCTTTGCTCCGCAAAAGCAATTCCAGATACTTCATTTAGGGATAAATGGAACTGAATTATTGTAGCAGTAATCTAAAACTCACAGTCCATGTCTGTTCTCTCTCCCCTCCCCTCCCCCGGTGATCTCTTTTTAAAATTTCTTTTAGTGGTGCATACGTAGTGGCAACTAATTGTTATTTGTTGTTTAGGAAATATATCTGTGAAGAAAATTTTAAAACTTACTGTTCGAACAGCCTGGATAAAACAAAAAATCAGCCTGGCTAAAAAGCAATACATGGATGGAATCAATATAGACATTGAACAAACAGTTAAAAAGTCATCAGCTGAATATTATGCATTAACTGCTTTAGTTAAGGAAACAACAGAAATTTTTCACAAAGAAATTCCTGGTTCTCAGGTAAACTAGAAGGAAAGATTATGTTTTACATTAACACGAGTTTCTTTTGACAGTATTTACTATTAATTACGAGCACACATTTTAGTGCTGCATATTTGTTGATGCAAATATATTGTCAAACCAGTATCAGCACAACTAAGGGCTTTTCTTCACTGACACTTAACTACAGCATGGGAATCTCTTTTTTTCACTATGTTGATGTCAACTTGCAAAGCTTTCAAGTTGCCATGAGCAGGAGGGAGGGAGAACTGATAGAGCTAATTGATTTCCATAATGGAAGCTACATTCCATACATGCTTTCTTCCGCAATCAGAAGAAGGGTGTTGGATTTCACAGCCAGCCAGTGGGTAATTGGAGAATGTGATTTATGACATGGCCAGGGAGGAAGGGAGAGACAGGGTCATAGGGGAACGTAAATCTACGTGGGATTAGTTCTAACTGCATCCGAACATTGCCAAAATGGTGCTCCTAATAAATGACTGTATTTCTTTTGAAGTTTGGCTCATGGCTCATGAATTAATTAGGGCATCTTTCGGAAACTTCACAGTTGAATCTTTTTAAAGATATTATATTTTTAAATATATTTTTAGCATTTCTAGTGTTCAAGCAGTGTTTTCCCCTTAAGCAGACAACAACCATACAGTTTTACCATAGGTGTCATCTGTTGTGCTTCACCAGCCATTTTGTTGTTGGGATCACCATTCAGTGTCTCAATACTCAAAGGTGGCCACTTCAGACTGGAATAAGGATATTTCATCTGTATCAAGCACCTGTCTCTGTCCTGCTTTCAGCAGCAAAAGAGCCTGGTTCTTTCAGACTTGGCTCTCTCCCTATACCTGCCCGGTTCCAAGCTGATCACTGGCTCAAGACCAGCCATGGCTTCATAGTACAGTCCACCTATTGAACCTATTAGCTGTTGTTTGGAATTTTAAACATGGGTGGAGTTCTGTCTTAAATCCCACACTAGGAGCTGCTATTGGAATTATTCCAAATACGCTCATTGTTAACCATAAGGTGTGCTGCTGAATAACACCTTTAGCTGGTTTCAAAAAAGGATCAAATCAATTCTGGGAAATCATGCTGATGCATGGCTACTAGCTTTGATGGCAGTATAATTATCTCAGACAGCCATCTGCTGGGAGACTTTTGGGTTTCTTGTGCAGTTGGTTGACCACTGTGAGAATAGACTGCTGGACTAGATGACCCAAGGGTCCCATCCAGCAGGGCACCACTTAGGTTCTTATGATCCAGGCCTCTGAACTGGAGATTGCCTGTTGGATAAAGATCTCCCTTCTCCCTGTCTGGTCAGTTGTTACATAAGAAAAAAGAGGTAGATAAAGCAGAAGCACGTTTTGACGGATGGCTAAACTTGCAGGCATGGCTTAACTATCAGTGAAAACCATCAACAATCACAATTGTGTTATGATTGACAGATGAATTTTCCACTGGTTTGGGAAAGCGGGGAAGGTAGAGACCAGTGCTACGTGGGAAATGTAGACACCCACCTAACGATTGCAACCCAGAACAAAAGGAATTGGGATTTGTAATAGGAACAGTACAATCTGTGCTGGTTTAGGTTTCTGCTGGCTCATCAAGAGAAGGAGAGCGTTTGAACTGAGCCATGATGAAGAACGGAAAGGTGACTAATGATAGAGTCACACTAGAAACAAAATAATTATATTTGGGAGGCCACAGGAATCTGAATTTTAATTTTCAGAATGAAATATTCTACCCTTTGTAATTACACACAAGACATTTTACAAATAGTCATAAAATTAAATTAAAATTAAGCTAGTAGCAGGAAAACAATGTAAATAGCCCTGTTTTCATTAAAAATGTAAAGGAAAAAATATTTTACATGGCATTTAAAAGATACAGTTGAGATATATATTAAACCTGTCCCTTTCTTCTAATTTGGAACACCAAGCTATAGCTTGCTTTTTTTGGCTATTCAGTGCTATTACATCATGTTGTGAGAATGGAATCCAATAAATTCACATACAGGTAGTGCTCAACATATGACTGTTCACTGAATGATCATTCGAAATTACAACAAATTCCCCCCAAAGCTATTTCTGACCTGGTTTCAAAGTTACGATGGCCACATTCCCACACAGTCATGTAATCTCATTTTGGAGGCTTGGCAATCGACTCACTTTTATGGCTATTAGCAATGTCTCACAGTCATGTGACTATGATATTTGACAGTTGTTTTGCTGGTTTACTTCTGATTTCCAGCAAAAAAAAAATCTCATTGTATAAAATGGATTTGCTTAGCAACTACAGCAAAAAATGCAGAAAAATTGGGTCTAGTCGCATAATGCCTCATTGTATGACTGCAGTGATTTACAATTATAATTTGAAGCTCAACTGTGATTGTTAGTGAAGGACTATATATGTGGCAACTCCAGATTAGCATATAGTTTTTCTGTACCAATCAAATAATAATGCCACTGAGTGCTCTCAACCAACCTAGAGGATTATATTTAAAGGATAACCAAGAGAAGAAAATAAATGCTATTTATTTTTTAAATTTCCATATAAACTGCCTGAAATTTGGATTGGTATCTTGAAATTAACAGATTTAAAATTGTCTGCCTTTGACTTTGAACAGCATAGAAAAAAAACAGCTGGTGAGGAGCAGAATGCAAAATTAAATTCTCAGCATCCTTTATTGCACTGATGTATAGGAATATGGTTGAAAAATATATGCCACAGTCTTTTCTGGTCAAATTGTTGGTTTGGATAACATTTTGTAACATTTATCGCTCATTGTGAACTATACTAATACCCCGTTTCCCTGAAAATAAGCCGTCTCCCGAAAATAAACCCTGGCATGATTTTAGGTGTGCGCCTAATATAAGCCCTACCTCCAAAATAAGCCCTACTTAAGAGCCTGCACAGATGGCCACCCGCCCATTCCATCTGGTTGTTCGCGGTGCTGCGGCTACGAGGCAAGATGGGGTGGTGGAGCTGCCCCACATGCCCCGCACCAGCTTACCTCAGGGCCTCTGCAGTCAGGCCATCCTCACTCCGATACCTGCCTCGTGGCAGCAGCACCAGCAGCCATGTGCAGCAGGAGCCCATGTGGCCACTGGCCCACTTCTGCTTGTTCATAGCCACAACGGAACAGGAGGCTGAGCGGTGTGCTGGTGCCATGGCTGCAATGTGTCAGAGCATGGATGGCCTGGCTGCCGGGGGGCCCTGCGGGAAGATGGTATGGCGAGTGGAGCACTGGCAGGCTGCGCAGCCTCCTGCCCCGCCATGAGCAAGCAGGAGTGGGCCTCATACATGGAAAGAAAATAAGGCACCCCCAGAAAATAAGCCCTAGTGCTTATTTTGGGACCCGAAAGAAAATAAGACCCGGTCTTAATTTTGGGGAAACAGGTACATTCAAATTCGCAAATCAAGTGAACAATGTTAATGTAAAGGATATATAATTCAAAGTTTCTTCATATTGTATAGCAAGGCTGTACAAGTTTTGAAAAATAACAAAAAAAGATGGATCAGAATTTAATGACCAAATGTCACTTTTTTTCCCCAGATGCAGCTGCTTTAAGGAAGTGCTGGCACTTTGTTTATTCTAAAGTATCTCTTCCAATTATTTTCAAAGCATACATACCACTATTATGTAGCTTAATTAAATATGTTTAGATTTGTTTTAACCACATTTTAGGCAACTGCGTGTTTTGCAATAAACTATGGAAGAAAGGAAATTGTTCCAGCACACCTTTACTCATACTAGAACCTTTGGAGTTTACTAATTAAATCCCTGATACTCAGCCCATATTCCCAGTCTGTGTGCCAGGTGTGTACATTTTAGTGTCCCCAGAATCCTCAGTAATGACTGTGGACCAGTGTTTTTCAACTTTAGTAACTTTAAGATATGTGGATTTCAACTCCCAAAATTCCAGTTGAAGTCCACACATCTTAAAGTTACTAAGCTTGAGAAACTCTAATGTGGATTAAGGAATTTTGGCATTTGGTTCACTTGTTTACAGATTTCCCAGATTGAGGAGTACAGTTTTAGCCTAAACTACTTTGATACAATAATTCTAGAACAGATTAGTCAGATTACTACCACAAATTACTTTCCCAAGGTTAACATTATTAAAAAGAGTTTCAGTTATAAAGTTTACTAAAATTATAGGGCAGCTAGCTTCTACTAAAAGTATGTGCTGCATTTAGACTTTGTTGATGAGCCTTGCTACAACAATCTATCCCTAATGCTTTTTTACCTTGCATCTTTTCCTCACAGTATTATTTTGAATGGCTCCCAATTTAGACAACTAAGGTTTCTCTTTGTGCTGGGTTGGGAAATGCAAGCTGGAAGATCAACAGGGAGCAGACATCCACAAGACCTAAAGCAGTGTAATTGATGTGGATTATAACCCATATGTGATTCTTGATTTATTATTGGATTTATAGTCTGCCTTTGTCTTGTGAATGTATGGCAGAACTTACGGATAAACTGTGAGGTTTCCTCACATTTCATCCCTGCACTCTTATAAAATAGATTCGGTTGAGAGAAAATGACTATGTTGAACCCACTAGTGAGCCTTTGGATCAGGTAGGTTTTGGGGGTCTGTTCTGTTTAGCCCATGTTTATCACCTGTTTTCCCTCCCCACCCAAAAAAGTTTATAAAATATACACAAAAGTCAAACCTAATCAGGAGGTTTGCAAGCTATATATATAAACCTTTGTAGAGAATGCTTATTCACAGCCAAATCTGTACAGCAAGCTTGTGGGGAGGGGGGAATTCCAAATATACAGTATTCCAACTATAAAGAACTGATTTTTCAAAGAGCAGGATGTTGAGATAAAGGAATATTCTGTGAAATATAGGTTGCAGATGGAGAGTCTATGAGATTTAATTGGATATACATTTTTGAACTCTTCAAAGTTTAAGAAACACTTAGATTGTGCTATAAGACATAGAGTTTTATCCAGGGGTGAAATACTTCCGGTTCGGACCATATTGCCCGATCCGGTAGCGATGGGGGCGGGTGGTTCCAAGAACCGGTAGCAAAAATCTCTCCCCACCGCCATGCCCAGCTGAGCCACGCAATCATCAGAGGCTTTTTATTTTATTTTTAAAAGCATTTTTTCTACAACCTCTTCGGCTGAAAAAACGCTTTTAAAAGTAAAAACAAAGCCTCTGCTGATCAGGCAAGTCAGCTGGGATCGTCAGAGGCTTTTAAAAGCATTTTTTTACAACCTCTTCAGCCAAAGAGGTTGTAGAAAAAATGGTTTTAAAAGTAAAAAAAAAAAAAAAAAGTTGTCCACACCCACTCAGTCATATTAATCCCCCCCCCAAGCCACGCCAAATGTAACAAATTTTACATTTCACCACTGGTTTTATCACAAAATGTTTCCAAAAGAAATAGCATATCTCTATTCTTTTTAAAATACAAGTAGTTGCCAATGTGCGACCATAATTAGGATTAGAATTTCCATTACTAAGCAAGGCGTTATTAAGTGTGCCCTATTTTATCCCTTTTTTGCCGCGGTTGCTAAGTGAATCATTGTGGTTAAGTGAATCATACAGTCGTTAAGCAAATCTGACTAGTATTTATATATTGTTTATCAAGAGGCAAACTTGACTGAAAGGAAATTTTACCTAACACTTTCTTCTTTGTATACATTAGAAATGATTAGCAAGGAAAAGAGATGTTCTGCTTGTGCTTTTTTAAAGACAGAAGTGCACCCATGTTGTGCTTTTCTTTCCCTGCAGGTAACTTTTGATGTACCATGGTCGCCTGAATGTGTAGACAGTAGATGTTACAACTATACTGGAATTGCTGACTCCTGTGATTTCCTGTTTGTGATGTCTTACGATGAACAGAGTCCATTGTGGTCCAGTTGCATAGCAGGCGCCAATGCCCCTTACAAACAAACTTTAGTGGGTAGGAATCAGTTTCTTCAGAATATAAAGTATAATTAGCTTCTTTAGTTGGGGGCGGGGGAATAAAGACTGGGTCTTTGTCTAAGGTGCCATAGTGGATTGAGTCAAAATCAGCCCTTAGTCCTACAAACTCTCTGCAACCAGTTTCCAAACTGGAAGGCACATTTCGCTTTTCCAAGTATTAATCACATACTGCAAAACCTGGATACAGATAGTTTCAGGCTACTTGTATAGATCTTTAATGGTATTCTGGTCCTCTTTTTACCTCCTATATGTATCCTTTTGATTTTCAAACTTGTGGTAAGCTTTTTGGATAGCCAGATTGTTTTTTTTTACGTTGGTTTTTCTCTTATCTTCCCTCCCATCCTGTAATTGTTTGCAACTCTGCTTTAATATCTCCTGTTATAGGATTGTTCACCCATTCTCAGCACCCTTTCTCCCCCTAATGCCTTCTGCCATGAAATCTTGCTTACCATTTCTATGATATTGAAATCCAAGGTATATGCTAGATTACAAATAGTTTTAGCTTTCCTAAGTATCAAGAATTACAGCTCTCTCCTGGATTTTCTACTAATTCCACTTTGTATACTTCAAGCTTCCAGTTGATTAGGATAAACTGCGGAGTGGCTTATGCCTTTTTTTCTTCTCTAATATAAAAGTTTAGCTGGCTGTAGCAGGTGTTCCATTAAAGAAACTCAGCTAATGCTTTGGGCAGAGAGGGCGTGAAAAATGAAAAATCTCATAATCTCTTATAGGACAACCAGTTGTGATTTGGGGGATCTGAATGTTTATGCCTCTTTCCTGTGAGAATTGACTATCAACTTTCTGTCCTTTAGATAATTATCAGATGAAGAGGAATTTTTATCTTATCTTCACAGCTGCTAATTTGTTAAGGAGTTTTCCTGAGGAATTTTGTCAAAGCCTTTTTGAAAATCAAAATGAACCTACCTGTTTTTAATTTTCTTGTTTATAGAATGCAAAGTACTACAATCCAAGCACTTTTTTGTAAGAGTTGGGAGGCAAGAGTTTAGTAAATGGGTTAATAGGAATTGTAATTGTGTACAATCATTCTCTGAAATCTTTAAATCTATTGACATCTCTTTCTTTCATGAATAAATATAATCATAAATAAATTATATATAAATTAAATGTAAAATTCAAAAACAAAATGCTAAATGAAAAAACCCTCTATTGGTTTAATTTTACTTTAAATGTCTATTTTAATGACTTTTTTTTGGTCTGATTGATATTACAAATGTAGATGCCTGAATGTAAATAAGCATAATGAGCATGAGAGTATATTTCTATATTAAATCAGGATATGATCATTATATTCGCATGGGCATTAATCCAAAGAAACTGGTGATGGGCGTTCCATGGTACGGCTATGATTATATATGCTCAAATTTACATAAGGTAGGAGAAAAACAGTTCATTTCTATGATTTTGTGGGCATGAATTTCACCCCAGGACTATACGTTGAACAATGTTAATAACCAGTTTGTCATTTATTAAAGTAGTTTCTCTCACTCTAAAATCTTCTTAAAGGAGCTTTTGTATTTAAGCAGAAAACCACAAGAGAAAGCTCCAGAATTAACCAGTGGGGTGGAGTGGGAAAGAGAAATAAAATGTTAAAAGTAAGAAGAATGGTTAGGAGAGGACGGCATCTTCCTATTATATATTTAACAAAAAGGGCCACTACTGAAAGAAAGAAATCCTGTAAAATGAGATGTGTGGATTTCAGTTCCCAGCTGGCTGGGGAATTCAGGGAGTTAAAAGTCCACATATCTTAAAGTTGCCAAATTTGAAAAATACTGATCTAATGTCACATGGATTTTCTTCTGGAGAAAATAGGGGAAAAATCCCGGTGATGGTGGCTATATCCACATTTAGGCTGCATAAATTCCCCCATAGAAATGATTCAAACACTGCTGAATAAAAGGCTAAAGTGATTGAAGGAACCTTATCAATGTTTGAAACTCTGCTTAGATTGCAGTCTGAAGCATGTGGTTTTGAAATCAGTAAAACCCATTTCTGAGGTAATATTGAAAGACCTGAAGTTCCATTCTTGTTTTAGATAATGATTATTCTTCAAAATACCTATCTTTTTATAATAATGCACACAGACTTAATCACCTAATTTTGGAAACTCAGATTTTCTCCTGCATGAGACAAATATAGAATAGAAATAGAAATAGAATAAAATTCTTTATTGGCCGAATGTGATTGGACACACAAGGAATTTGTCTTTAGTGCATATGCTGTCAGTGTACATAAAAGGAAAAAGAGAAAAAGAAAAAATACATTCATCAAGAATCATAAGATACAACATTTAGTAATAGTCATCGGTTACTAATAAGCAATCAAATCTTACTAGGAAACAAACAGAACAATATAAATCATAAAAATACAAGCAACATGATTATAGTCATAAGTGGGAGGAGATACGTAATAGGAAGGATGAGAAAAATAATAGTAATACAGTCTTATAGTTTGACAGTGTTGTGGGAATTAGTTGTTTAGCAGAGTGATGGCATTCGGGGAAAAACTGTCCTTGTTCTAGTTGTTCTGGTGTGCAGTGCCCTATAGCGTTGTTTTGAGGGTAGAAGTTGAAACAGTTTATGTCCAGGATGCGAGGGGTCTGTAGATATTTTCTCAGCCTTCTTTTTGACTCGTGCAGTATACAGGTCCTCAATGGAAGGCAGATTGGTAGCAATTGTTTTTTCTGCAGTTCTAATTATCCGTTAAAGTCTGTGTCTGTCTTGTTTGGTTGCAGAGCCAAACCAGGCAATTATGGAGGTGCTCAGTAATTCCTTTGTAGAACAGAATCAGCAGCTCTTTGGGCAGTTTGAGCTTTCTGAGTTGGCGCAGAAAGAACATTCTTTGTTCTGCTTTTTTGATGATGTTTTTGATGTTAGGTCTTGAGATACGATAGAACCTAGAAACTTGAAGGTCTTTACTGTTGATACTGTGTTGTCTAGTACTGTAAGTGGTGGTAGTATAGGAGGCTTTCTCCTAAAATCCCCCACCATTTCTACGGTTTTGAGTGTGTTTAGTTCAAGATTGTTCCGGTTGCACCACAAAGCTAGTTGTTCAACCTCTTGTCTGTATGCAAATTCGTTGTTGTCTCAAATGAGACCAATCACTGTTGTATCATCTGCAAACTTCAGTACTTTAACAGAGGGATCTTTTGAGATATAGTCATTGGCGTATAGAGAGAAGTGGAGAGAGCACAGAGCCCTGGGGGCTCCTGTGCTAATTGTACAGGTATCTGATGTGATTTTGCCTAGCTTCACCTGCTGCTTCCTGTCTGTTAGGAAGCTTATGATCAATTTACAAGTGTGGTCAGGTACAGCCAGCTGATTTAGTTTAGTTAGAAGAATATCTGGAATGATGGTATTGAATGCTGAGCTGAAGTCTACAAAGAGGACCCTTGCATAGGTGTTTGGAGATTCAAGATGTTGTAAGATGTAGTGCAGAGTCATATTAACAGCATCATATGTCAATTGTTTTGCTTGGTAGGCAAAGAGATGGTTTGCAGTGCCCCTTATTTGAGAAATGAATGTGTGTATGAATAACAGAACCCTTTTGAAGTTTACCATAACTACATAATGGAAGTTATCCTTTTTTTCAGGATCATGTTTGCTTCTTTGCAAAGAATGTTTTCCCAGGGGCTCCATGCAATAATGTCACAATGAGACAAGCCCCATATAGAATCATTATGACATTGGAGAATACTTCTACTTCTGGGATTCTGTGGGATGAGGAACAAAAAGCTCCCTTTTTAGACTACAAGGTAAGCTGTTCTAAGGATTCCTTTGCACAGAAAATACACATTTGTAAAAAAAAAATTAAACAACAAAAACATATTAGTACAAAATTTAAATTATTTTCCCTACTGCAGCTGACTTTCTTTTGTATACTTCAAGTTTCTGTATTCAAATTTTAAAATTCCTACCAGTCTTATGGATATATATATGTGTGTGTGTGTGTTAGTTCACACTAAAAGGGAAAGGTTATGTATGAATTATGAACAATAGATCACAACTCAGGAAAGAAAGAGAAAGATAGAAGTGTAGGCAATAAGAAATGGATACTTTTTAATTTAAAAAATGAAGAAGACAATATAGTCATGCCAAAGTCTCCACAGTCTCTAGTATAACTACATTTTAATTCCTCTTAACAGCCAATTTTATCAGTGGCCTTAACCAAAGGAGTTAGGTTTATTAGTGAAAGGAGTATTAGTGCACCCTATTTTATACATCCTATTCAAAGACACATTCAAGTCCATATGCTTGGCTGAGTGAATTGGTTAACTGGAAAATGTATAAAAAAATAACATTCTGTGAGTTAATTAAAAATTACATTATTCTTCAGACTATAAACTGAAGCCCTTGTTCATAGATTGTTTTAATAATTTATTGTATGATTTCAGAAACTTCCTTATTTTATTCAGCCTGCCTTCAAAATGAAACTATGAAGATGCCTATTATTTTCATTTTATAGAGAATAAAACCAGACTGAAAGAAAGTGATTAAATCCAGTGTTAAAAGTGTTGCATAAGATGATTGGATGAAAATGTGTCACTATAATCAAGACATTGTGTAGCAATTCTTTTTCTCTTTTCATAGGAATATTAAAAATGAAAGACATTCCCTTCCCATGAAAGCTTTATTTTTTTACAATAATTTAACAAGTTCTCCTTCCTCCTATTTCTCCAAACCCTGTGAATTGGATTGGGCTGTGAGAGAATAAGTGACTGGCTCAACATTATCTAGCCAGCTTTCATGCCTAAGGCAGAATCAATTAATTTCAAGATTGAAAGCTCTTTTTGCTTAGCCTGGCTTATCTTGCAAGATTCTTGAGAGTAAAACTGTGTGTGAAACATTAGCCCTATCAGCTCCATTTTAGTATATTTGGTGGATATGTCACAAAGTGGCATTTCTCATTAGCAGCATTTCTTGACCTGGATAACCAGTTAACACGTTCTCTTTCTTTTGGCTTTTTGTAGGACTCAAAGGGTGCTTTTCACCAACTGTGGTTTGACAATGCCAAGAGCATTTCTCTGAAAGCAGCCTACGCAAAGGAACGTGGTCTGAGGGGCATTGGGATGTGGAATGCAAATTGCCTGGATTATTCGGCAAGCATTGCAGCTCAACAGCAAACAGAAGCAATGTGGAAAGCCTTGAAAGGCGCATAATTTATACAATAGCCAGACTTGAATTCAGACAGCAGTGAATGATTAATTAAGTTTTTAAATGGGTACAGTATAGTGCACAGTAAAAAGCTGTGAAGGCTACTTGCTGTTCATTTACCTTGTTCCATTAGATACGTGCTGCGTTCCTAGGGTTGAGGTATTTTATTTCTCAATAAGAAAAAGAATTTACATCAATCATTCTAAGCCTGTCCTCTAATTCCAGGAAAGGAAAGGGAAAATGCATGTCATAAATACAGCAAATAAAGGTTTTTTTTATAATTATATAAAAGCTTTTTGCTTAAAGCTTATAAAATCAATAATTGGAGGGGAAGAGAAGGGAATGAAAAATGGTTGCATTGATGAACTTTTTTTAAATTTACAGTTTGGTTGAGAATATGTTTTTCTATGTACCTAGTAAAGTAGAATGATTTTTTTTTGAAGCAGCTTTAATTTTTCAGATTATGTATAATTGTTTTCATTTAATCCCTAGTAATTGTGGCAATTGAAAATGGCAATTATTACTTATAAAATCAATATATGTTGAGATGTAGGTAGTTTCTCAATAATGATATTGAACTGACCCAAAGCACTATGAACATATTTAGAGGAATTCCAGTGAAAATAGAATCATAGTAGTGTGAAATTTACATATAGATGGCTGTAAAGTTACTCAAAATGGCAATACCAATATTTATACATTTTATACTTATGGCTTTCATTTTAAAATTGAATTGGTTGTTTCTGTTACAGACAATATACACTGCACTTACATTGTTTTCCCTTTAAGGAGGCAAATAATTTCTGTGGATTCTGTAGCATAAGAATCAAAACTCAAACCGTTCATGGTATGAAAGAAAATTCAATTTCTTTAAAATATGTATAAATACTTAAAAAGAATGTGTCAACTTTTTAAAGAAAAAAAATAAAATTTCAGCTTTGAATTTTTTTAAAAAATAACGATTGATTTGGCCTTTCAAATATTTTAATGTATTGAGAGTTTATTCTTTACTGGTATTTTGAGTCAGTCATTAATAAGATAAAGATTCTATCCTTTATCCATATTGTACTTCCTTACTCATAACAATACACTGATGGTACACAGCTATATGTCTCTTTTCTGTCCCAAGCTAGAGGCTGTCATAAGACAGAGCAGGCACAGAATGAAGAACAGGAAGATGGAGGTGTTATTTGTTAAGGAACCCTTCAGGTTCTAGAATTCTCTCCAACTTTATCTCTGAACAATTGTATTACCCCTGAAAGAGGTAGTCTGGTTGTCTTTGAATTTGTGGCTCCTTGTATAGCAGGTGGAACTAATAGCTTTACAGAAGACAGTGACAAATTATCTCATGCCTGGATTTCTGCAATTTGCTTCATATGGGACTGCCCCTGAGGCTTCAGTTGGTCAAGAATGCTGTTGCCTACATGCTGACTGCTTGAATAAAACCAATTTTATAGGAGCTGCCCTTGTGTACTTCCAGATCTTAATGTTTATTCATATCTCTGCCTTTCCTTCAAGAACTCAAGGTAATATATATAGCATGTGCTTCTCCACTTTTTCCCTGCAACAACACTGAGAAACATTGGCTGAGAGAGTGACTGCTCTAGTCAGTGACCTTCCGTGGCTTACGATGGGCTTGAACTTATCTTTTTGGTTAGTCTTTCACCACTATACCAGACTAGCCTTTCATTACCTTCATAATTTAAGATTAAAATAAACACTCCCCACAATGTTATAAAACATCAACCTTTAATGAGGAATCCCTTATTGAAAGGATTTATTCGTTTTAAAATATAGTATATACCAGTATTAAAGGTATTTGGAATATAAAACTCAAGTTCCTCTGGGAAGTATTGCAAAATTTTAATATCCTTTTTCTTAACTTCTTTTGCTCAAAGTAATTAGTACTTTTCTATCAACAGCACATTGGTGCCTAATTGGTTTACAACTTGTCTTTCAGGCTGAAGAACTTGAAGAAAGAGCTTGTCTAGGTTTACCACAATGAGTTTATATTCCAGAAACTCATTCTCTAAGGACAAGAAATGTCCCAAATCTAAGTGCCTATTTTTAAATCAAGCTATTAAATATCCTGTATCTCTAGATCGCTTGGCCTTGTAAAATTGATCCTGTTTCAGTCTTTCTAAAGGAAAACACACTTGTTAACCACAACAGATTCTGAAGCCAAGGAATATGTGTAGACTGGTTCATAGTATCTGCTTCTTACAATTCTTCATTTCTTTGTCATAAAGAACATTAAAGTATTTCCATACATCTATATGAACAAAGTGCCTCACGAATGACAATTCTGGTAACACAAAACCCAGACCATTTCTGATGCAATGTATGTCATGTTGTTCTTAACAGCAATAGCAGCTTTTGTATCTTTTCAATGTGTTCTTTCTGATGATATTATAATCACTAAGAAGCTGAAAGCAACAATGCTGCTATTACGAGGACATTTGCATTGGATGGTATTTTTACCTATTCACACATATGCTCAGTTATACCATTTTATGGTGAATTAACGCAGAGTGTCAATGATCTTGTGTTTTGGTAGTATTTCTGTAAAGCTTTGAGAGCTCATTGGCCCATATCCCTCCTTCCCTTTTTCCTGCGACATAGTCACAGCAATTCAGAAATATGTTTACCACTAGTTTATAGTTCAGCCTCCTTTAGGTAAACTTGTTCCTATATCACTTTAATGATGTAATGATTATGTATTAGCCATTAATTTTACTAATCTGTTGCAGGAGAATATAATTTTGTTAATTCAGGACTAGTAAAATCCTTGAGACGAGAACACACATTTATTAGTCAGTTTGGAAACATCAAGGGAAAGCCTTAATTTTTCTGCTACAAGCAAAAATATAGACATATTTGAACTTCAAACATTTTAATATTAGAATATAACTGAAGAAAAAATTCATTTCTCTGGCTTCATTTTATAGTAGTTGGAAACTGGCAGTCTTGATTGTCTGAAAGCGCCTTTAAGCTTGAAAGCACAAAAAGAAAAAATGTTTGGTATTATGACATAAAAGCAATCAATCTTCCCTATACGAAAATGGATCTGGATGGAGGGAATTAAAGGTGGCTTTTCAAGAATCCAAATAGAATTTTGCTACATACATTAAAAGTTCATGATCCCACTCTTATCACTTTGCAGGATAACTGGCACCTACATAAACATATATGTAAAGGTCAATAAAAAAACAGGAGAGTTCTGTTTGCCCAGGTCAACTTCCCATATTCACAGATTCTGAGTAGTTAACATTTGTTCATACAGCTATACCAGGAACCAAAACAAAACACAAATTTACTGTATGTAGTTATTGGCTTTTGTACAGTAATAAAAACGTATTAGTATATATGACAATTAGCACAGTTATCAAATGAATGTGGTTTATAGTAAAAAAAAAAAAAAGTAACCAAAAAACCTGAAATGAGATTGAGGAATTGTAAACGAAATTATTTATTTGCAAAACCTTAAGATTTGCAATGAGAAAAAAATATTGAGTAATAATTCTGTCTTTAACAGTTATTGTTATTGTTGTTCTCAACCCAGGTGTGCTTTAGTTATAGCGAACTATTCAGTTAAATAGACAAAAGTCATTCTACCCCAAGAGATGATAGACAATGGAGGATAAGGGCTTGAAATCAATCTAGCCATTTCTTCACCATGCCCCAAGATGTAGTCCTTCCAAATATTTAATATTCCAAGCTTGTTATTGCTGGTTTGCAGTGCTATTGCCACATCAGAATAGAACCAATGAGTGGTTTAGCAATGAATAGCTTTTCACTACATACAAGCTTTGCTATGTTTAATCAAAATTAGGTTTTGAATAGCTACAGACTGAAGAATTTCATTAAAAGGGTTAACTAAAATACTTGCTTTCCAGACAGAAATCTTAAAGATGACTGAACCTTCTTGTGCACCAGTTCTGCCTTCAGCGCTTGTAAATCAGAAATTGCTTGTTTTTTCATCTACAAAAGATCCAGAGATTATGACAGGAAGAATTAAATTACAGCTATTATTTTATAGATAAGCATCAACTTTTATGTGGTTTAACAAGTGCAATTTGGTCTTCAAACTTTCTAGCCTAACCAGTTATAGTGCAATGCATTCTGAGACATGTTAATGCCTCAAGTGATGGTGGATCTTAATATACATAAGACATGTTTGATTTAACATAAATGGGAAATTGGCTAAAGAAACATGCAACTATGATTATAAAGAATTTTTTGGTGTATTGTTATGACATGACAGGAATTCTGGGAGATGAAATCCACACATCTTGAAGTTGCTACAGTTGAGAAACACTGCTGTAGATTGTATTACATATTTCCAATACGATTTCTATTCATATCATTTTTCTATCTATGGCAAATGCCTAAAATTATTATGATTATATAATTTGTACAGTAGCATCAATGTATAACATACTAAAAAGAGTATAGAGAAGAGCAACAAAGATTAAGGGACTGGAGCAGGGGTGAAATCCAGCAGGTTCTGACAGGTTCTGGAGAACCGGTAGTGGAAATTTTGAGCATTTCGGAGAACCGGTAGCAGAAATTTTGAGTAGTTTGGAGAATTGGCAAATACTACCTCTGGCTGGCCCCAGAGTGGGATGGGAATGGGGATTTTGCAGTATCCTTCCCCTGGAGTGGGGTGGGAATGGAGATTTTGCAGTATCCTTCCCGTGGAGTGGGGTGGGAATGGAGATTTTGCAGTATCCTTCCCTTGCCATACCCACCAAGCCACACCATGCCCATTAAGCCATGCCCACAGAACAAGTAGTAAAAAAAATTGGATTTCACCACTGGACTGGAAGCTAAACATAAAGAACGGTTGCTGGAATTGGGTATGTCTAGTTTAATGAAAAGAAGGACTAGGGGTGACATGATAGTGTTCCAATATCTAAGGGGTTGCTGTAAAGAAGAGGGAGGCAACCTATTCTCCAAAGCACTTGAAGGCAACACAAGAAGCAATGGATGGAAACTAATCAAGGAAAAAATCAACCTAGAACTAAGGAGAAATTTCCTGACAGAACAATTAATCAGTGGAACGAATTCTGGACCTGCCTCCAGAAGTTGTGGGTGCTTCAACCCTGGAAGTTTTTAAGAGGTTGGACAATCATCTGTCTGAAATGGTATAGGGCCGTGATGGCGAACCTATGGCACACGTGCCAGAGGTGGCATGCAGAGCCCTCTCGGTGAGCATGTGCACTGTCGCCAGCTGCTCTTCTGGTTTCCAGTGCATATGCTGGTCTTCGCAGGTGCCGGAAAATGACTTGAAAATGGTCAAAAAACCAGGCCAAAAACATCCCGAAAAACATCCTGAAAACGGCCCAAAAAACAGCCAAAAACGTCTGTGCGCCGACTAGTTGATCATCGGGTTTCTGGCACTCCGGTGTGTGCACATGCACATGCGTTCCAGTTTGGGCACTCGGTGCTGAAAAAGTTCACCATCACTGGTATAGGGTTTCCTGCCTGACCAGTGGGTTGAACTAGGAGACTTCCAAAGTCCCTTCCAACTAGTGTTAGATGAAAATATTTCTTCTGAGAACCAAAACAAAGTATCTAGTGTGGAACAGTGATAGTCACCTAAAGGAACATTGTTAAATGTAGCCAAAGAAGTGTGCATGTGCACAGAGTCTATCACTTTGATAACCAAAACAAACAAGCAATCCTCCTCCCCACAACTATAATGAAGATTTCTTAACTGAACAGGAGTATGTACACCTTGGAAATCAGCCTATGATTCATTTTCAAATATGTCTCAAAGACTACTAATATTTTCCTTGATTTCCAATTGGGTTACGTGGCGTGTTAAAGACCAGTCTTTAAAAAACCTTTGATTTGTTACTGGCTTCACTGATTATATGCGTGTATATGTATATGTGTACAAATGCAAGCACACATGTAATAAATTAGTACAGTACCTTGATTTCTATGACAAGCTTCATTTTGGCGTTGTCTAACTTTCTCTTTAGCTGGTCAATTTCCCGCTCCAGGGTTGTAATCTGGATTATTACATTATTCTGTCAAACAAACAACCTCCCAAATTAATTTAGAATATAACTACATATATAAACAACTCACACATTCCATAATATAATTACTACTCAGTAATATTAAGTTAAACTGATGCCTAGAGGCTCTCCAGGAGTTTCTTTTTAAATATATTTTAAGTTCTTTAGCACTCTGGACACCTGTACGTTGTCCTTCTTCAGAAGAATATAACTACTATGATGGTATCTCTCACATAACTGGTCAGATGATGGGATTGACCATAGAGCAAAGCAATGCTTTCACACATTGGCTACAATAAACTAGGTCAGTATTTGAATGTTTGTTTTGCTATGGCCAGCCTAGATTTACCCAGCCAAAAATGGATTTGACTGTCCCTTGTGAAATTGCCATTATTTAAAAATTGAGAGATTTTCTTTAATAAGAGAAAATGTAATCCTGCAAAGATGAGGTATAGCCTCTGGGTTGCCTCCAAAAACTGCCCCAAGTAGTGTGCATTATAACAATCCAACTAGATGATGATTAAGGCAGGGGTGGGTTGTAAATTTTTTTACTACTGGTTCTGTGGGTGTGGCTTATTTTGTGGGCGTGGTTTGATGGTCATGTGACAATTCTTTAGGATTTAGCAGAGGTACTGGTCTACCAGGCTTTTAACTGCTTGCAGAGCTGTACCGATCTACGCATTTGTTTTTGGAGTGTTCTGGTCTACTCATTTGTTTTTGGAGGCACTGGTCTACCCATTTGTTTTTGGAGGCACGGGTCTACCCATTTGTTTTTGGAGGCACCAGTCTACCCATTTGTTTTTGGAGGCACCGGTCTACCACCACACTGCCTTTTAACACTGATCAGCTGTAGGGTGGCCCTTTGAAGCCCCGCAGCAAGAGTTTAAACAGTTTTTTTTCCTTCTAGCCGATCAGCTGGGACTTGGGAGGCCGCGAATAGATTGGGGGCGGGGCCAAATAAAAGGTAAGAATAACGTGGGGGGTGGAGGTGGGAGGGCCCAGCTCCCGAACAAAGAGAACCGGTTTGGTGATGTCATATCGTCACTGCTACCGGCTCGGCCGAACTGGGCCAAACCGGGAGGAACCCACCACTGGATTAAGGCATGAATTACTAACCTCGGTGTTTTGGTGCAGATACGGATATAAAAGATGCGCCAGCCAAAGCTGGGCAAAGACAATCCTGTCCACAGTCCCATTTTCTGTTTAAGGAGAAGCTGAAGTCCAGGCAGAACTCAAGTTGTACACCAATGTCTTTACATGCAGCACAACCTCAACTAGGATAACCCCCAAGATCAATGTTTCTAGAAATTTATTTTCGTATAGCACTTTATTTAATCTGAGTTTAGTTTGCTTCTTCCAGACTGTAAGTCTCTAGGTATCAGTTTAAACTTGCAACAATACCCCTGGCTTGACTTGCGATGGCAATGTACAGTAACATCAGCATACTGATGACAATTTACTACAAACCAATAAATGATCCCTCCTCCCCAAGTTCATATAGTTATTAAATAGAATGGGGGAAAGCAGCCCATTCTGAGGTACCACAGAGTCAACCAATGCCCTGAATGCTGCTCCCCCATATCTATAAATTGAAACTGTCCATTCAGGTAAGAGTGGAATTATTGCAAAACAGTGCTTCCTTCTCCCAGCCCTTGCAGGCAGTCTATAGTCAAGGGTATTGAAGGCTATTGAGAAGTTCTATTGTCCCAGGAGAGGTACCTCCTTCATTGTTAGTTTCTGACAATGCTATCAATTGGTATGTCACAACTGAGTCTGAATCTTAATTCATAGGAGACTAGATAATGTCTTCCCTGAAGATTCTCTGAAGCTGAGCCACATCTTTCTGAACAACTTTTCAAAAAACAAAAATAATTGTTCTTGTTTAATTATTATTGTACAATGATATTTTTGTTCTCTTATTTATTTGGACATGGTGTGCAAATAAACACACCATGGTGTGGTGTTTCCTTTAAAAGTTATACTAGCTCTGGTAAGTATGTGCTTTAGACTTCTGTGATTGTTGTGTCTGTGATCTTAATATTTATTGAAGATATTAATCTTTGTTTTGGATGAAATCTTTGTCTTTGGATGAAAGATGTAACAAATACCTTTGCCAAGGATAACTGATGTCCTTTCCTCCTTTTTTATTCCTATCTGAATTTGTTTTCTTTACCATCATTATTCTTTTGTCTTGTTTTAGTTTTTAAATGTTTATAACAAATGCAAACCACCCAGAGTTGTTGGGATTCAGTAGCATATAAAATTAATAAATGTTTATTATTATTATTAATAAATTACAATGCTAAAAATGATCCTAGGTCAAAATAATGTAGTGATCTTTGAGATGACCCTGTTGCTATTAGTACTATTAGTCTTCTTAAATAACCCTTTTTTCCCTACTTAACATGGTCTTAAAAAATAGCTATAAGGAGACCATTGTATACTTGAGCTACTTAAGTTAAAGCTACCAAAGAGAAACAGATACAGATATTTAAAACATAGCAATTGCATTTTTTAAAAATAATTTTATAGCACCATTTTTTTGTGAAACATTGGACACAAACTAAAAAAAATCAGAATTGGAAAATTTCAACTTCTTCCCCCTCCAAAATATAGTGAGAACTTCACTGCATTCTATGTTCTTTTTCATGTTGTGATCAAAACAAAAGAAAAATGGAATTCACATTTATCCTTAGTCAGAGAACTTTGCTTCTTTATCAGAGAAACAGTAAATGAATTATTGTGAATCTTAATTAAACCTTCAGAATGTTCTACAGTGTAATGCAGATATTTAATTCAACTGTGGGACTGAGTAGACACCACAAAGTAGATTTTCAGTATCTTCCTTAGAAATAAACATAAGAATAAGCATAAGGTATTCAGCCAGAATATATGAAATTGTGATTTAGCTGGAAAATAACCTTAACATTAGGAGAAAGTTTACTATGTGGGGAAAAAAACATAATAGAACATTTCTTAGACTAATTAACCAAATTGTTTTGATATTAGGAGGTCATGATTCATATGGGAAGTATTTAATTAATTTTAAACTTCATTCTCATGAATTTTAATGTTGAACTAGGAAGAAAATCTTATGTATACCATATTATAATGAGAGAATGAGGATTTAAATCATTTTAGCAACTTGTAACATTAATTCAACTCAAGGGAAAAGAACCTGCAAAATATTCTTCTTCATTCTTGCCAATAGTACTTTCTTTTTATTAATTAGAATCATGACATATTTATAGTAATTTATGTTAAATCATTATTAGAACATAAATATTGTTGTAATATGAGTTGAGTTAAATTTTTGAACAGCTTCAGCTTTAGGCATTTTTTATATATATCAGCAATCAGTCTGATTAAAACTGCATTAAGATTCCAAGATTTGCTGTACTGATGAACAAAATTTAGTTTTTATGGGCAAGGAAAGTTTAAAAAAAAATACTTACTTTTGAATTGGTGGTTTGGGTTAAATTATTTTGTTTTTTCTTGGTATCTCTAGCTTCCAGCTGCCTCATTAATTGTTGATGGTGTAATTCTAATTTTTCCTGTAATTTATTTAAAGTTTCCTCTGAGAAAACTGTGACTTTCTTCATTTCAAAATATTTTTTTTTCCAGGAATCACGGACTGCAAGATTAAAACAACAAAACATACATCATATATTCCTCAGAAAAAGATTCCATGCAGTTCAATAGCAGTTCAATAATTTATTCTAAACGAATGTATATAAATTACAGCTAAAGAATCAGGGAAGTATATATTTGATTCAACAAGTTAAAAAAAATATTTTTATAAAACTCAAATCTGTTGTTGGACAATATTTTTTATAGTTGTTGGTCAATGAAAAAATTGGATGTATCAACCTTGAACATACCATGGCATCTCCTGAGCTTGTGCTGTTCAATCAGGTTTTTCACTTTTTTAACCAATTCCTCTCTAGTTTTTTCCAGATGTCTTCTTTCTATCTTAATATGTTTCAGTTGCTTATGTAATTGATTGCCTGAGGAAGAAGAAATCCCATATTTATCATATTTGTAAAAGTTAATAATGCGAACAATTCTGAATAAAATTAGAGTAAAAATGTGCCATTCTTCTATTGGTTAACACAGGGTTGATCCACTACAATAAAATAAAATGAATCTAACCAAAGAGTGATTTAGTGGTTAGTGCTGGGTTGAAAAGGTTTATCTGTGTATTTACATTTGAAGCAATTGTCTGGTATGTGGGATCTACAAAAACAGATTACAGTACTCAGGAGATAATATGAAGGAACAATGACAGTGTCCAAACCTCTGTACTTTTATCAAAAAATTTTCCCCATACTTTGAATCATGACTTAAAGATGAAAAAATATATATATTGACCTCTGCAAGAACGAATGGCAGAACACTGGAAAAAGTAAACTTTGGACATGTTACACGTTGCGCTGGCCCTCCAAGTCCATCGTACTACGTAGTTATGATGTTATTTTGCATTCAGGAGTCTGACAGCCCATGGATAAAAGCTGTTCTTCAGCCTGGTTGTGTGGCTGGCTATGCTTCTATTTCTCCTTCCCAATGGTAGGAAGGTAAAGAAGTGGTGACCAGGATGAGAGTTGTCCCCGAGAATTTTCCTCACTCTTCTAAGGTAGCGAGCCCTAGCGATCTCATCTAGTGGTATCAGGGGTCAGCCCACAATGTTTCTCTGTAATGTCTGTTTTTCTATCCACGGCTGTCAGGTTTATAGAACTTAAACAGAAGCTAACAACAATGTTTTAGTGTAAAATATAGATATCTGAACTATGGTCAGCATTTGGGGACACAAGGGGAAGGATAGGGAAGAATATATTACTAGCAACTACTTTTATTTTTTAATATGTAAATAGTTATTCTTCAGTTTTCTCCTATTTTGTCTTTCCCTTTTATTCATTTTTAGTAAATATTGTTAAAAAACTAAAAATGATGAAAAATTCATACACATACATACTAAATATATATACTTCTGTAGCTAAACTGTAAGTAAAGAAATGAAGACTTGAAAAACACTTTAAAGGATGCCTAAACTGATAAAAACAATAATACTCCTAGAATGTGTCTTGGACACACTTTTATTTTTGAAAGAAAATAATAGAAACTATGTAAGAGTCATTTATTGCTAATCTTATTTAGATCATGATCTGAATGTAAACACAAGGAATGCAAAATGCTACCCATTCACAAGAGGTAATTACTGTTAGGCTTGGAGAAGGAAGAGGACGCAACAACAACTTCAGGGAGAAAAACAAACAACCCAGTTAATGGTGATTGTCATCAGTGGACACAGAATGAGGACCAGTTGGTGGGGGAAAGAAAGAGAGGGTAAAGAAAAACAACAACTGAGTAGACCGAGTACAATGCTTCCATTCCTGAATAGAACTACTCCAAGTAATATGCTTTTTAGAGCAATAGTATGTGGGTTGCAAAAGTCCAGAGCACCACAAGAGGGCAGCAAACTCTTTCTCATATAGTTCTCATCAAAATTTTTACATTCGAATATCCTGTGCTTGGTAGATATGGAGATAGTGGCTAGACCAGTGATGGCTAACCTTTTTGCCATTGCGTGCCAAAAGCGTGGGGGGGTTGTGTGCGCGTGTGCCCACACCCATAATTCAATGACACCTCTCACCCCCGCACATGTGCACGTGACCCCCTGTGCTACCTCCGCTTTTGGCACATGATGGCAAAAAAGGTTAACGGTAGGCCCAATAGGCCTGGTAGGCCCATTATTTGCCCTCCCCAGACTCCAGAGGCTTTCTTGGAGCCTGGGGAGGGTGAAAACAGCCTTCCTCACCCCCTCCCCCGAGGCCCTCCAGAAGCCGGAAACGGCCCATTTCCTGACTTCCAGTGGGCCTGGAAGGCCCAAAAATCAGCTGGCCGGTGCGCACATGCGCGCTGGAGCTGAGCTAGGGCAACGCTCACGTGCCCACAGGTATGGCTCCGCGTGCCACCTGTGGCACCCGTGCCATAGGTTCGCCATCACGGGGCTAGACAAATTCTATACCTGGAAAAAAAACCCATTTAGCCTTTTCCAGAAGTCACTTAGACAAAAAGAAGACATGAATGACACTGTCTGAATTATTGCCTTAAGAAAACGGTTGACAATCACAAATGACCCTTTAGAGGCTTTTCGATTATGTTTAGTAGACAAGTGAATACTGTACACACCATTGCTTTTGTTGCCTTCAAGCAAACCTGATCTCTTTCTTTAAAGGTAAGAGGGCAAAATCTCTACGATCCCTGCTGCTGAAACCTTTTGTGAAACCCCTAATCTCATGAGAGGTCTTGGACAGATTTCCTCACCTTCTGTTGGAAAATCTTTGTGAGGAAGTTGAGCTCTATTTACTGAGACAGCCAGAAGAGGTGGAGTAGGAGGGGAAAGATAGTGACTAGGATATGCGGAGTCATTTAGGTTATTCCCATCAGCCTAGGATCAAATAAAAATGTGTCAATGTTCAGTGTTATTTTTAGGATATAAGAACTCCAGGGCTGTAAAATCATACATGTAAAGTTCAAAAAGTCAAAGAAAAAAAAAGAAACAAGAGGGGCCTTTATGACATCTTAACAGAAGATGAGCCAAACCACAGGAAGCATTAGAAAACGACTTTGCCTGAAGTCAAAATGTCTAGAGCCAGCCCTGAGATCATGTGTAAGTGCATCTTGCATTACAGCAAATTTTTTCATTTGAATCATCTCTCAAACGTTAAGAGTGCCTAATCTACTTTAGATTTTGAATGTAGTCCAAAGGGTTTTACTCCTAAACAAACAGGCATAGGCTCATTCTGTCCCTATCTGTTACTTTATTATATCTATATTGTATATCTCTATTATATATAGAAAGAGAGAGGCAGAAAGTACTCACTGCTTGTAATGTATGTCCTACTTCAAAAACACTGCTTTCAAAATACAAAATTGGCTAGATATGATTAATCACAAGAATTATATGTAATTATAGTAAACCTTAATAAATCTTAAGTCAAAATTAATTCAACCCAAGAGACAGAAATGTGTTAACAAATCATTTTAACCAACTCAGTTGTGGTGCTAGACTCCCCTGGGAACATACCTGATTATTCTGCACATTACCAGGGTCAGTAGCAGTCTTGGTAATTCCAGGATGTTGTTGGCTACAGATGAAATTAAGGTAACAGCTACATTAGAAATAAGCCTCTGATTAAACTTGTTGGGGTTACAAGTTGTTTTGATTGAGCTATTAATCTGGAAATTAGCATAGTGAAATCAGACTGGAAGAGCCTTTTGGTGACAAACTAGATTAACAGCAAGTATTCTAAAGGTGCACTAACCTCACGCACAGGAAATTAAGCTAGATGAACTAGTTCTCATGCTTAATTATATTTATCTGAAAGCTAATTAAAGAGCTAGCTTTTTCCATTATTGAATATGTTAGAAGTTCTTAAGATGACTTCAATGACTGACATTGAATACTGTCAGCAGAAATGGCATATTTATTTCCGTACCTCCTCTTCTTGGGTGAGTATGTTATGTCTCGGTTTTCCAAGGATTTTGGGATTCCAGAATCAGCAGTAGTAGTATGCCTTCCATTTCCAATCCCTGTCAAATTCCCTCCATTTTCTGCATTTGTGTCCAACATGAGAGAAACCTCTTCTGCATCAAAAGTCAAAATATTACCTGCCTGTACATGAACGTATATGCACATATACAAATAGAGGAACACAGAACTTTTATTTTTGTCAATTGCCAACTAACAGCCTTAATACAGAGCAAAATTAGCTACTTTTTCATAGTCATCAAAACAAAAATACTTCCAATATTTTGAATAAATGAGAGTTCTCCAAACTCCACATATTTTCTGAATTAGTTAAGATACAGTTAAGATCTCATCAGATAAATGCTATCCACACCTGGATTTAAAAGATCACAAACATACTGTGGTGTTATACAGTATGCTCCCTTCCTAATTTCATCGATTGTCTTATAGTTTTCTGTCTATCCTTAGCCTTATTTGTTGTGATATGAACCAAACAGCTCTGGTTATTTCCAAACCCCAAACTACAGACACCATTCCATTTCAAAACAATCTCATGTCACAGATTGAAAGTTAAATGTAATCACATTTTTGCTCTGTTTTGATATCACTGCAAGCAATTATTGGAGAAGAGAGAACTGTGGCTAAGCAGAAATGATTTTAATTAGATGTGGTATTTTACAGGCATTTTACAAGAGAACTAAACTAACTTTAATATTTTCCTCTGATGTTGCTCTCAGCTTATCCCCGGTTCATGATTTAAGCAATCATCTATAATTAGTTTGTGTACCAGTAGTTGTCCCCCTTAATTTAACACTCCTGCAGCGCAACTTCAAAATGTGTAATATAATACTTCGCTCTCTATTAATTTACAGATGAAGTCAAATGAAATGACACAAAGCATGTTTGGGGCAAACTGGAAGGTGCTGGCATAGCCCCTCCATTCTGGTCTTCAGTCAGACAATCATATGACCATTTCCACCCCTAGATTCTGCCTTCCAATAAGTGCTTTGTAACCTTTTTCAAAAGCCTATTTTTTAAATCAAATCTTTATAAGCTTCCAGCCAGAGGGGAAGGGGAAGGGAGATGTCTCCCATTTGAGGAAGAGGACACATATTTTGTTCTTGAATTAATGGGATTTCTACATTCCCCCTTGACCCCTTTTTTATGGCAGTGTTTGCTTTCCTTCTTTCCAAACTATTTCTGCCCTGTATTTTTCTAACGTAATGTAAAAAAAACAAAAAAAACAACAACCCAACCACCCCTAATAGAAGAAAATTGCAAAGATGCATTTATAATTGGGATTCCCCAATTATAAATGCATTCCCCCCCCCCATGTTTCTTTAGTTCACTTTCTTTTGAACTAGAAGGATACCCAAATAAGATACAGGAACAGAGGCAGGCAAACCAGCCTATGGAAGCCAACAGGAAATCCCCAAACTGTGAAACTGGTAATAACAATGAACCAACCCCATTTATACTATAGTATTCCAATTGATGGATATTTTCCTAATATTAGTGATAAGTTGAAAGGAGTAGTAGCAAAGCCAGAGGAGAAAACAACGTTATATATCATATCTAATAGACCTAAAAAATTAGACATGGTTTGGCAGAGAGTTACAATAAGCACAATGAAGGCAGGATAGAATGATCTGGACAACCACTTTTATGATGGCATTGTTTTCTGTAAAGTCAAGGAAGGATGAATAGTGGTTTAACTCAAAGGCACATAAAATAAACATTAAGTATGAACTTTATCCCCCAACCTGGTATAAAATGAGGTTTTATAGTCCCTCCAAAAAGCATCTACTAACTGCAATGCACTTATCCATCTGAAGTAAAAAATTAAAATTATTAAAGTACAGAAAAGTACTAGAACAGGGATAGACAAATGGTTCCCAACCACAATCCAAGTGCAAGACACAATCCTGAGATGAAGAAGTGTTAAAAACTAGTGAAAGCATGTAAAGGAATACAGCCCTGTAGCACAGGAGGCGGCAAAAACCAAGAAATGGGATGCAGGCTGGATTTAAGCCATCAATTTACTATTTCCTGGATTGCATTTTCCTCATTTGTACACAACTGTCATCTACAGAATCTGAATGTAAAATTACAAAATGTAATTTTTCAATTACATCAAGAGCAGAAATGGTCACTTCAGGTTTCTAACGTGGTCTCATTTTAGGTCACCTAAGTATATTTCCAATACAGGTATCCTTGTATGAAACCTAGATCTACACCACCATTCATTCAAATAATTTATTGTAATCAACATATTAATGAAATGTTCTTCCACTTGAAATATCAGTATTCTCTATCATCAGGTCTTAGAAATGCCAGCTCCTTACAAAATGTATAAATTAGGAGAACAGCAGATAAAGTTATAACTGAATAAGTTCCTTACACTGCTAATAGCAGATACAAATGCAAATAAACATTATACGTGATACTTTATGCAATAAGGTATACCTTTTGTCTTCTGTGAGGTGTGACTTAGTGGAAACTGGTTGTTTTCCTCCTTTTCATGGTTCTGATCTATCTTTGGAGATGCAACTGTCTTTCTGTATTTTTCATCCTTTCCTGGAATATTATGCCTTTCTGGGATTGAAAAATCAGTCTTTTTCTGATATATTTTCACTGGTGCAGATTTCTTTGCAGAGTGCTGTTTTGATGATTCTATTTTGTTGATGTTACAATTGATTTTGCCTGAAAATGACACAATGATAAATTAATATACGTAGTTTGACATAGACAGTATTGTAAACTTCAGAAATCACTTTTTACTTTCTAATATAGAAAGTATATATATTTATATTTATTTATAATGTAAAGACGACATAATGTTAATAAAATATAAGACAAATCTTTTAGATATCCTATTTTCTAGAATATATATGAGAAACAACAATCAGATCAGATTAACAAACAAATATATGTTTACAAATATATGTATATATGTTTGTTTCTTCTGTCATGTTCTCATCATACACTAAATAGTAAACAGACGAAAAAGACCAAAATCCAAGATGCTTCTGTAACATGGCAGAGATGTCGGACACTGTCATAAATTATTATAAACTATATAAACATAAGGCAACCCAAAAGTTCCATTGCTCACTAATTGACATGTTTCTAGAATATCCTTAGGTACCCAATGTTCCAAGAGCTCATCTTAATCAATTATCTCCATGCTATAAATGTAACAATACAGAATTTTAGGAATTGAAACCAAAGAAAGCAGAAGAGGAAATATTTAAATTCTAAATCTCACCTTTCCTTTGTTGTGAACTACTTTTTCCTTGAATACTTTCATTCTTTTCTTGCTCAGAGCTTTGCTTTTTATGTAGAACTGGAAGAGTTTCCTTTTCATTCCACTCACCAAAATCAGCTTTTTCCCGAGTTTGACTGAGATTGTTTTTGAAGGAGCTATCCAACATTATTGAGTTTGGATAACTATCAGGATTTGGTGAAATTAAACTATGTGGCCTTTCATATGATGCAGATGTAAGCACATATTCTGGATTATTATGGCGTTTCTCTGGAGTGGATGACAAAGATGAATAAATACTTTCTATTCCTGATAACAAATAAAGTTCTGGATGAAATGCCTGCAGTATGGAACATGGTAGAAAATAAACTAAGAACTAAGAATGTTAGCTTTGTTCTTAAAATTGAAATAATAATATACTATACATACATATGGAGGAGCAAATGATTTCAGCTTCAGTTCCATCTCTTGTTTTGCTTTCACCTTGGAACATTACAACAAAGGCAATATTATCAAAATGCTTTCAATCATCCCATCACCTTTATTTATAGAAATTGGGCAAGATTCCAATTTCACATGAATAAAAAGACAATTTTGTCTCATTCTCCTGAAGTTCTATATAACTCAAAAATTTACCAGGAACAAGGGTTTTGAGCAGACACCTTTTCTTCTCCAGTAAATTATGTCCCAATCATAAAATATTACAGTGGTTTAAATGTCATATTCAAGAGTTATCAGAAAATTATAGATGATAATTGTAAAGAGTATTTGTATAAGATTTTATTTGTTTGCTTAGAGAAACTTTTTTGTGTTAATCCATTATTTTATTGATTTTTAATTTTAATTTTCATATCATTTTTTCTTCTCAATGTGATTGTCTTATACACTGTTTTGTGTAACCTTTATCCTTTTTTTAAAAAAAAGTATTTCATAACACTTATTAAAAGAAAAAAAAACACTTTGGAAAACTTTAAAGCCCAGAATAATTAGAATTAAACAAATGTGATATAGATATAGCTACAGAGTTGCTTTGCAAATTATGCAGCAATTTCAACATTCTCAGATATATGCTTATATTTGTAAAGGCCCAAATTGAAATGTATAAAAATAAATGACACCTGCAGAGAATACACCTAAGGCATGTGTTTTCAGCAAATTATAGTTTGCAGATTGGGACATATCTTTCGAATTTGCAAATGTCTATTCCCAACTCTTTCCCCCTCCCTTGCAAATTTTTTTTTATACAGTTTAGTTTGCCTTTAGTTTGTATAGTTTAGTTGAAATATTTAATGAAAAGAAGGATAGGGGTGACATGATAACAGTGTTCTGATATCTCAGAGAAGAGGGAGTCAAGCTATTCTCTGAAGCACCTGGTGACAGGACAAGCAATGGATGGAAATTAATCAAGGAGAGAAGCAACCTAGTACAAAGGAGAAATTTCCTGACAGTTAGAACAATTAATTAGTGGAACAACTTGCCTCCAGAAGTTGTGAAATCTCCAATACTTGAAGTTTTTAAGAAGAGATTGGACAACCATTTGTCTGAAGTGGTGTAGGGTTTCCTGTCTGAGCAGGGGGTTGGACTAGAAGACTTCCAAGGTCCCTTCCAACTGTGTTATTCTATTCTATTCTATTCTATTCTATTCTATTCTATTCTATTCTATTCTATTCTATTCTATTCTATCGTCCCCAATTTAGTGCTGTCAGATATGCTTCACTTCAATATCTAAATTGTCCTGACCACTTGAAATTACAAGATATGCAGTTCAATATATCTGGATATATAAAATATGATTTATGTATTATATTTACAGACATAAAACATGATCAACAGTAACTAGTTTCAGCATAAGGTAGGAGTTTAAAATGTAATTTTAAGTGTGTTTTGAATATTAATTAATGTCAATTGTAATTAACACTAGATACAATTGACATCAATAAAGATGCTGCATTGTATTACTAAATACAAACATCTCTGTTCATGAGGCTAACTGCAAAGCCGTAACAATTATTCCTGAGAAGTCTGAGGTAATACACAAGTTAGAAATGATTTCATTGCTGCTATTGCAGTGAATAAGATTGCAACTGGATTCCCTTCCTCATATAATAAAGTGTGTACCAGTAACCAGTGTCACTTCTGTACTTGTTTTGAACTTGTTACCATAAATCACACACACCATACTTAGGCAAATGAAAATTTAGTCAAATTTATAATGGAGGCAAGTGAAAAGGAGAACTAAGAGTAAATATGATTTGTTGTGACAGTTTTATCGATTATTACCAGGACCATCATCAGAGTCAGATTTTTCAAGCAGTTTTCAAGGGAGATGGATAAAATATGATTACACATTTATTGTCCATGTGGAATAACCTGAAAAGCATGTGGCAGATCAGGCAATTTAAGGAAACATGTTGTATTTCGCACAGCTAAGATCAGAAAAAGAACTGAAAAAAAAAAAGCAAAGGTGGCAGGAAATAGCAAAAGCAACCCAAATGTCCTTACCAGTGAGCGTTCTAGACACTCAAAAGAGAAGTAACATTTAACTTTTCGGTTTCAGAATTATTACCACTACTGCATCAGTAATTAAAAACAAAACACCACCCATATGTTTTTAGAATCTCTTGGCATCTTAATTAAATTAAGTGAAATGTATATACCACCCAACTCCCAGTTTGGAAGTTTAAATAACCTTTCAGCCTCTCTCATGGTACTTAAGGAAGTTTTTACTATTCCCAGAAAAGCAGCCTTTTAAATGAGAACAAATCTTTAGCTCGCTTAGCTTTTTCATTTCCTCTGCAAACTAGTTAGAACTTCTTAACTGATAGATTGCTCTTGGAGTTATATTATGCAACCTTATAGAATTTTAGCAAATAAGCTTTGAAAGTCATTGTGAAGAGAGATGCCGAATGCGCAGTTCTTTTCCCCAAGCAGTAGTGCATCAGGCTTATTCTGGATCTCCTTTTAAAACATTATTCATTGTTTTAAAACATCATTCCATTATGGAACATAGATATTTTCTTTAAAATCCATGAAAAGGGCTACCCTTCAGAAATCCCTCATTTCTTAAGACTTCTCTGAACTATTAGGAAAGAAATATGGTGCACCCTATCTATAAAATAGAGCGTTCAAAATTATATTGGCATCTCCATTGCTCCTGCTGCTTTGTTGTATAGTTTCATTTGGAAATGCTTATTTTCCCAACGATTATTATAGGCCACAGAAATACATAAATATTTAAATATTTCAAATAGAGAAAAAGCTATAGATTTGTTATTTACAAAGTGGCTAGAAATTGCCTGTGGACATTCTAATCCATGAAATTCAGGCAGAATACAAGGACTTGTCATTTGCTGCCAAGATTAGTTTCAGATGTCCTTTACAGGAGGCCTGCACCGTGGTTAATAAAATGTCAGAATATATTAATTGTGTCACACAGTGCTATTCAGAAGTCATTACCCCAATATCATATTATTAATTTTGTTCCTAGGTGAGATTCTTGGTTATATTATATATGTTGATAATCCTGTAGGGTAATCAGCAAGAAACATGAAGTACTTACCACCACAAGTTTCTCTCCAATGCATTTTAGAAAGACATACTTATCTATAACTGCATCTTCATCTAGGTACTCTCCAAGGTTTTCTCTTAATGTTTTCAATGTCATATGAGGTGACACCCTAGAACATCAGATTTTATTGTTGCATTAATATGGATATAAGATAATGCTTATATTGTACAGTATTTAGTTTTAGAGAAGTAGGAATATAAAGGGAATAAAACATAGATAGAAGGCACTTGAATGCTTTCTTAGAATTGAGATATTAACCCCTACCCAGTGGTGAAATCTGGCTGGATCTATCTGGCTTGTGTGAACCGGTACTGCCGGCGGTGGGAGGTTCCGCCACCCACTGGGACGTCATTACATCCCATTTTTGACCCTCTGCGCATGTGCAGAAGGCTCTGCGCATTTCCAGGAGAAGCGCACATGTGCATAGCACGCATGCACTCCGTTCCCGAACTGGTAGCAAAGGTAAGTGGATTTCACCGCTGCCCCTACCTGTATTATGGAACTGGTACTTTTAGCAGCATTCAAGATTGCAGTGCAATTTCATTAAATCTTCACTTTTATTGAAATAATGAAAAGGAAATCTAAAATTTAAAGGAGCGTGTAGGGCATAATAAGGTATAATACTCTTTGTATGAATAGCTTACAGCTATCACCCACTCTAAGACTAAATGTACATGTATGGTCTCTGTGGTTTGATATGATAAGATAGAAAACCAGTTTGGTATAATGTTTAAAGTGCTGATACAAACCAGGAAACTGTGAGTTCTGGGCTGCCTGGGGCAAGCTGGCTGAGTAACTGGAAGAAAATCACCCACTATTATTCTGTTGCATCTCACCTTATAAATCCAGCTGAAAAGAATTTGCTAATAACTTCTATAGAAACTGTATTCAATTTGAAATTCCACACTTCTTCTGGAACATAAAATACATGCAGCTCTAAAAGCTAAAAAATATATAAAAAGAAATTGTTTAGTAATTAGCATGGCCAATTTTAATAATGGATTTTATATCTGACAATATATGTCAGTGATTTCTTCTTAGGCAAAATGGTGCAAATTATGAGAATGCAATCCATCATGCCATAAATGGACATGTAATTTTTAAAACTTACTGTTTACATATTTCTCTCAGTCCAAAAATCATATGCACAAATGAATACTTTTGACAAGTTGCATATAAAAAGTGTACCTCTTGAAAAACTTGTAAAAGAGGGTTACATGTTGAAACTATACAGAGATGTATATTGTATATTGTGCAAATGAAAATATGGGCCACATGATACTGTTGTGAGAAACTTGGAACTAGAATCACTTGCATTCATTTTACTTTGGATGTCATAATGTTTACAGACCTTGTGGATGAATATTTGATCTCTTTTGTCCAATTAGAAAATATAATTTAAACCTGAAATAGGGCAAGATCTTTGACAAGATGAGATCTATTTGATCCTTCCATTTCTAGGTTATAAAAGAAGCAAAAGGTGAATGATATGAATAGACCACCTATAAAACACTTTCCAACAAAATAGATACTTGCGCAACTTTATCAAAAAGTTCCTGATCACTAAACCCTGGTAGGATGACCAGCACAACCTACACAAGCTATGAAAAGGATGACACTACCATAGGCAGAATTATAACCACATGTCATCACCGTAGCACATAAACCAACTAAAACTCTCCAATCAGGTGTGAAATGCTACCAGTTCGCTGCAGTTCGAGTGAACCGGTAGTAAAAAAAATGCTTTAAAAGTTTTTTAAAAAGGTTCCAACAACCTTTTTTTTTTTACTTGTTTAAAGCATTTTTTTTTTACTACTGGTTCTAGCGAATAGGTAGTAAAAAATGCTTTAAAAACGGTTCAGACTCTGAAAGAATATTTTTATTTCCTTTTCTAACATCAAATTAAATTCTTTTTCTTTACATATTTTTTGATTCATCGTCCATCTCTTACGTCTTCTTTCCCCTTTCCAGTTTATGAATAGTGGATTGTGGTCTGCCCATTGGTTTGTGCCTATCTCAGTTTTTTCTACCTCTATTTTGATATTTGGGGTCATCCATGCCATGTCCAATCTTGATCAGGAATTATGCGTATGGTAGTAAAAAGTGTATTGGGCCTCTTCTTCATGTGTTTCCCTCCATACATCTGCCAAGTTTAGTTCTTCAGCCATAGTAAAGAATTCTTTTGGAAGTATTTCTTTTTTCCTTTGTTTGTTTTTTTTGTCAGTTTTGTAGTCCTTATTTGCATTTACTATTGCATTATAATCCCCTATTACACAAATATCATCATATTCTAATTCTGCTAATTTTATGTGTAGATCTTTAAAAAAAATCCTGTAGTTTTTGGTTAGGTGCATAAATCACTACAATTAACATTTTCCTCTTTCCTATTTCTAATTATACCATCACCACTCTACCTTGCTCATCGGTATAAACTAATTTAGATTGTATTTTTTCTTTTACATAAATCACTACTCCTTTTTTCTTTTTTTGGGCCAGAGATGAGTATAGTTTTCCTAGTTTGGGGTTTTCTAGGATTTTCTGATAGTCTTTTGGAATGTGTACTTCTTGCAGACATATCTGCTTCTAGTTTTCGTAATTTTGTGAAAATTTGATTCCTTTTCTTTGGAGCATTTAAGCCATTAATATTTAGCGAAAAGAGTTTGATCGGTTCATCCATTGTCTATCGTATCTGTCTTTTTGTGTTTCTTGTTTCCATCCGTGCCTTTGCTTTTGCACCTTCTCTCTCTTCTCTCTCTTTTTCTTGCCTCTGTCTTATTTCTTTTTCTTGATTTGTTTCTATTGGTTCTTCTTCTTGACTTCTACTATCTGATTCCTCCTTGCTTTCCTGTTCTTCTTCTAGTCTAAAGTGTGTGTTATGAAATTCTCTTGCCTTTTCTAAAGTGTCTATTTTATATTTTTTGTCTTCCCACGTAATTAAGATCCCCTCTATTGGCAGCCATCTGTATATTATTTTATACTTGATCAATAATTGTGTTAAGAACTGATATTGTTGTCGTAGATTTCTTATTCTTCGGGGTATCTGTTTTAGAATTATAATTTCTTTATCATTATAGGTCATTGTTTCTTCTTTAGATTTCTTATAGACTTCATCTCGAATAGATTTTTTTGAGAATTTGACATGGACTTCTCTCGCCAGTCTGCGTCTTCTTATATAGTTTGTTTGTACATGGTAGGTTTCTTCCAATTGTCCTTTTATTTCTTTTGGCTCTTTTTGTGTCATTCCTGCAATAATTTCCACCATCTTCCCTTCTAAATCCTCATTTTTTTCTTCTGGTATGTTTTGAAATCGCAGAAAGTATGAGGCCTTTTCCATTTCGAGCATGGCCAAGGAGTTTGACATTTCTTTATTTACTTGTAAAGTTTTTTGTTCCATTGCTTCTACTTTTAATTCCACATGATTTATTTTCATTTCCATTTTCCTAATTCTCTGTTCATTTTCTGCTATAGAATTTTGAATACCCCCAATTTTATCCTTCATGGTCTTAATATCCTCCCTAACTTCTCCTATTTCATTCTAATCTCTGCGTGGAACGTTCTCATTTCTTCCTGATTTTCAGCTATTTTTTCTTGTGTTTGGAGCAATGTTTCCTGGATCTTTTGAAACATGTCTTGTATTACATTTGGTGCCATTTCCAGTTTTTCGTTTTCTTTTTCTTTCCCCGTCATGCTATCTATTGTTTTTTATTGTGAGGAGGAAGGAGTCATTACTATCGTATTGGTTGTAGGTTTTTTCCCTGTTTTTGTTATGGTGGATGTTGTTGACATTTTCAATATTCGTGTAAAGCTTTCCAACCTTAACATCAATTTTTAGGTTATTCCTTAGTATCTCTTTTCCCCTCCAAACACCGCTTATACTCTACACAACTTATATATATTATATTATATTATATTATATTATATTATATTATATTATATTAAATTATATTAAATATATTATATTATTTATATTATATTATATTATATTATATTATATTATATTATATTATATTGCCAATTATCCCAGTTGAGCAATTAATTCTTACTTACAATATAAATCAATTTACTTATGGTTATTTCATCAGTCAAGGTTTGGTTTTCTTAATTTTCTAATTAGCAATCTTTTCACTTACTCCCTTTTCCAATCAGTCTATCTCAAACATACAGTCAGCTCATTTGCTATTTTGTATTAAAGTTCCAATCTTTCACTTTAACAATAATTCCTTATCTCTCTCTTTTTTTTAACCACCGTTCGTAATTTCAGAATACAATTAATAGCTATAAAAATATTATTACTTATATATTTCTTTTAAATGTTAAACGTATTGGCTAATTAAACAGTTCAAAATTAATAATTCACTTTCCTCTTAACTTAATTTTTATTTCTTTGGTCTTTTGTTATCTTCTTCTTTTACCTCAGATAAATAAATAGAGGAAACCTCTTTACAAAACACATGGGATACTTTAAAAGCATATATAAAGGGCCTAGTAATAGCATATACGAGGAAAAAGAATAAAGAGAAGAAAAAACAATTAGAGAAATTAGAGAAAGACCTAAAACAAATAGGACAAAAACTCCAGGAAAAGCCCCAGGACAAAATAATAAGAGAAGAATGGAAAATGACTAAGCATAAATTGAATTTGATAAACCAAACAGAACTATCCCAAAAAATAAAAATGGCGAAACAAAACTATTTCGAACACGCAAATAAAACGGGCAGATAGCTAGCCTATAAACTGAAGAAAGAACAGAAAAAAAGAACGATATACCAACTGAAAGATGATAAAGGGGAAACTCAACATAGTAAAGAGGCCAAAAAAGAAATCATTAAGAAATTTTATGCGAATTTATATAATCAAGAAGAAATAGAGGAAGACAAGATAAAACAGTACATAGGAAAATCAGGAATGCCAAAAATCACAGAAGAACAAAGAGCAATTCTCAATAGGCCAATAACTAAATTAGAATTAGATGAAGTACTGAAAAAGCAAAAAACAATGAAACACCGGGACCTGATGGGCTACCGGTAGAATTATATAAAACAATGCAAGAAGCACTGGGAGAGAATATGTTGCGATTATACAATGAAGCCATGGAGAAAGCCAAAATACCAAAATCATGGACAGAAGCGATAATAACAATCATTCCGAAAGAAGATACAGACCTCCAGTTAATTCAAGACTACAGACCTATTTCATTACTGAATGCCGATTATAAAATATTTGCAGCAATCTTGGCCGAAAGGATTAAATCAGTACTAAATACATATGGATGGATTTCTGCCGGGACGCCAAATAAAGAACAACATGAGAATAGTACTTAATACTCTAGAATATTATGAATCACATCCAGAGAAGCAGGCTGTGTTGGTTTTTCTTGACGCCCAAAAAGCTTTTGATAATCAAAATTGGAAATTTATGATTGAACAACTACAAAATATGCAAATTGGGGAAAAATTTGGAAAAATTATAGCAGAAATCTATACCAATCAATCAGCAAAGATAATTATGAATGATGATATAACAGATAAATTTAATATAACAAAAGGAGTCAGACAAGGCTGCCCACTTTCTCCCTTACTGTATATTCTATCATTGGAAATCCTGTTGAAAAAAATTAGAGAAGATCAAGGAATTGAAGGTTTAAAGATCAATAGAGAAGAATACAAAGCTCAGGCCTTTGCTGATGACCTAGTATTTTTGATAGAAAATTCTGTGGAATCGATACCTAATCTGTTCCAAAAAATAGAAGAATTTGGAGAAGTGGCCGGACTAAAAATCAATAAAAGTAAATCGAAACTAATTGTAAAAAACCTTACAGAAACTCAAATAAAAGAATTGACAGATAATATACAAATCCAAACAACGAAAAAAATAAAATATCTAGGAATCTGGTTATCTACAAGAACATCAGCAATTAAAGAAAATAATTATGACAAATTACTAGAACAAACAAAGAAAGATTTAGAAAAATGGGAAAATTTACATATCTCACTCCTAGGAAGAATTTCGGCCATCAAAATGACTATTCTACCTAAATTTTTATATTTGTTTCAGGTTACTCCAATAAAAATAGATAAATCGTTTTTTGAAAAGCTGAATAAAATAACATCTAAATTTATATGGCAAGGGAAAAGGCCACGAATAAAATTTAAGCTGCTTCAGAATACAAAAGATAGAGGAGGAGCTGCACTCCCTGACTGGGAGATATACTATCAAGCAGCAGTACTATCGTGGGTCAAAGATTGGATAGAACTAAAGGACTCTAGAACTTTAACAATTGAGGGACACGAACTCCAAATTGGCTGGCGCTCCTTTATGTGGGATGAAAAATACAAAACACACTCATATTTTAAAAGACACACAATAAGAAACTCATTACTACAAATTTGGCTTAAAATTAAAAAACAACATTATATGAAGATACCAAATTGGTTAGCACCGGTAGAATCAATTAGACACACAAATTTAACAGAGAAGACAAAAATAATTAGATATAAAGATATAATTGACTATCAAGGCAAATTAAAGACAAAACAACAATTGGAGACAGATTTACACAGAGAAATAGACTGGTGGACTTACACTCAAATACAATCTAAATACAGAGAACATATAAAAACATATGAAATTCATAATCAAAAGCAAGAAATAAATAAAATTATATTAGATTCAGAAAATAAATTAATTAGTAGAATCTACAAATTTCTTCTACGCTATAAATTTGCTGAGCACATTGTAAGCCGCCCTGAGTCTCCGGAGAAGGGCGGCATATAAATCAAATTAAAAAAAAAAAAATTGGAAGAAGAGACAGTCAAAGAAACGATGATTAAGTGGGCTCAAAACATCAAACACACAATACCTTTGGAAAAATGGGAAAAGTTCTGGCAGGTAAATCTAAAATTAACGAAAGTAACAGTGTACAAGGAAAACCAACTGAAAATGTTTTATAGGTGGCACATGTCTCCAACCAGACTGGCAAAAATGCAGCCTAAAAATAGCCCGATCTGTTGGAAGTGTAAAAAGACACAAGGGACTTTTTATCATTTATGGTGGACTTGCCCGGCAGCAAAGAAATTTTGGTCTAACATTAAAAAATGGTTGGAACAAATAACAGGAACACAGATAGAAAAAGAACCAGAAACATTTTTATTAGGAATCTTTAACAAATCATACCCTAAAGATATTAAATATCTCACAATTCACATATTAACTGCTGCAAGAATAACTTACGCAAAAAATTGGAAGCAAGAAAGAACACCAAATTAAACAGAAGTAATAGAAAAAATCTTAGAATGTGCTGAAATGGATAGGTTAACCAAAGAATTACAAGAAAGAGAAGAATCAGAATATTATAAAATATGGAATAATTGATATAATTGGTTAAAAATGAGAAATAAATAAAAAAATATAGGGCGAAATATTACTGATTTAAATATATATAAAAAAATGTTATTAGATTAAGGAGAGGTGAAGGAATATATTATAAGTAGAATTGTAGAATGTCACTTTGAAAAAATGCTTAAGAAGAAATCATAATCTTTTTGTGTATATGTTGTATAAATGTTTGTTGTGTATATGTTATGTTCTGTCCTTTTTAATATTTATACTCAATAAAAATTATTTTTTTAAAAAAGGTTCAGACAATCACAGCTATGCCATGCGATTGTCGGAACCTTTTTTTTTTTTTTTTTACTTTTTTAAAGCATTTTTTAACTACCAGTTCAGGCAAATAGGTAGTGAAAAATGTTTTTAAAAAGTAAAAAAAAAAAATTGGTTCCGACGATCGCGTAGCACAGCTGTGATCGTTGGAACCTTTAAAGCATTGTTTAACTACCTATTCGCCCGAACCGGTAGTAAAAAAATGCTTTAAAAGTAAAAAAAAAAAAAAGTTGGCCACACCCATCGTCACATGACCCCCCCAAGCCACACCCACAAAACCGGTAGCAACAAATTTTACATTTCACACTGTCTCCAATGTATCTTAAGTAAACCAAAAGACACAGCAGCCCAAGAACAAAAACCAGGAGTCATTTACAACATACAGTGTAAGGACTGTAACAGCCGCTATGTAGGACAGACAGAGCACATTCATGAACATCAAATAATACTCAGAAGACAAACTGAAAACTTAATTTTTCAATACCTGGATAGATTCAGCCACAGTTTCAAGTAAAATCCAAAAGTGTTAGGGAATTCCTGGAAGCTTGGCACTGAGACACATCAGCCATCAATTCACACATAAAATAAACTACATTTATATGCCATTCAAGAGATAACAAAAAGAGAAGGAAAGAAAAAAGACCAGAACACATCCCCTCCAGAGACCAACACCCATATAAACAGGGACCATTAAACAATCAAGCAAACAAAAACAAAACTCTTAATCAAGGAACTACCAAGGAGAAAAGCACATGCCCACCAAAACTGGCAGGGCAAGCTACTATATATAAATAGGGAGGAAACTCCCTCATATTCACTAGCACTGATGTTGTCACCTTATTGAGTAATGAAATGTCTGCAAGGAAAGAACCAGGCTCAGAGACCACCAAAGACTCTAGAGGTATCTTTTAAAAATAATATACTATTAAAAAATAAAAATATTTTTTAAAAAATCTCTCGTTCTGTCCCCCTTCCTTACACAGGCAAACGTAATACCAAGCACGCCTGCCAATATTTTATTAGGTAAACAGATTAGAATTCTTGGCAGACCAAGGTTTTGGCAGCAAACTGCCGAATGCCTGCCAAGACCGTTTTCACTCCCATACAGTAGAAGAGGACTTATCTTCAGTCCGTTCCAGGAGCAACAAATTATCCACGAGATAAGAGTTCAGTCAACGTTCAGTCCAAAATATATCCAAGACGAATTTCAGAGATCATGATGTGACTTTCAGGGTTTAACTTTGTCCGTCACAAAGCCTGAAGAGCAATCCCACCCACTTTTATTCCTGGTGGGGCGTGACTCAATGACTCAGCTCAATCTCTGGCCCTCCCACGCATCTTCCATTGCTGCGCACGCTTCTCCCTCTGACGCTGCCTGGGATCAAACCAGGATTCATCATCCTTGCTCCCTATCAATTGGTGCTCCGATATGCCTTCCTCCTGGCACATCCCAGGCTGTTCCTCCTGGCCTTCAGATGGAACCTGAGGCATTGCCAGAAAGGAGGGTCCTGGAGAGGGAGGCCTTGTCAGTTCCTCCCCATCACCTTCTAAGTCCTCTTCCTCTGTTAGGACAGGCTCTGGAGTCGGGGTCACAACACTCCTTGAGCTCTGTCAAGTTGTCCCTATATTACATTTTTGGACAAAGTGCTATAATTTTGCTGATGTTCAAGGTTCATTTTAATCTTTCTGGATTATCTCAATTGCCGACCTAAATTCAGTCTATCTTTTGTCTTCATGCCAGAAAAGTGACAAGGAAAAAGCATCCAAGATGGTTTTGACTGATTTCTTAGCAACTTTCCTAATGGTATGAAGTTCCACAGGTATAGGGAATAAAAAACTATTAATAATTGATAATTAGTTTATTTTATCCTTCATGTTTCCCAGGTACAAACTGTGTAAGGGTTTGAACTTCAGAACCACTACTTTCATATAGATTCTTACCAGCAATCAAAGATGCTGATTTAAAAGTAATGCTTATACTCCTGAAGCTATACAAGCAATAGTAACTGCTGCATTTTGGTCTGAAATTTCAGAATTGTCTCTGTGGCAGACACATGAGACTGGACTGGACTACATTACATCTCTAATAAAGTGATACCACTGCCCTCTGATCAGATGTGATTATATCTCTGTAAAGGAGGTGCAGTTATTCCTGAGACAAATAATTCCTAAATATGCTAAGCATAACTGAAGTATTTTGATATCATACAGAAGATGATAAAGGGAAAGAGATAAGAACTCCATTCTTCAATTCATTCAATCCTTTAAAAATATGTATTTTCCTTAGACTTTAATCTGGTATCACTAGAAATTTTATTGCCTATATTTAGGTCCCTGTATTATCAGGGATAAGAAATCTGTGGTCAAGGTGTTGATGAATATCAACTCTAAGAATCCTTTCACTGATCATGCTAGCATGGAGTATTGCAAATTGTGGATCAACCACATTAGAACAATCATACAATCCCTATTCCTTATGTAGGTGTTACTTTTCCTGCATAATTTCTTTACTTAATATTAAATTAAGAAAACACAGATTTGACATTCCCGAGAAGCTATTCCTCTTTTTAGTATATTTATAATTACTGCTACTAGTGCTGGGTCAAACCCAGCAATAGGGTAACTGTTCAGTGTGGTACTAGAGAACCTGATACTTATGACATTCTGTTATTAATATATTTTTGTCTCTATTAGTCAAAGAGCACTGGAATCATTCCTGTGTGTACCTAGTAGCAGGTGCAACCATATTAATTTAATTATTTCTGATTGCAGGACCATGACCCTGTGCTTAAAGTTAAAATGGCACCAAATAAAAGAATAGCTATGAAACCAATTGTTCTTGCAATCTCGATGGAAGAAAATTATGGTAATCACGTGAGTAAAAACGATTAAATCTTAATCACTGCCTTTGTAATTAGTATAACTATATACTAATAATGTTTTCAAATATTATACTTTAAAATTATAGCCTATATGTAACTGCATTATTGACAATAAGAAAGGATTAGAAAGATCTAACAAGTTTTAAAATATATTTTTATTCTTATCAACCAACAACAGAAAATATTGCACTATAGCATACATAAAATTTATCAGTGATTATTACAATCCATTATTTCTTACCTCTGAAGTGTGTGGTCTGTTTTGATTGGATAGCATATTCCTTGATGTCATTTCTGATTTATACAGAATTCTGGATATTGTTTTTTTAAATCACATATTGAATTCCAAGTATTATTTAACACTGTAATGATAAATCCTATAGGTATTTAAGTTGCAATATTCCACATTTTAGAATTGTTTCCATATCCTGCAAATTTGGACATAAAACAGGGACAGCTTCAGGGCAGAATTTTTTTTTGTTTCTTGCTAACTAAAAGGAGCCAAACATTTGCTAATGTAGGAACTGAACCACCTTTGAGGTGACCACTCCCTCTGTGTAAGTAAAATCACCTTAGTAACACGATAAAGTACCTAGCCAGGACTGTGCACCTGTGATTTGTTGCAGTAATCCAAGTCTGCTTTACTTGTACTGCTTACATCAAGGTATGTGTTTCAACAAGTATTCCATAATCTGGGCAGTGCACTTTAGGAAATGAAAAGGCTTGATCAGAACTCTTATGTAAATATTTACTCAGTACTATGAAGAATTAAGGGTATTACTGCTTCTTTTCTGTTCTTTCCCTTCAATGGCAACAGTAATTATATCTAGTTTAATTCACGCTGATTAAAATGGATCTTATATCTCCCTTAAAATGTATACTTGACCAGACAGGAATGAATACCAACCAATTTTAAACACAATATTCTGGTTCATTACAGCATCCTCAGTGTGTATTTATTTATTTAATACCCGACCAAAATCTTGCAGAACTCTTATCGGTGTTGGAAGGAAAATCCATCTGCTTCAGTTCCAAGCTGGGAGAATGACGCTGGAAACAATATGGATGCTGATTGGAAAGAAAGTTTATTGATGAACAGAACCACACACAAAGACAGCCTGCAGTTCTGGATCAGCTGAACAAATGGCTGAATAGGTGGATGGATCTTTATAGTTTCTGTAACTTTGAAGTTTGGGCTTTGTACAAAATGGGCTTTGTTTCTATAAGTGTGTTGGGCAATTCCTATTGTGGCTAATGGCTTTCATCCTTTGTTGGATCTTGGGTGAGGGGCTGCTTGTTCTAATCCTACCATTCTGCTTTTGTTAGCTGTCAAAGTTTGCTCAAAGAAGTTTTGAAATATCCTGTGTTGAAATGGCATGTTTTTCCATTTCTCCTTTAGGGAAATATGATATCCTACTTTTTCAAATATTTACCAAAATGTTTCATTCTTCGGGGGGCCTTCCCATAATAGCTTTCAGGAATACAATAACAATTAAAATATCATGGGCAGTATTCAGATGCATGCATACATATATTACTAAAAACATATGCAGTAAACAAAAATCCCGAACACTCTCTGGCCTCTCTTTTCAAATGATTTGAGGAAGCAGTTGGGTAGGAACTAAGCCAATCTCTTTATGAGAGGACATTCTAAACTAGAGGACTGGTGTTCCTACTGGGAAAATTACAGTGGCAATTCTAAGTCCAGCCTCCCTCATCACCACATGAAAATGGGAATCTACCACCTGTTTACCCAGCAAGACTGAATTCATGAGGCCAATTCTAGTGGGCAAATGCAGTCCTGAAAAATAACTTGGTGCTAAAGCTTGGGCCTTATAGGTTAGAAACAAGACCTTTAAATTGAAAGTCTATGATGGAAACCAGTGCAGGATTCAAAGTGAAGGTATAATATATGCTACTTGTAGAACCACCAAGCCAATCTTTCCTCTCTTATCACCAGGTAGAACCATTCATTGAAGGAGCAGAACCACTGCATAACAGTACTTCCAATTCCCAACTACTGAAGTCAGTCAAGAAGTGTACCAAGGTCACTAATAATGAAGGCCGCTGAAAGATCTAAAAGAACTAAGAGAGGCATATTATCCCATCTAGGTCCCAACAATTATAAACTGGATCAACCAAAACTATCTGTTCCATGCCCTGACTGACAAGGGTCCAGAAAATCTGTTTCATTTAGGCTTTGAGGTTGATTTCTTCTCATTGTCTCAAAACCCTTTGTTAGTAAAGAAATGAGGAAACCAGGAAGTAGTTGTCTAATCTCTTTTGAACTAGATTCTAGAATATGTCTTAAAACTACTGGCAGTGGTTTCTCCTAAAATAAGGCACCAACAATTTCCCAAATATAGGAACTATCCCCCCTCCAAATGCTTGAAAAAGCCAAGAGGGGCAACAAATCTGCCTCCATGTAGCAGAGGATATCCTAGAGAGCATCCAATCTACTTTCTCAAATCACAAACCAAAAAGGAATACCAGATAACATGGAAGACAATTCCCTATTCACTGGTGCTGCATTCTTCAGGGACCAGGCCAGTGATGGCTAACCTTTTTGGCACCGAGTGTCGAAACTGGAGTGCATTTGCGCGCATGTGCGCCAGAGCCTGGAAGACAGCAGCTGGCTGGTATGCATGTGTGCGCTGGAACCTGGAAGAGTGCAGCTTGCAACAGTGCACGTGCCCACAGAGAGGGCTCTGTGTGCCACTTCTGGCACGCGTGCCATAGGTTCACCATCACTGGACTAGGCTATGAACGGTTTGAAATGGGTATAGAACTTGGTAGTAAGGCAAATATTCTAACTCCAAATTAGCCACTAACTGGACCATTCCTGAGAGATGTTAACAATGGCTACTATTTATTTGTTGATTTGTAACAAATAAATAAATTTTTTTACTGCTCAAGATGATGTCCATAATGTTCAGTAAGCAGAATGTAGATTACATCCAATGTAGATTAGAACATTACAGTAGAACCTCTGGTCACGAATGCTTCTGACCACGACCAAATCGGGTTCTGACCAAAAAATTCACAATTTTTTTTCCACGCCCAATTTCCCCTTCCACGTCATTTTTTTTTGTAAGTGCCAAATTTCCAAAATTAGGTTCGGGTCACGACCAAATCAGGTTGCGACCAAAGTTATGGAACGAATTATGGTCATAACCAGATGTTCTACTGTATATGGAAAAGGAAATTAGTGACAGACACTGGATAATTGAGAAAGCCAAAGTATACCATAGGTAAACATAAAGGTTCCCCTCACACATAAGTGCTAGTGATTCCTGACTCTAGGGGGCGGTGCTCATCTGTTTCAAAGCCGAAGAGCCAGCGCTGTCCGAAGAAGTCTCCGTGGACATGTGGCTGGCATGACTAAACAGCGAAGGCGCATGGAATGCTGTTACCTTCCCACCAAAGGTGGTCCCTATTTTTCTACTTGCACTTTTTACATGCTTTTGAACTGCTAGGTTGGCAGAAGCTGGGACAAGTAACGGGAGGTCACTCCGTTACGTGGTGCTAGGGATTCGAACCGCCAAACTGCCAACCTTTCTGATCGACAAGCTCAGCATCTTAGCCATTGAGCCACCACATCCCTATTAAAGAATACCATATTGAAGCTATTAAGTGACACAAATGACACAAGGCAGAACAGGATAAAAAAAGTATTGATGCATTTGAACTTTGGTGTTTGAGAAGATTCCTAATACTGAGAACAGCCTAGAAAAGAATTCAGTGGCTCATCAAACAAATTAATTGAGTTCTCACTGAAGGTCCAAGTAAAGACTTAATTTAGAGAAGGCTGTAATGCTGGGAAAGCTGGAAGGAAAGAGGACAACCAATAGCAAAGTTGATAGACATAGTTACAGTGGCAATCAGTGCAGATTTAGAAGAGCTAAAAGACCAGTTTATGGACAGGTTGATATGGAAAAAATCTATGTGATCACTAAGAGTGAACACTGACTTGATAGCACATAATATATTACATACGGGTTGCAGTGGTTAGAATGCAGTCAACTTTGCAGTTTGACTCTCACTAGGCTCAAGGTTGACTCAGCCTTCCATCCTTCAGGGGTCGCTAAAATGAGGACCCAGATTGTTGGTGGCAATATGCAGACTCTGTAAACCACTTAGAGAGGGCTGTAAAGCACTGTGAAGCAGTATATAAGTGCTATTGCTATTGCTATTTGATACCAGAATTCTCAGTAAAAGTAGTTAAGAAATACAAATAGGAGAATTCAACCACATACATTCCCAGTTTATAGGCTTTTCATAGCCATATGACTGGTCGATGAAGAGCCAATATATTTTAATTAAACAGCTTGGCATGGCTCTTATTATGAACTTAATCCTAATAATATACAGGCTAGATTTGCTGTGCCAGCTGTAGATTAACTATAATCTTCTGATTAAATCTCAATTACCTAGGTTTGTACAATACACTTAAGCTATTAATTGTATTTACAAGCAACATGGCAACATTCATGCAATTTCCAGTAAGCCAAAGCCAACTCCATTATGACTTAGCATGTTTTGTGAACCATGCTACGTATTTGTTTAAAGCCTGAACTGAATGAAGCTCACAATCTATTGACATAATATACTTCTGGTCACACGCACGTTTTCTTCATTTTAAAAATTCAATTTAGGGCAGTGGAGATCATGTTTATTAATACTATTGTTTAGTATTTTTGTTATTGCCATTTCTGTCAGTTGAGCTGTTTGTTTTCTCTCAATAAATCCAGAGATGTATTGTTGGTATTATGATGAATAGTACCAGGAAGGATTTATTCCAGCAAACGAGGCTATTATTAAAACTGCCACTTAATCTTAAATGTCTGAGATTAAAAAAAAGTGCATAATTAAGGTGTTTTACTTTTGCATAAATGTGCACAAGATTATACTGGGCAACAGAAGAGAAATAAATCATAGTTTTGGCATTCGTGAATTCTTTTAACCTGAAATTGGTAAACGTTTAAGCAATTTGCACTGAAACAAAAAAAGTGTGCTGACTAAAGAGAGGGAGAGGAAAAAAATGAAGCTTATTTCTTGAAGTTGTTCCTTATTGAGGAAGCAAAACCTTCCTCAAAATCTTGGGCAGTCCATGCAGAGAGAAATTGTGGTTTACCAATATCTGGTTCTGACCCTAAATGTTACAACGTGTGGAAGGATGTACGTATGACTCTTATCTATTAGCAGTTGCTTATTGCCTTTAAACTCCATCTCGATGATTTGAAGAAGAGTCCAGACTTCCTCCTTTTAAAAGCCGGCTTCACAACTGCTCACCCATCAGGGTAGCATGACAGGTTCCCACGTAACAGGAAGTTGGTTTGTATCTTCGCTTCACTCTGCTCGCGCCCGAGAGCCGTTGAAAGTGGCGGGAGACAACCTCCCCCCCCTCAACTAGAACGGGGTGGGGGAATTAAACAGAGGTCCCGTTTTACGGTGAAGCTCAGCTATGTGTCGTTTTACGATTAAGCTCACCTATGCGCGGCCTCCGCTGCGACGGGTAGCAGAGGGTAAAAAAGTGGATCATTACACAGCTGGTTCCGCCTCGCCTCTGTGTTACAGATCAAGCGTTAAGTTTAATGTTTAATAAATGTGTTTAGGGAAATCTTGCTTTTCCCTTTAACACCGCGGGCCCGTTGGAAATGCAAGTGCAGAGATTATAATAAAACAATTACAATATTTGCAGTGGAGCTAACTAACCATCTTAACCTTGCCTATCTCCCGGCTGCGTAGACATCTGTAGTTCTGAAAGGTGGGGGAAGTTTACAACAAACCTATAAATGTAGCCATTTGCAGATTATCGGTGACGGGGTTGTAATTTTCCAGTCCCAAATCTCGGGATTTTTGCAGTTATTAAAACGCGCTTTCCCGCTTTTTCTCGGTCCCAATCCAGCACTCGATCGTATATATATACAAAACCAGCCTTGTGCGACCTAATTGGCGCGCAAATAGAACAGCCAGCTGGTTGTTTGCACTTGACTGCCAAAGAGGCTGGGGAGAGAAACCATGCACAACGTTTAAATATATACGGTAGGGTTGCTTGAAGGTGAACGAATGTACAGGCTCGCTCATAGGCGCCAACACTAGTGCGATAATATAAAGAAGAGAGCCGACTCCATGCAACTTTTTTGCAACAGTTCCGTCCATCATTATTCTGGCAGTACAAAGCCCGCCTTTATGGGCGAGGACCGCCCGGGCGACGCTCCAAAGTTACTAGCAAGGAAGCCGGAGAAAAGCACGTCGCGCGGCTGCCTCCCACCAGCAACAAAGGCGCGGCAACTCCTTTTCCGCCGCTCGAGACGGGACTCGAAGCCCCGCCCCGTTCAAGCTTCTCAAACTTAAAAAGTTTTCAACGGGCGACTTCGACTTCCGCTTCGGGGGAGAGGTGGGCAGCGGGAGGCCGAGTTTGCGCAGGGAGCTTGCCAGCGCGCGCTGATCGCGAGCCTCTCTCTTCCCCCCCACCTTCTCTCGAGAGTCTATGGGCGGGAGAGTTTTCCAAGCGCCGGAAACTTGCCCGAAAGTTCCGAGAAACCCCCCCCCCACAACGACCCGCCCGTTTGTCAGCAGCAGCAACAGCGGCTCTTTTACGGGTTCGACGTCGCGCGGAGTTGAAGTTGAGTGAGGGAGGAGGCCATGTCCGGCGCCTCCAACGTCGCCGCTATGAAGAAAGTGGTGCAACAGCTGCGGCTCGAGGCCAGCGTGAGCCGCGTGAAGGTGAGCCCCGGAGTGGGGCGGAGACCAGGCCCGTCCGCCCGCTCGGCCGCCATTAACGCACCTCGGGAAAGGCTGCGTGGGCGGCTCGGTCGCCTCAGAGACTTTTTACTTCCTTTCTCGGGCCTGAGGAGACGTGAAGAAGAATGCTCCGGAGCTTGTACAGAGTGCTTTTTCTTTTAAAGTACTTATTAAAGGGTGACCCTAGGATTCCTGAGGGACCCCCCCACCCACCCACCGAGACCCTCTTAGAGGGGTCCGCGAAATCGAAATTATTCATCAAAGTTAGGTTGAAAAATAATACAGTATTGAAATCGGGCAACTTAGGAAAGTAAATGTGCCAGTTTTAAAATTTAATGCGGTAAACATCGATTAAAAAATAACCCACGCAAACAAAAGTTCTTTGGGGCTTCTTCTTAATTTTTAAAGGTGGGAAAGGAACCCTAGAGACAAAAGTTGAAGAAACACTGGCCTATGAAACGCCGTACAATTTAACTCCGGTTTAAGCAGCCCTAACCACAGTGTGTGCGGCCCCTCCCTGGCGAGCCAGATTTAGCCCGACAGCTCTTGATTTTATCATACATTTATCATAAATGTATTTATGATTAAAAATACATTTTAATGTATGGAACCAAGCCCCCCCCCCAATCGTATTTTCCTCCAAGCTGTGGGAGTTGGAGGGAGGGCACCGTGCCGGTCCCAGTCGCATTGGATCCCACTTGGATCAAGTTTTGCTGATTCTGATCCTTTTGCGGGTTCGTTCAGGGTTTCCCCGTTTAGGTTCGGGATCGCTGTGAAAGAAAGGACGCAATTTATCATCTCGATCTAGAGCTTTCTTGTTCTTCAGAGGAAAAAGAAAAGAATAAACGCCATCTGGCAAACCAACTTGGGACTCCACCCTTGTTGCAAAATGGGGAGTGAGTTATTGGCCAGGAAAAGCTTTTCGAAAGGAAGAATTCTTTGCTGGGTTTTGTTTTTCAAACCTGATTCAAAACGTTTGCTGTCTTCGTTAATTAAAACGATTGTAATAATGCTGCTTGCCACCATCTTCATCATCTTCAAAACCTGAATTGTAACACATTTGCTTTCTCCATTAATAAGGAAGACTCACAATAAAATATTTGCTAACGCACATTTCTTAAGCATTTGAGACCCTTCAATTCTTTTACGAGAATTCTGAAGAGCAAAAAATGTATTGTCATATTTGACAATAGCCTAACATGAATTTTAACATTGAAAGTTAGCTTGTTGAGCAGTTACTGAACTTTTAATATACTTTAGTAAACTGACTAAATTTTCATTTGATGTTCCATCAAAAACAATATGCTCTGAAACAAATATTGCAGTCTCTGATTATTACTTTGAGATAGTCAGGAAATGACATAGAACACCTGCAACTGATTTAAAAGCTGGTGATTTTAAAAGGCTGAATCTGGGACTTATACCAATTGGCAGGAATTTTATGAGATTTTGGGGAATTCCTGCCATTGACAATAAACATAGTCTGGTTGTGAAGATGTTTTTGTATGAAGATAGGGTATGCATTTGACAATCCCAAATGTTCTTATAGACTGTGGATGGGATAATTTTGGACAATATTGTAATTAATCTACTGTACACATAGTCTTTGATTTATGATCATAATTGAGCCTGGAATTAGACTCATAAATTGTTGCAGTCATAAATTGAGGTATCGTGACTAGATTTGAAGTTGCAATCATTTTTCCGATAGTTGTTAAGCAGAGGCAGCAGTTAACTTAGAGGTGTCAAACTGGATTTCTTCGAGGGCCAGATCAGCATTGTAGTTGTCCTTGGCTGGCCGGGGTGGGGTGGGGGACGATTGGGGGAGACAGGATGGATGCCTCCAGCACTCTGCTGGCCAAAATCCCTGCACCCCATTTTGGCTGCCAGAGTGCTGCAGGAGGCTGTCCAAACCCAAAACAGGGTGTGTGGGGCGCAAAAGGCCCTCCATGCCCTGTTTTGGCTGCTAGAGTGATGGAGGCTGTTCAGGCCCAAAATGGGGCATGGGGAGGCAGCGTGCAGCCATTTTGGCCGCCAGAGGCACCGCGGACCGGTCCTTTACTTTTTCCAGGCCAGCCCCATAGGCCAGATCTAACCACCCTTGAGTTTGACACCCTTGAGTTAACTGAATCCATTTTTCCCAATCAGTTTTTTATGTCACTATCTGGAAATAAACATGAGAAACTGGCAAAAAAAACAAAAATTATGGTCACATGATCATATACTGCAGATGATTGTCAAGAATACTGCAAATGATTGTCAAGGTGAGCTAGTTGGCCAAGTGCTCAAAATGTGATTACATGACATGAGTGTGTCTGCAGCTGCTGTAACTTCAAAAAATTTAGTAGCTCTAGGTAGGTCAGTTGTAATTTTGAATGGTATTAAATTATTGGTTATAAGTTGAGGCACACCTGTATAGTCAATTGGGGAAGCAAAACACTTTTTTGATGTCCAGCCAGTTTCAACATTAGTTATTAATTATATTAATAAAATCCATTATTGCATTATGTAAATGTGGTTTTCTGTTCATAGGTTTCACAAGCTGCAGCTGATCTGAAGCAGTTTTGCCTTCAAAATGCACATCATGATCCTTTATTAACAGGAGTTTCATCAAGTACAAATCCATTCAGACCACAGAAAGTCTGTTCCTTTCTCTGATTTGGTGAGCCACTGGAATCTTTCACTTGTAAAGCTTTAAAGTTAACTATGACTTCACTTTACCTAAAGCAGGGGTGGTGATCTCTGGACTTTTTTTGCAACCTTACACAATGTGTGCTTGGTCACAGTTGTAAAATTAATCAGAAATTCTGTTTCTGGAAACAGGAAATAAACACAAAATAAATAGAGGCTTATTTTTAAAAAATAAATTTTCCCCTTATCTCCTTTAAAACCTAGAGAACCGTAGCCTGATTTATGTGTCTCCTAAAAGGCATTAAGTGTCCGTCTCTATCCATCCAAAAATTGCTACCCTTATCCTCAGGTATAGTAGTTCATGACTTATCCTTCAAAATATGTCACATGCTTTCCTATAAGCTAATTTTATACAGAACAGTACAACTTTTTTGTACAGAACTGGTACAATCTGAAGGAAGTAAGTGCTGAATAAAGGGGGACTTCCTTCCTTCAGATTGTACCATAAGTTTTTACTTAAAATTTGTAGTTTTAACAAAATATCATTTTTATTGAAAGATACATGACCAATATTTCACAATTTATTATGATTTTGAATACTGAAATACAGTCTTTCACAGCAAAGTTCGTTCTTATTAAAAGAGGTAAAAGAATCCTGAATGTTCATCTTGGACTTCCAATAACTACATACCAAATACTTGTAATATTTTATAATAAGTAGTTGGACATTGCATTCTACTAGGATGGTTTTTTCCTAGACATTCTGAAACTCTGGGATTTCCTATGGTTTTCCAATGAGGTGGTATCCAGATTTAACTGTTTCAGCATCCATCATGCTTGGCTAGATGCCATCCCCTGATCTCTTTTATGGAAATAGGATATAGGTAGTCCTTGACTATGACTATTTGTTTAGAATCATAACTTCGATGATGGCACTGAAGAAATGGTAGTTATGACCAGGTTCTTGGACATCTGGCTATCTCAGTACCCCCATGGTCATGGGATTGTAATTTGGATACACGGTAACAGGTTCATACTGAAGCACGAGCTGTTGGAGCTCCCTGCAATCATGATTGTCATTTGCAACCTTTACTGCCAGCTTCCCCAGAAAGACAATGAGGAAGCTAATAGGGAAGGTCACAAGTCACTGAGGTCAGTCTCCTCCATCTGCGCATCCTCCCTCAGCCCCTCTGCTTGCACTGACCACTTGTGCACCTTCCACACTTCCCAACCCATGCTGCACTTTATTCACTCCTTGCATTCTGCCTGACCTGTGCTCTTCTCCCTGTCCAACCCACAAAACACCTCCATGCACCCTTCCCAACCTGCACCTCTCACACAAGCCTAGTCCACCTTCCTTGATCTGCATTGTCTCTGTCATGGGTCCCCTTATGTCTTCCCTGACCCTCCTTCCCCCACTCAGCAGCTTATCCGCCACTTATCTGCCTTCTGGCCTGGTTGATCTTGTAGGTCCACTGACGTTAGCTGTGGGAAGTCAAAATATTTGCCTCAACTAACGACTGTGGGATTCAGTTAACCATAGCAAACTAGACTGCAGCGATTGCCATCATTAAGTGATGCAGGTGTTTTACGACATTACTTAGCAATGGAAATTCCAGTCCCAATAACCATTGAAAGTCCAGGATTATTGGTAGTTTGAACCCCAATAGTGGTTTTTATACTATGTGCCCATTTTGTTTTTCATGATTCATTGATTTTCTTTTATTGTCCTTTTATGCCATCAATTAACAGTTTTCTGGATGGTATTTTGTCACCTCTATTAACCTCTACTTCTAAGTTTTCTGGCAGACCAAACATATCCTATGGTCCATTTTTTATCAGACATATCTTTAAAAGTCTGACAATTTCTTTCAGACTTTGCATTATTGGGAAACAT